CTCCTTGTTTTCCAATTATATTTTGCTGGTGAATTAGTGGCGGGAGATTGGAGGAATATTCGTTTTTTGATATCAACTATTCTAGAGCAACTATTCTAGAGAGAATCTGTGTGTTGTTTAAGTTTTTTTGTGCATTTCTCTGGCGTGTCAATTTCGTTTTCTTTTTGCTTTATTGCGTTTTAGTCTGTGAAAGTTCTCTAAGAGTTGGTTGAGAGCTTTAAATTAGTTTGTTCGAGCATATAATGGGGAGTGGGGGAATTTCTTTTTTACCTATTGCTGTTATTCCTGTTGGTTCTATTTACAGCATATGATATCAAGATAAACCTAGATTTATAAGAACCAATCTTCAAGCTTCTGCCAGGTCTCGGTGATGCCGTTAGCCTTATCGATAAGGAAGATCACCACCACCAGTGCTTTGGTTATTGGCTGGTTCTGACTTCAGGCAGGGTCCGTTGCTCATCGCAGGATGCACAAAGTATTGGAACAGGAACACGGACCTCATAACTTCTGTACATATACCCAAAGGGTACTTTCATCCTGGGCATGAAAAACAAGAATCCGAATTAAAAAAGCATACATATTTCTAAGGAACTTATATTGCCATGGCGGACAGATATGTGTATCTCGATTTCCCCTCTCGTTACTTCAATATGCCACTTCCACCACCGATCACAGGTAGATAAATGCACATGTTCACAAGTCCTGCTTTAGCGGGTATGACACGTACATACATACATACATACGTTGACAACACTTTCTCACAGTAGCTACATCGATTCGGGCCCCGCTGGAATTGTGATCCACCAATATGACCCGGGCCAGAGATATGAGGAGGGACGAAACAGCATTTCTCTTGCTTCTGCATGACAAACCTGGTAGAGTATGTGTCTGATATCTGATCGGCCTGGCGAGGAGGCAGATACCCGAATATGCATATGTGGGCGACTTTTTCTGCAAAGAAAATCTATCCGATCATCGCGAATAAAAGCGGTGCTTATTTATCGTGTATTATATATTGATCTCGACTACTTGTAAAGCCATAAACAAACATTAAACATCTCGTTGCTAAACGACTGGGTCCGCAGAAAGCTTGTCCTTCTCTTCCTGCAGCCCTGGGCTTGGTGTTCTATCTGGCATGCGGGCAGGCCCACGTGTTTTAAGTCCGAGGAACGATCGGACGATGGAAAGGATGACTTTCGAAAGCAGTAAGCAAAATTCATGAGGGGAATCAATTGGGGTTATATGAGCACTTCCATTGTATGCCCCTCTATTCAGATGACGGTGCTTTAAAAGCTATGGACAAGTTGCAGGTCAGCCTTGCCTGTAGATAGGGCGCCTAGCCATTGGTGGGGTATCGGCGGGAAAAATCGACAATTGTTTCTCGGGAATTAACGTTATCATTATAAACAGTGCATTTTTATCGAACGCTGTTACCTAGATGTTCTGGTGCGGGGAACCAGGGCTCTATCTGGCTGGTAGGATCTGGGCACCATACATGGCCCGTGACGTGGCATTATTTTGAATAATAGAAACACAACCTTAGATACCTCAATTGATTTTCCCTATTGAAGATACCAGCAGCTAGGAAACTGATAAAGACTTCAAAGATAAAAAAAAAAAACCTAGTGAAACTTGCAGATATGCATCAATGCGCTGTGTGCCTACGAACATTCTCCGGATCCCCCGCGGTTGATTCTCACATGGAGAAATTCAAACTACCGGTATGACAGCAATGATATCAACACCAGCCCCCAGGTATTGTGTTCCTATGGTAATCTCATGCGCCGGTGCAGTATATTCACTCTAAGGGCAGCTTCTTGTTTTCATCGCAATTCTTCTAGTATTTGTTTGGAGAAACAATTGCTAATTGTTTCCAGCCCTTGTGATTCAATGAGTAATATTCGAAGCTTGCAGGGGAAATGGTTTCATAAAGCACCATGTCTGCGCAAATCTGCTCGTCTGAGACAAACACGTTGAAGATCCATGAAGAGAGTTACCGAAGTCAACTTCTAGAAGTCATTGTTGCTCGTAATGTGAATTCTACAGATAGTATGCATATGCAGCTTATTTGCCATATAAGTTTAATTCGCAAGCGTTTGTAGAAAACAACAACTTTGACTCGAGTTCGGCGATAAAGTGTGTAATAGTGCACATATGTAGAGTAAGTCGTTTCAGAAATTGTATATTTCAGGCTATATTTTGACAATTCGCTTCGAAGACCAGTGATGGCAGTGGTGCGTTTATCTATTCTTATCTCGGTCAAATCGAGATGTATCGTATATATAGTTCGAGTCATGGAAGAAATAACATGTCGGATCGAAAGAATCTCTCCCTCAGCTCATATCGGTGACGTCCATTGTGCACTCTCTGTACTCTTCTTTTAGGATCAAAGATAGCCATTCGTCAACGGAAGGCTCCGGGAAGTTGTTATTAGGCTACTACGGAACGCTCTTTTCTTTTGACCCCGGGAGGCCGCATGCTGCATTTGGCACTAGTCGAATTAGCAACTCCGTGCGAGTGACAGAATGTGATTAGAATTACTTTTGGCCTGCACCGGTGGACAATACCGAGAGTTTTATGGCTGACCCCGGCATGATAGTAAGACATTTGCGCGGGAATCCCGGGAAATCAAGCTAGAGGTCTGCGCAATGCAATATATGTAGTTTCGGTTTTCTCCGGATGAGAAAGCGTCGGGAAAGGCTTGGCCGATACCGTTGAGTTCATAGGTCTTTTGACAGTATAGGTCTGGCCCAAATTGAAAGTAATATGTGACTAGCCAGGTATATTGAGAAATTCGGTAGAATCTTCCGCGCCTGTGAGCGAACACGAGTGATGGTCTATGATTGTACTACACATATGCGGTTAATATACCAGCTTCGATACTTTGATCACATACTAGTATATAATTCGCTGGAGTAAGAGCTCTTCCAATAGGGGGACTTTCGTGTCTCGTGGATGTAACTTACAGACTCAGATGTATCATACATGAGAGTAAGTCCCTTCACGAATGGAATCCAGCCAAAGAGCCCTTCGAGATGATAAATATTCCTTATTGGCTTTCATAAGCAACGTCCTCTATTTATCCCCAGAACAGAAGAAATATAGCTGTTTGGGCCCCTGATTAGCTGAAATATATATCTCTTACCTAACAGAAGCTTTCAACTCGGTCTATTTAGGGATAGTGATCGGTACACATCGCTTCGTGCATTATTTATGTCGTTGGCGAGCTTGGCTTGGCTGACTCCGTGTGCTGTATGAACACTAGGAACATCCTTTAACGTCTTGAAAACTCTGATATTCGAGGTAGGTTAATGCTCAGTTAATTATGGAGGTATCCGGGAAGTCTGGATCCCAAATACGATGGAACGCCATCTCATAGTGCCGTATATATAGGTATCCAATCCCACAGGAAAGTATATTGTTCGGCGGTTGAGTGCGCCCGGATCCTCTCGATGTCCACCTCATACCGGAGGTGGAATAAAGACGAAGTGACTGGTCTGTGATGAGGGAGAGAATGTGGAGTAGGAGGATGAAATATAGCTACATGGGTATACTGCGTACGTACACGTAAATCATCATCGAGCACCTCCTCCAAGCCGAGAATCAGGAATATTCATAGGAAAAGAAGAAATTTGGAGATGCATGAACTCACGTGTGTACGTTTGCGTGTATACGTGCGCGTGTGCGCGTATGTGTGTGTGTGCGTACATGTAGTTGTGATTTAGGAGACAACCAATTGTGACCTCTAGTAGCTTTGTGCCCATCTGCTACTTGCTGCTCAATGTAGGAGCTAAGATCAAGATTAACCCTTAGCTTAGTCACATCTTCTTTTATGCTACATAGCACCGTCTCAAGACCGTAACGCCTACTCCCATCTACTGCAATGAAGTTACTGAACGAAGAAGGGATGAGGTCTGGATGGGTTTGGCATATGTGGTACTACAGAAGATAGGAGCTCTCGGGTTGAGTCAGTAGAATTTTAAGGGGGTACAAGGTCGGTTCTAAATTATCATTGCATCACCACCGTATACTGACGTAGTAAGGAAGACCTTACAGTTGGTATATGTCTCTTTTTCGTGATGTGTGTACTAGAGGCCTCTCGTGTGTCCCCACCCGAGTGAGACTTGGGCTTAGGTGCATGTACTTGATGAAATTATAGATACATGTGTCGCTTCTCATGCAGACTTTTCACCTCCTTGCGATATCTGTCCCTGTCCCGTTTAATTTACTGTATGGCCCAACTCTTCAGCACTGACGATTCAGGGGATCTTCGCATTTGCTGGCCCTTTTCCTCTGTCGGGTCGGAATCAATACATCTTGGGAACGTCACTGAAAGAGATTCGACGATGGTAGAGCACATCAGTTCAATGGCAGGCAAGACTACATATGCTTGAAAGTTGGCTTTAGCCACAAAGTCTCCAGGTCACAATTTATCACTCGGTTCAGTTACAGCATCCAATGTTCTTGGCACCTTTCCCAAACACGCAAATATCCCTCTAACCTAGATGTTTCACCCTTATTTTCACGCATATTATATCAGCGTAATAAAAGACATTCCCAAACACCAAAAATCTATCCTACGTCATGGATTAGGACCAATGTCGCGGGTGCCGATCCACACATGTAGATCATGTAGTGGAACACGCTGCAGAAATAGGGGGCATTGTATCATATAGGTATCACGAATGATGTGAGATTGGGTGTGCATGGTTAGGGGCGGTGGTTGGTCGGAGAGATTACTGATTATGATATTTTGTCGTTTGGGGGTTTTTCTGGTTGTGTTACACGATACCGTCGCATTGGTAAGTTTGAGCCTACTACCCACCACCGTTATATCAAAGACATATATGGTGAAAATAAAGATTTAGGCAAAAAGGATATCAAGCTGCTCGTGAACGATATTGTATAAAACCGACCTAATTAATTCTAAAGAACAAATATATTACCAGACCCCTCTGCCAGAGACAGATAACATCTAGAAAGGCAAGTGGTGAACTATTTTATTTGTCCCATGAATCGCCCCAGTCGGCATCGTCATCATTTCCCCACGGATCCTCTACCTTCTTAACTTCTGTCCTTTTCGCTGCAGCCCCACCTACGATTGGTTTCATGGCGCCTCCCGTTTTAACGGGTTGTCTGGCAGCCACAATACTCCCCTTTCCGCTCGACATCGCGGAACCGAGACCTATCCGTGGAGCAGCAGTTGTAGACTTCTTGGCAAGACCTTTAGGAAGAGGCGCCTTGGACTTGTTCAACATTGCAGATATATCCGGCTCAGCGTCATCGAAGTCCCAAGCGGACTTTTTAGTAGTCAAGGGAGCCTGTGGTTTCGGCTTATTCGGTTCTGGTGCATCAAAGAAATTATCTTCATCCAGATCTCCCCAGGCCTCGGGGTCGTTATCTTCATTATCGGCATCATCCAGAAAGGACGAGGCCGGCCGGGGTGAAGTGAGAGTCGTGCGGTTGAATGATGATGCAGATACCGTCTTTGACTGTATTGGTGCGTTCGGTCGAGAGGGCGACATGGTCGGGACTGATGCTGACCTTGTATAATCACCACCCATACTTGCAACAGCTGGCGACTGTGCCCTCTGGATCTCGCCGCTGGCTGTGCCCAGTTTGTTTGTAAAGCTACCTATCGCCCAACCAGTCCATGACGAATTGTCGGTCTGTACAGTCCCCATGCGTGGGGTAGCTACTTCAGAGGCGGCGGTTGGAGAGGGAATAACCGTTTCAGGGTAATTTGATGTTAAGGTTTTGATTCTTTGAAGGTACGCTTCAAGAGTTTTGGCGGCCTGGACTCTAACGACTCTGAAAGACCACATATATTAGTTTGTTTAAGCTGAAAGACACTGCACCTGGACTTCTTACTTTTCCTTGTCAACAAGGGATGGTGATATCGCAGGAACCATCCTTGTAGCGCAATCAGTCTCATCAAAAAGGTCTACCGTAGCAGATAAAGCCATTAATGCCGCGTTACGTGCATGCACAAAATTATCCCTAAGAGCCCGCGTAAAGGCCGCCGCTAACACTTTACTTCTCGTCTACGCAAAAATTCGATAAGTATAAGACTATTAAAAATGAGGTTACAATAGCACTTTACATTTGGTCCAAGGTATTTGGCAATCTTGCCAAGGCAGATTGTAGTATTAGTTCTGATTCCGGGTTGTTCGTCATTTTGTGTCTTTGCAAGATACTTTAACAGATCTCCGTTGATACTACGGTCCGAAAGCTTCACGTATTCTGTCAGAACCGGGACTGGAATAGAACTTTGGTTGCGTACCTTTGGGACCACTGTAAGAACTGCTTTAACAGACTGCTCCCTGACAATTGGAGCAACATCTGAGAAGCCAGTCAACATTTCTGGGAATATCTTGTCATTGACAATCTTGTTTGAGAGATGTTCAATCATTTTCGGGAGATTGTCCAGCAAGAATACTCTCGTTGCCCTGTCTGGTACCGCGAATAGCCTAACAATACAAGGAGTGATGGTAGACTCCCATTCTTCGTCTGATAACTTATCTCCTATATTTAAAACGACTGAGAATACCTTTGGTCCGCCTATCCAACCAGATTGATTAGTACTTTATAATCACTTAAAGGGATTTCGGGCTTGTTCCCACCTCCACCGAACTCTACACTTTTCAATAGTTCAGGCAAAATCTTCATTTTGAAGAAAGCTTCTGGAAACTGATCTCCAGTATCTCCCAGTTTATCTAAGAACTCCTCTCTTTCGGCTGGTGTTTTTACACCCATATTCTCTACAAATTCGGACACGTGAATCAAGGGGGTGTCGAAGAAACCTCTACTTCTTTTCCCTTGCTCCAGGAAATGGGCTATTGAAAGCCTTGTCTTCGGGTTTTGCTGGATCAAACGTTTATATGGCGTAACCATATTTTGGGGTATCTTTTTGGCGGACATCAATTGCTCGCTATTGGTAAATGCGCCGGCATTAAAGACCTCGTAGATCAAGGTTCCAAAGTTCCATGAATCCGCAGCATTGACGGCCTGACTGTGAGATACATGAGCATCAAAAAATATCCGATTCACTTTTGTACGTTGGCTTACCTCTTTAGAGCATCCCAGCCGCCCTTCAAGACCTCCGGGGAAGCATATCTTCCTGAGTCTGGTAGCAAGCTGCCAAATTTCTAAAACAACATCAACTTTCTATTCAAACAGTTATTTTAAAGTTTGTACCTACGTAGATAACCGGGTCATCATCCTTCATTGAGCTAAGAACCTCAAATCCCCCTAGCTTCCACTCCCCGCTCTCAGTCGTAAATATTGAAGACACTCGAACATTCCCATGAATAGATGCGGCATCCTCATTGATAAATTTCAAAGTAATCTAACACCTCCCGTTTTTCATAGAATCAGCCTTTCCGAGCTCTCCAAAAGCAAATATTACAAGTGTAGATGCGAACCCACAGCAGTACTATAAAGCCCCCATTTGATCGTTTCCGTATTTAATGAATCTCTTTTGACATGCCAGCTCAACGGCGTGACCCTCTCCGTAGCGATATAGATATAGGTATCCGTCTCGACTGTATCGATAATCCTGACGACTCCCGGATGTCGCAAGGTCCTCAGCTTCCTCACCGCGTTCTTCGCCAGTGGTAATCTGCTCCTCGTAGAATCGTTCACCTCGAACGAAAAGATACTACAGTTCGACCCGTCTTCCTGAAAATCCTTAGCAACAAAGGAGCCAGTACAAGCTTGATCGCCGAGGAGGTTACCCTTTTTGTTCCGTTGAACAGCGACCATATGGAATTATCGACATCCACCCTGTCGCCAAAGGCGTAGGGAAATGGCGGGCCCTTCGAGATCGCGGAGCCGATTGCAGACTTAAGAAACTCCATGGTTTCTGCTCTGGGGGCCGTATGTGCGTGGAGGTTAAAGCTGTTGGAGCTTCGTTGGGTTGGCAGAAGGGAACAACGTTAACTAAACAACTAAACCTTAGATAGCCAAGTGGCTTATAAAGTCCATTCCGGGTCAATGACGAACCTGGTTCAATGACGAATACGCTCAGAAAAACCGCACAGAAAGCATGTTTTCAATAGTGGAATTAAGAAAAAATCAAGAAGTATAAAAAGAAGTAGAACCACGAAGAAAACGAAAATCACTAATGAGACAGAACGATCTTGGCATGTTTGATCATTCGCCATTGACCCTGAAAATACTGTATGCATCTGGTGCAACGATCGAAGAGCTGCATGAGGGAGGTCACGTGACGCTTATCAGTTGTTCACCCCGCTTCACTACATATCACTCTGCATTTGCAAACCGAGTGAGAATTCTAAAATAAGGAATCTCGGGACTCCCTATCTAGGGACAAGCAGCCCAGATGATAGAGTGAGAGTAAGACGAAACGTCTGGATAAATTCTTGAAACGCCTCAGCACTTGTCATTTAAAGACGATAGCCAAAAAAACACACATGCACGGGTTGAGTATATACATCGAGCGATTTAAAGATACCCAGGCTGATCAATCGTGAATAAGAGATAGGAGCCAAGACAAAAAAACACAAATTTCAGTTCTGTCTTCTCTCATACGTACTCATCACCAACACCAATGAATGAACTACACCACAGCTCAAATTCCAAAAGAGATCTACACAGCATTCATTTTCACATAAGTACTTTTGAAGTCGTGAACAACGTATCTCATCCTCGTCATCACACACAAAAATCATGCTAAGCTGCATCACATCATTGACAAAAAAGGTTAAGCACCCTGCTTTCCTGCAAAAATACACAGACTACATCACAATATAGAAAGCTTTTTTTTTTTGCAAGAAAGGCAATACAGGGGCTTTTTGATAGACCACCAGGAGTGTAATATTTGAAGAGAGGGGGAGGGGGGTGTAAAGAAGGCGGGGCGGGATGGGGGGTGTGAGGTGGGGGAAGACTAAAAAGAAATAATACACATCGGTTTTTCTAACGTGAGTAATAAATATATAGCAGTATAGAAGAAGAAAATATGACAACCCAGGTTAAACAATAGGTAACAGATGAAATGTGAAAGAAAAAAGAACAATACCCCAAAGCTAACCCAGGAAGCGAAAATAGAAATAAGAAGAAACCCCTTTTCTAGACTTGCCATCTCTACCTTTTCTCTTGAGAGCCAAACACATCACTTGGCTTTCTAGCATTCCCAGACTTCATCTTCGCAAGGCCGGTTTCCAGAACGCCGCTGGGATTTTTCCGCATCCCGTTCTTGGAGTTTGGCATGACGAATCGAACTTGTTTCGACATGTTTGCTGCCGCGGCAGGAGAGATCGGTGTCATCAACGGAGTAGGCATCTGTTGAGTGTGAGGCCTAACTGGAGTCACCATATCTCTCCCAATATCGTCGGTCGCGATCGAAAGTGCGGGACTGATTGGAGCTACAACTGCTGTATGACTAACAGGATGCGGGCTTTGTGGGCTAGATGAACGACCCATATTTTCCGCCGAGACAGGAGTGCGCATTCCAAAACTGGCAGCGTGGATAGTGGTATGGTCTCCAACACTAGTAGAACTGGCCGCGCTCTCAACTTCCATTTCAACGTCTTCGTGAGCGTCCGCATCACTCTTGTATCCATCCTCGTCGTCGCTGGAGGATGCATCGTAATCGTAGCTTCCATCCATTCCAGTAAAGTTCAATAGGGATCTTTTCTCCTCAATTAGAGATTGCATCATAGAAGATGCTTGCTTCGGATGACCGAGCTTTGTATCAATTGCCTGAGGCTGTGTTTGAGTTGTTTTGGGTTCTGGTGGCGATGGTAGTTGTGTAGTAAATGGAGTGGGAGAGTCTCTCGACACACTCCGACCCGAAGTCACAGTTAAACTTTCGGGTACAGTTGCAACCATCGCGGCATGTGTCTCAGTTCCCAAGAAACGTCTCACTTCTCTGTGTTCTTCCTTCCCCGGAGGACCATCCGTCATAACAGTATCTCCGTCAGTGTCCCTGCGCGATAATACTGATGTCTCAGATTGGTCTGATTCATCGTCATCCTCTTCTGAATATGTGTGATCATCCCAGTTGATCCTCTCTCCCTTGACCTCCTTCACCATCGTCGCCAGATCAACCTCAATTTTCTTCCTTTTTAACAGCCCCTCCAGGTGTGGTGTCTTGAATGTTGGCGCATCTATAGGCGGTGTGGGTGGTCTCCGGAACCCTTCCGCCGATCTTGAAGTAGTCATAACTGCCCTTGTCCCACGATTCCCATTCTTTCGCTGCGCTGCAGTTGTCTTGTTTTTTGGCGTTTGTACAATCTTCGGAGGTGGTATAGAAGGAATGGGGACGCCGGAAGGACCTGAAAGACTTCCCCGAGGTGTGGAGCTGTAGGATGATTGCGGCGAAACGGTCTGTTGTGTCTGGCGGGTATTCCTTGATGGTGGATCTACTGGATTTCTGGGATACAATGCAAAACCCTCCTCCGTCTCTTCTACTAGTTGTCCGCAAGCCTGCGCCGCAGCCTCGTGAGACGCATATTCCCTCTGGTGTGCGATACGACAATGGTTAATGAAACCCTGGGCAGAGCTGAAATCACTTCGTTTACAATCAAGGCATTCGAGTCTTCATTTCCTCGCGTCAGTTCCGTAACTAATATTCGCAAAACAGCAATAGATCGGCAATCCCAAAATAGGAAAATGTCGGTCTCGAAGAAAGAAGGAGAAGAGAGAAAAAAAAGGAAACATACCTGACAGTAGTGCCATCGTTCTTTCGGAAGATACACTGCTGCATACCCGCACCACCTCTCTGCTGCACCTTCATCACACTTTGTCTCTGAGGCCGCCCGCTTACCGTGTATGTCTGGGTCTGCTCAACGGTCTTTTGACTCCTGGTACCTTTACCTGCGGGCAAAACTACTTGCGGAGGGCCCTCGGGTCCATATCCGTCAAACGTAGGATCCGGCAGCAGCCACTGCTGATAATGTCTCGTGTAGGGGCCATTGACCACACTCCAATGCGGCGGTGAGTAATCCGGGGGACCATTCTCCAGCTGTTTCGCGTCGGGGATGTAGGGCTCGAGTGATATCTCAGGGGACTGGTAGGGCTTTACAGTACAGCGCCGGAGCTGCTCGATACAAATTTGCGTTTTGGCGATTTCTTGCTCGATGAGGCCCAATTCTCGATGCTTCAGGAGGATTTCGATGTCGAACTGTTGCGAGATTGTTTCGCGAAGATTTTGGAGACTTTTGGGGTCTTTTTATTTTATTTTTCCAATTTGATGTGGTGTTAGCCAACATTCAAAAGTGATCTTTTCATCTTTTTTTCTCTCGTTCTCTCTCTCTGGGCAGCAGCAAAATATACGCAAATAAATAAAAATAGCAAAGCCGCAAAGTGGTATAAAAATAGTAATATTTGTTTTTTTTTGGAATATAAAAAATGTAATATATTTTATTTCCGATATTAAAACGATGTTGCTTGTGTAGCTGCAGTAATAGTAGTAAGGAAAAAGAAAGCGAAAAAAAGAAAAAATAAGTAGTTTTGTACCTAGGTATCTTTGCGCCGTAGTCTGCGCCGTCCTTCCAGTCGCATTCGCGCCATTCGCCGTTGCTGAACCACCCACAGAAGGGGGGAGAGGGGCATTAGGGTGATGTTGAGGTGCCACCCGCTCTCCGCCCATTCTCCAATCCCCTCCTATAAATCGCGGCGTCTCCTCAGCGACGGAGGTGGTGGTAGTATTTCCAGTGGACCCCGGATATGCCAACTTCACCTTCTTATTGACTGGCGGCCTCTCCTCGGCTGCGTCGCGGGCTGGACCAGCGACGGCGCCGGCCTTCGATATCCTTCTCCGGACTTCCGTCGGTGTGGGATCTCTAGCCGCAGCAGCAGGAGTGGCCGCCATGAGCTTTGAGATACCGAGTCGTTTGGAGGGGGAGAACGCGGGGGGGCGTAACCCGAAGGTTGTAGTTATGGCGGGGGGAGGGTTGTTACGCCTGCTAGAGAGAAGTGTTTTTGTTGGGATGCTGGTTTGTTAGGCGGGGGAGGGGGCGGGCTTTAATCGATGACGGTATTATTGCGAAGGTGTGTTATTTATGCTGACGTCGTCGCTATTGAGTTGGGCGGCGGCGGCGGCGGTGGTTGCGGATGGTTGTGGTTGTGGTTGCGGTTGCTTTCCCTTTCCAAGCTTTCGAACGGGACGGGGGGAACTGACGTTGATGGTTGACGTGTGCGAGTGAGTGAGAGAGCGCGCGACTTCTGAACCCTTTTTCCCCCTTTGTGGCAAGAGATCGATCTTGAGAGAGAAGGAGGGGGGGCTGTTCCCTGGGTTTCTTCCTTTAATACTGTATGTAATGTTAAATATTTATTTTTTTTTATTTTTTTTTCCACCAAGCAGGCTTCGGAGCAGCTGTTATATTATTGATGGCACAGACAGTAAGCAAGCAGGAAGGCAGGTAGGTAGGCAGGTAGGTAGGCAGGCAAAAGTTGCGTCTTCTATCGAGGTATGGTGGGGGTGGGATAAATATAACTGGGTGCAGCACAAATAGTAGGGGCAGATAGAGATATGTAGGGTAGGGTAGGGAAGGTACGACAAGCGCAGGGAAAACGACTCGAGGGAGACACAGTGAGAGATGAAGGATGAGAGAAGGGGTGAGAGAGGGAGAGAAAGAGAGAGAGAAGGGGAAAAATAAATGCGGGAGAAAGCAAGCAAGAGTTGTTTGAGAGGCGAGAATCGAACTGTTGGATGCTGAGGATCAAAGCGTCAGGTAAAGTGGTGAGCGGCAGGGTAGTTATGAGTAGTAGTAGGCAGTAATAGGTAGATCTGGCGCTATCTACTCTAACTACTCTCTTCACTTGCCTCCCACCGTCCTCCCTGTTCAGTGAATCTTATTTCTTACTCTACTTTACTCCCTCTGGATGCCTGCGGGAGGCTGAGGTAGGGTGGTGATGGCTAGCTACAAGCTATTGAATGTGTGTGGTTGCTATCTATGACTTTGATATCCCGGAATTTATCGATCGAGAGCAGGCTATTGAGAAACTACCTAGGGTATGAGTACCTACCTACCTAGAACTGGAAGTGAGGAAGTGGCAGTGGTATGTTGGGAATCAGTACCTACCTGCTCTACCTACATACTACATACATTAGGTCTACATATGTGCATTCAAGGCGCGCAGAGGTTAAAGCAAGGGAGTTCAATACGTCGACTACCACCTTGCAGGAATAAGGGTTCGAGCGGCGAGTAGATTCGCAGATAGAACATCAACCAGAAGAAGATCTGGAGAATCCCAACAAGGGAAGGGACAGGTTCCGTTTGGCCCTGAAGGTACTCTACTGGCGGCCACGGCTGTTGGTTGGCGCCCGCTACTCTGGGAAACACACACACAGCACACTACATACCCTAATTACAAAACCTCGCTGGGGAGCAGCAGGCAGAAACAGATGGATAGCAAGAGAAGAATTAAATTATTCAGCGATTGGATGTTTCCCCTCTCCGCCCAACACCCCTACATGTGCGACGTCCTGAAGAGAGAGAGGTAATATCAAATCCGTCGAGGATAAGAAAGAGAGTTGTTGCTGGTAATGATGGTGAGAGAGGGTGCTCAGGGAATAATAGTAATAGGTTGCTACAACAGCACCGGAATAATCACTGGCCCCAGCTGCTGCTGCTGCTTGCTTGCTTGATACTTGATAGAGTATTGGTATTGCATCTGCTTCTTGATGATCTTGCAGTTTCTGCTTTTCCCTCCCCCTCTTCTCCTCTTCCTTTGCTGCGTCCGCCTGCCTTCTTGCGTTGCTTGTGCTTGATACTCTACCCTCTACTAGTACGGAAGGCCGACGTCGACGTGTCAACGCCCGCTTCTCGACCTCGACCCGATCGCGAGAATAAGGGGACGAACAACCACCCAACAATGGAGGGGTGTCAGAAAACGCGGGGAAGATTTCACAGGCGAAGGGGAGGAAAAACTTATCATGTAGCTACATGGAGGGGGGGTAGGAATTAAATAAAACAAGAGAGAGGGAGTCGGAAATCTGCTCATTGATGCATGCAAGATACCCTATTATTCGTCCCCGTTCGTCGTTTCCTTTCAACCTGCAGCAACCGCTCGGGAACAGGAGCACGCACGAGTCTGTAGCTAGGAGACCCAGACCCTCCTCCCTACAATCCCTACAACTTAATACTTTCACAACGCTCCCTCCTTCCTCACACTTCATACTTCTCCCCCCTCCACCACCATGGAAAGTATTGTAGCCGGTAGCAAGAACGGAACATACATGTAGTAACTAACGCAGCCGATGCACCGTGCACGCACGAACAAAGAGAATGCGTGCCTAGAATGCGTGCATTTTGCTCGCATAGAAACCCGAGCAAGCAAGCAGGTATCTGCCTGTTCGTCCAGTCTCTCCATCCATTCAATTCACTATCCGGCCTATCTACGAGTAAAGTAGAGGTAGGTACATGTACTTTTACATGTGTACGTAGAGTACCGGCTGGAGTACCACAGGGAACTCCCAGTAAGCACAGTGCAGCAGCACATCGATAGCGGCGGCAGTGGTACCTACATGTAGTTACCCGGCCTCCCTTCCTCACCCTCTCATCGTCCCTTCCGAAATAAGTGACGCGAAACCCTCACTGGCCCTCCCCAAAAGGCCCGAGCGCTGAACACTGCACACTCGCTCACTCGCTCACTCGCTCTCACACGACACCTCCAGAAACGGTCAAGCGAGAAACACTCCGTTCTTCTTCGTTAAGTGGGCTGCTAGCTCCTTGGCGAAGATCTATCTATCGGTTTCGTCCTTAGCCCTGATAGGTAATAAACTTGGCCGCGACCCGGCGATCCAAACCGTGCAGAGCCTCATTCATCTTGATTCATCCAAACCGCTTTTTTTTTTCCCTCTGTAGAGTGAAGAAAGGGAAAACATCAACCCCTTCCCTTCCTTTCCTAATCATTACCCTATCCCATTTTATACAGCATGGATAAACCCACCGCTATCCCCCCCGCTCCCGTCCGTGAGGCGCAGAATGTCAACATTGTGTCAACCTCCGCCATTGTAAGAAAAGTGGATCAATGTCTCTCCAAGCTCTATCCCGAGCAGCGTGAGGATCCCAATCCCAACCCCAATTACCCTGAACCTGCATCCACGCCTGCAACCGTAACTGCCTCCAGCACTACTACAGCTACTACAGCTACTGCTATCACCTCCGATTTCCCCGCCGTCTCAATCACTTCAAAAGCCGCCACCGCCTCCAAGGCAATCACGGTAGCTGAGATCGTCAAGCGCTGCATCGGCGAAAAAGGCGGACAATGGTACCAGTACACGGCCCTGTCAAGTGTGACGAACGATCTACCTGGATCGCAGAAGCAGGAGAAGCAGCCACAGAAAAAGAAAAGGAAGACGGGCGACGAGGATAAGGCGGGGGAGGATGAGGAGGACCCATACGCTCTTCTCGTGGAGAAGACACCGCCAAAGAAGAGAAAGGTGCCTTTGTTGACCATCTACATCTCCAGGTCGCCGATACCGGAGCTTCAAAAGCTTCACGGGTTAGTTTCTCACTTGTTCTCCCGCAGCTTCTTTCTTGGTTGTTCCGTTCGGTAAAGATATCTAAGACCTCTTTGCTCCAGCGAACAATCAGGGCCTTAGGCAAAAAACACCCGTTCCTTAGACAGGCGAAAAAAAGAAACACCAGGTAAGCTAAAATGCGACACGAAAGCTTGTGGCTACATCCGGAAGGATCCACAATTATAATTACACCTGGTGAGGGGTCTGACCGAGATAGATTTTGGTGGTTTTGTTAGATTAAAGATCGTAGGCCTTTCCTATTAATATCCAACTTAGGCCAAAGACCTATCGGATCTTTCATACTCCGGTCCGGGAGGATACATGGAGTCAGGATCAGATCAATGGCAGCATACAGCCCGGAACGGGACTTTTATGTTAGTAAAACTGGATAGTAGTTATCTCCGACTTGCCTGTCCGCAACGCAACGCAAGACTCTCGATTCGATCAAAGATAATATTGTGTATGAAAGCAAATGTGTGTCTTCAACAATAGCAAAAGTAGCCCCATGTACCTACATGTATCTAACACATGTACCGCTTACATGTAGTGACCTCCAGCGGAGATCTAAAAATTGAACGATGAATAAAAGAGAAAGCAACATCTAGTCCAGAGTAAAATAGAAGAAAGAAAGAAACTTCAGTGCCCATTTTCACCAGTGAAAGCCCAAACATCAGCCTTTAAGTGTACCAAATTTCACCACCAATTCAAATCATCATCGATGGTAAATCCATCTGCAACTCATCCATATCATCATCCTCTAGTTTTTCATAACCCCGAGAAGACTTTCGTTTTCTAGTCTCTTTACCTACTCCACCCTTCCCAATTCTTCCGCTCGATTTTTTCTTCAAGGGGACTCTTTCCCGGTTACTTTTGTCGTTTTTTTTCCCGGCCCCCTCAACTGTTCCTTTGACTGGCACATATCTGCTTGTTCTTGAGCCACCGACATGAATGATATCTTTGCCGTGTTGTTGCCGCTGATTGAACTCCTTTGGGGGGCCATCGCCAAGTGTTTTGCTAGTATGTGCGGTATCCAAAGCCTTTACGTTTTTCTTTTTATAACTCCCAATGCCCCTCCGCACATGACCTTCCTCGTTCCCTGTAACGCTCTTCCTAAAGGTTTCTATGTCGTTCAGAGCTTGACAATCATATGGAGCTTGATAAAATTCGTCCTCAGATGATGCAGCCCGCAGGATCAGGCGCTGGTTTTCCGTAGGCATTGCATTCCTCTTCACTTTCTCTTTATAGTGTATATTTTTGCCGAGCAATTCGTCTTCGTCACATTTTGTGGTTTCGTTGCCCTCATCAGATGATCTTTCATTCAATGATCCATCCATATACATATCCTTACAAGAGTCGGCATCGGAGTAAAATGGGTTTTTGTTAGATCTTGAATTGCACTGTTCCTTATTTGGGGTCGATTTAAACAATGGACTTGATGAAGGCATTCCATTATCTGATAGGTCATATACGCTTCCCTGCGGACTGGTATTGACAGAATTCTGGAAAGAATTGGGATCCTCATTTCCTGTAGCGTGTTTGGAACTGTGATCTTTCTGTTTCTTAGTGTATTGAATTTTCGCCGATCCTAACATCAATAAATCCTGGATATTCTCCGATCTCCAAAAGTTCTTTTGGCGGCTAGAATTAGTCGTTCTGTGGAGACCCAGGTCTCCAGAATCCTTGTTTTGGCAATCTTCTGGACGAGAAAGGGGTTCCTGTGAATATTCATGTAGACTAACGCTACCCTTATTTTTGCTGAAAATGTCATTAGCATAACCTCCTCGAAAGTCTATATTCTCCTTCTGCGTCACTTGCAGATGATTGTTCATGGCCCCATAAGAACCCTTAATAGCTCCATTTTTGATAATGTCCTTCAGCTTAGGACGTTCCTCCTTTTGATCTCTACATTTAGCGTTCGATGGTGCAACTCCCATAATCTTTCCAGCCGCCTTCCTTGTTCCACTAAAAATGTCCCTTGCTCTCTCACGGACCCATGTCACAGATGTAGTACTAGCATTATCATCCATATCACTAGCTGGAGTTCCTAGTATTGTGGGCCCCTCGCTGTATATTCCATCTGATTCGGTTTCTTGTGAAATATATCCTCTTATCTTGGTTGGAGATTGAGCTTCTGGGAAATCTCGTTGCTCGTATACTGGTTTTAAATATCTGTGTTTTTGGGGGCGTAATGGTGTTTTTGCGTCAGATATAACCCTTGGAGTATTGTTGAATTTCTGTTTCTTCGTTCGATGATTCTTTATGTTTTGGCGAAGAAGAGATGTGGTGGAAGCTTCAGATGTTTCTCTAATTTGTGCAGCTGATCTTATCAGAATAGGGTGGTTTGTCGATTTCTCTCTTAAAGCTGTAGCTTTTAGAGCTCTTTTATCACTGTGATGGGAAGTTGCAATGGGATCTGGGAATTTTGATTTGGTTGAAGGCAAAGATAGAGGGTCTGCAAATGGGTCATCAAGATCGTCCGTTAGGTTTATATCAGATATCGAGCTAGAAATTTGTTGTCCAACGATAGGAGGGGAAGACGTTATGGCTGCAGTATGTAATCAGTTATCGGAGTTATCAAAGACATTGATCCCTCATCAGACCAAACGGGCATAAGAGATAACTTTTGGAGATGAGTAATCCTTACCTGGCCAGCTTTTTTTCTCGGTGTCATCTCTATCAACGGCATCTTGAAAAACTTTGAATGAAGCCGTCTTGGAGCGAGAAGTCTTTCCATATGTCTTTACTGCCTTACGACGCGTTGGGAGAACAGGAGAACGTAACATGGTGTGTGTGAGTAGACAATGAAAGATGAAACAAAGAGGTTAAAAATCGGAGATGGAGCTTAATGATTTTTGATGATTGAGCATGTCGAGGATGTCGGAGGGTGTGTCGAGTGTTAAGACTTGGGAGCACACGAATGATGACACATAAGGACAGTCTAGCTGTGCTCACGAACTTGCTACTTCTGCTGGTGTATCATCTCAGAAGGGGGCTGCTACCTACACATTTTCACCCACCCACACAGATAAGAAACCAACCACACAGAAGCGTGGTATCATAACCGCTCACTCGTTTAGCTGACTCACAAATTAAACCTAACCTCAGTGAGATAAGGATATATGATATGGGCCAAGCGTACATGTAGTTCTAGAAACTCCATTTTAGCTCAGGTTCGGAAACCCGCACTGACCTTTACGAAAAAAAAAAACTACCACATCTCGCTTGGTTCTAGACAGAGCTCAACCTCAAATGAGTACACTTGCTGCTTGCATCATAGGATGGCGGGAAAGACATCTAGTTATTAATCTCACTACCCTTCACCAATATTGATTCGTACGGAAAGATAAAAGAAAAAGGTAATAGCATGCTTGAACGCAATCCAAGTTCCTTCCTGGATGAAAAATAAAAACAAAGCCCGCAACGATTCCCTTCCCAAAACACTGAATTAGGAGCTGAAGAAAAAGACAAACGAAAAGTGATGAATAAGCACAAGCGTAACACCGTCCAACATACATATACCAACAACGCAATGAAAGGGAATATATAAATAGACGGTATCATCCGAGGAATATCTACAGCACCCATGTTAGAATGTATAAATACTGAGTGATTGTGATACTAACAGCCAATATAATAACGGTCAATATAATAGCCAAGATCAATAGCAAGCAGCAAGCTCTATTTCTGGCGCCTTTTTGGTACCTTGCCGCAGTAGTCAATTCCCGATCACTGTTACACGAGCGAGATACGTTAGTATTTCAATCACCTTTTGCGGTCACATAATCCTGATGGAGGAATACTCACGCCGCCTTTGTGCTAGTCGCCGCATTACTGACGTTCTGCTCAATGTTGTCAATCATGACCCCTTGTTCTGTGACCATAGTTCCCAGATCCCTGAAGATCTCATTCAGTTCTGTGATACCCTGCTCGATGCCTCGAATTTCTTGCTCTCGCTCCTGAATCAACCCCTCTTGGAAGTCAACCTCGCTCTGTTCGGCGAGCGCCATTTGCTGCTGAACAAGTGGCACCTGAACCTGCTGCTGGCCCGGCCCTGACTTTGGAGAATAGGATAGATCATCTATGGGCATTCCATCATCATTGATATGGCCCTGTGCCTGTCGTGCTGCAGTCACGTATTGTCTGGTCTTCTCAGCAGACAGCCTTTGAATTCCCTGGAAGTCTGTAAGGGCAGATGTCATCCCACGGGAAAGCTTTTCTTGGGTATATCGTTGTGATGGCTATATCACCACGCTTATATCAGCACAATGTCCTTCCGAAAGCAAACCGACATGGCGCCCATCGTAGAGATATAATCGTATAACTTACAGAACAGTCCTCCCAGTTCTGTACTCTCTTCACCCCCTCCCCAACCGCTTTAAAGCCCTCCCTTGTCTCATCGAGAAGCTTCTTAACTCTCTCCCTAAGGTTCTCGCTATCTCTTTTCGTACCAACCAAACTCAGCTCGCGGTTCAACGTCGAGATATTACTCGTAAGTTTAAACAACTTCGAGGAAAGCTGGGTCGTGAGGCGGTCAAACTCTGGGGAGTCGGAGTACCCCGTTGACCGAGATGTCGTAGGCTGGGCCTCGAGAGAGGGGAGACGGTCAAACGACATATTTTCTTTCCTTCTTTGTTCCTAAACAGTTCTGGATCTTCTTCTTCGAGCGACTGTATATATGCAAGTGATCGGTGCGTGGGGGAGGGAGTTGTTGTTGTGGTGTTTGTAAATCGAAAAGGGTACCGGAGCTGTTGTCTCTTGATTTCCGGATAGGTTGCGATGACGAACGACATCTGTTGCTTGGCATGTCACGTGAAGTGCGGCGGCAGACACCGGTAGGTGGATCGTAAAAACGGCAACATCCCTGTCACGGTTTTGCGGCATGATGCATCACTCGTTCTTCAAAAAATGCTTTACAGTAGTAGGTTAGAGTGCCTTGGGGGCTCAGTTTTCCGGTAACCTGATTGGTGTAGATTCTCCCATCGGCCAATCAGATAATCAGGATTTTGAACTGGAGTCTTTTCGCAAAGGTTCAAGTCAGTATGTATCTCTAATTGTAGGGTCAATTTATGTATGTGCTCCTGGAGATCATATTAGACCCGATAATTCTGGATATTTCTTGATGCATTGGCCCGGGTAGAGAGTATTACCCTATAGAAATGCAATATCTGTGGGTAGAGTACCTGATATCGATCGATACTTGAAAAAGCAATGAAAGGGGGTTGGGAACAGTATCGTGGAATTTGTCAAACTCGACGGATTTAAACTGGTCATTCAAGCCTTCGCGGCAGTGTTTAAGGCGGAGCAACAGAGGTTGCTTCTTCAACTCGAGTGAACCGGGCTAGCTGGAGGCTTCCAGTCATCTGACGATGATCATCTTGGGAGGTTTCTCTTGGGGTGCATCCTAAAGAAGCTACCCACTTACCTAAAGGGGAAACATGGGGTTGATCATCAGCCTGTTTTTGGCCTTTGATCAACGATCCTTGACCCTTTTCTGAATATCATAATTTTGTTAACGGTTTTTTCTATTTATTTTTGAGATTCAATGCTAAGAGCCGGATTAGGTGTCTCCGTTTACATACAAAGCTTTAACTGCGCGCGCAATTTAACCTTGCGCGGTCGTTATGAAATTCCTTGGCCGATGATGCGAGTTTAGTTGCAAGTGCGGCAAGCAGGGTTCATGAAAGTGTGGGGAAGGGGAATTGAGAATTGTGGGGTGGTTGTGTCGCATTAGCCAAAGCAAGTCTTAGCAAAGAACCGGCAGGGAGAGGTCTCGTGCAAGCTGTGTTGCGTGACGCGAAGGAGGGGGGAGCTTGGTGAGCAACGAACGAGGGAAAGAACACCGTATGACTGGCGCCGCCATGGACTGATTTCGGTATCCGACACGCAAGAACCTCTCATCCTTTTGGCAATTATTGCCAATGGGCTGAGAAGGGATGTTCAGGAAGGTGGTGGCCTGGTGCGTGAGAAACTCAAGTTGTGGTCCCACCATCAGGTGGCGCTATGTATCCACAATATAAATCCCCACCAACAGCACGAGTTTCATTATTCTTTGTTCATACAGTTTCAATCCAGTGTGATTTTTATAAACAAATACTTTGGTGAGTCGAAAATAATTTCAATTCCACCATCAGGAAACTCATTCCGTTTTACCCTTGCGTATATAACTTCCATTACGACGTCACTTTCAGCACTTCCCATCTCCGGAAAACATGTACCCAGAGCTCCACTTGGTGGCTTTCCATCCCCGCATTCCACTGGGGGCGTGCATACTGTGTATCTCAAGGAGAATCTTGGCCGACTAACAAGCCACTTTGGTACATATATATATAGACCCTCCTCATCCCACGAACAGTCTACCAACACTCTCCTCAAACCATCTTCCATCCTCAACTTCATATTCATTACTCTTTACCTGGATACTTATTACGAACCCAAATACATAACACTTAATCTTTTTAATAACATACTCATCCTCCTACACAAACACCCGCAATCATGACTCGCTCTCACAAGGCCAATGATATCCCCCACAACCACCCCGAGGCCGTGGCTGCCTTTGACGAACACAAGATCCCCAAGTACTTTGGAAAGACCGGCTTTGTCGACATGGCTCCCAACAAGACTAAGAAGAACGGTGGTGGTAAGGGCAATTGGTATGTTATCAATGCTCTCTGTGATTTATCCTGCAATACACCTTATTACAACACGAAATGGTTTCCCCTCACAATTCACTCCTTTCCCACAATTCATCCCACTCCCAAACGCTAATTAAATTACTCTTGAAATAAAACGTTACTAATAAGCACTCAATAGGGGTCGTGACGGAGACGAAATCGATATCACCGAATTCAATACCTTCAAGCCCCGCCGTCGCTCCAACTCCATGGGCAACATTGAGAACCAATTTGTCCCCAGCAAATTCGAAGTGGTTGATGAACCTGTCTACGATGAAAGGGTCCATGGGGCTCGTCACCCTGGAGTCGTGGATGACGGGGCCGAACTGGCCTCTACCATTTCCAACACTTCTTCTGTTGAGGGTGAAAAGGCTTAGATTCGGCGTTTTTGATTCGGTTGATTGTACTTTTTAGCTTCCTTCCAGATGTGTGTTTGTGATTCCGGAAATCTCTCACTCTAAGGGTTTTTATTTTCGGGGTTTTCTACTATTTCATTTTTCTGTTCTCATGGGTTTCATTTTCTGTATAACGAAGTGACGGGTCGGTGGGAAGGGGAAAGCTTTTTTTGAATTGGTGTGAATTATCTCTCGAGTAAATCTCAACTCTGAAATAAAAAGGCAGTAATTACTGCACTTTACCATACAAATCTCTGCCATTGCTTCCAACCACTGTTTCAAGTGTTACCTGGAAATCGAAATTCAACCGAAATCTACTTATTTCCATTCCGTGGAGGCCTGAATCTTTCCCTCGGTAGGCCTGAAGATCCAGTACAGTAAAGGCTATCTCACATTCCTTATTGAAAGGCCCTTGAGGTGTGAGCGGCAGATTATCACACCCTCTATTAAACTCCACTTACTCCTCAGACCGTCGGTACATGAATAAGGCAGCTCCCTTCAAGCTCTTTGTCCCTCCTTACCTAATCTACCTACACCATTTCCCTCCAACCAACGTAACTAGCAACCCTCATAGTTCTCACCGGCTTACTGATTAGCTGCCTAACTTCTATATCAACCGCCAATTATACATATTCATTCATGGGTCAACGCATAACATAGGGCAGATACGCACGGTCACTGTTACAGTTGAAGGTGAAGCCAAAGGAGTAACAGCCAATCCCACCAATGGACTCAAAGCATGACGTTGCATGGCATGCACGCGATCGGGGGATCGGAGCTCTATCCTTCTGTGGTGCGGGATATTGGGAGTACAGCTATTTTGCCTAACAAGGTGGGAGCCTTCAACGGCACCGGGTATATCTTTTGAATGGGGTGCACACACGGAGATATAGAACACGCTCTATAGGGATAGACCGGTGGGAATTGTAAAGAGCGCCCGGCGGGCAGATATGTCACGGTGTGATATGAGAGTTTTCCGGGTCCGACTGCCCGCCGCAGGCTGGCCGACTGCGAATGACAGGACGACGTTGCTGATAGGTCCGTTTATAACGACGTCAGTACATGTATGTAGCTGAGTAAGTAATGAAATTGACTCGAGATGAGATGAGTTTCACCCTGCCATCATAGTAGCAGATAAGGATAAGAAAAGTTTTAATGAATAGATAGATGTATGTATGTCATAACAAGCTGGTTAAAAGTAGTTTCATTAATAGCCCAATTGATACAACACCCAGGTTTCCCAAATCCAATTGCCCAACGCAACAAAAAACAACTCTGCTAAAAATCATAAATCCATCACTGCGCAGCACCCAACTACAACCTAGAATACAAAAAATGAATATTATCCAAATTTCTCTCAAACCTTCATCTCTCTGTTATCGATTGAACGACAGCCGATCGCGACCGTTACCAATCAATTGTCCGTCCGTATACACAGAAAAACAATGCAAATTAAAGTGGTCCGAGTTTAAAGGAAGACTCTAAGTACAAAGTTGACAACGACGGCGCAGAGAAGGGTGATAGCCTGTGCACAAAGTTCTATTAGTACCGATCGCGAATATCCTACCCGACCACAACTTGTCGGGTGATTGCTTGGAATATATGGATATCGAGGAGTAACCCACCAAAACTGTTGGCCCAAAACGATCATCAAAGCTGCCTTGTCCTCGTTTTCTGATGGCCGCAGCTCTCCAATGGAACGTCGCAAGCGCGTACATCATCGCACCCATCGCGACAAATGTGAATAGTCCCGCACTTATGCGGCCGACCCGATCACCAAAGTTCAACAGCCCGATTGCGAGACTGCCTAGAATCACGGTGAAATTGAGCCATGAGAGGAAAGTTCTCTCGTTGGCGAAAAATACCTGTTACACCAACACAACGTCAGATCATGTCAGAGACGAAAATGGGAAATTAAGTGGTGTTTCGGTTCCTTACCTTTGGCTCGACACGGGTGGGAAGGGCAATGCGCTTTCCGGGGGCACTCTGGAGGAGGGGTTGGGACGACATGGCGCGTTCTCGTGTGAATAAGGGTGTTCCTTGGTCTTTAGAGGGAAAATCTTTTTATCTGATTATGTATTGGAGAGCAGTTAGATGCTATGTCTTTGGTAGTTAATTGAGACTGATAGGGGAGGAGATAGTGTAGCAGAAGGGAAAGAGGTGGGGAGCAACACTCACGAGAGAGGAGGATGGAGAAGATTTTGACTGCCTGTGTCGCGTGTCCCTTGGAGAATTTTACAGGTTGAAGAGCAAGCTGTTCGGAGAGTTGTTATTGAAATCCGATCGAAGCGGAAAAACAGCTGGATACTTGGATGGCAATGGCAGGCTATGGCGGCTGGGCGGGAGAATGCATGGGCTAAATCACTTGGCTCTCCGCTTCCTGGTGCGCCGAAGCGGGACACTAGGAGGGGGGCCAATAAGAGGGAATATAGGAGCACCGTACAGGGAGAGCAGAGGAAAGCGCCCAATGAGAGACTGTCGGTGGGGTCATTATTGTTAAAACACCCAATTAGAAAAAAAAATAGCCTTTCCAATAGATAGATCGCGGTGTGATGTGGTGTTCTTAACCTAGGTGAACAACTCGTCACTTGAAGACCAGGAACAGGGCTCTCTTACCGCCCCACACGAGCTATCAGTGTTGTTTACCCCTCCAACTTCGAACAGTTGTCGTTCAGGTCCACTTCAAAACACCACGCTTTTTTATACATAATACCAATATCTCTGCGACAATGTCAGATCCCAAGTTCCCGAATCTCTCAAATGCTACTCCTGTAAGCTCTCAAAATTGAAACATGAAACTAAAATCTCGAAAGCTAATGCTAGTAATTCCCACAGCCTGTACCGACAACCAGGTTGAGACAAATATGCAACGATGTGTGTACCACCACGAATAGCTTCCCATTAATAAGATATCTAGAGCTGAGACTAATTAAACAAGGCTTGTTTCGCCGCCCTAGAGAAAGTTGAGGCCTACGAGCACTCACGGACCGAGTCCTGGAATACTTCCATCATTGTATTAACCCTCGGATTCGTTCGAAGTCAATGTACGAATACTAAAGCAGCGCTCTATAGAACCATATACTCCGTGCATTGATCTCGGAGTCCGTTCCCTCGTCTGCAGTATCCTCCACATCATCGTCGTCGCCTTTTAAGTTCGCTGTAAACTCTACCATCATTCAGCACTTGACTTCACGTCAGGCTCTTCCTTCCACCAGCACGGGCACTGGCGATGCAGATAATGCCGGCAGTGAATTGGTCTCTGGGCGTGGGGGCTCCGACAGCAGCGCAGGTGTGGGAAGGAGGGGAATGCACAGTGCTTGTGGGGCCTACTGGAATAACGAGAGGGATGGCATGTGGAGCTTCAAGTACGAAACCAAAGGTAAGATCGTAGTGAAAGAGTCTTTCATAAAGATTGGATCAGGGTTAACATTTAGATTTATAGGAATGGATGTGGTTATTTCTGTTATCTGGATCGCTGTTTAAAAGGTCTGCTTGTTGATAGGGAGAATCGAGATGTTTGCTTTTGATTCAATGTGGCGTTTTTTTACTTGGTGATATATTTACAACTTATTTATTCGCAGAAATAACTACATTATCAGAGATGTGCGATCTCATAAGCTGAGTGGCGCAATATATACACGGGTGACTGCCCAATTAAGGGATTTATTCTATATACCTGGGTTATATAGATGCTACTACTAAGTTATGTACGTAGCCAGCTGTAATGCGGGTGTGCATGCGGCCGAGGTTATGCCGTCATAATCCCAAAATGGGGTCCGATAGCTGCCATAACTAAATGCGAAACACTCCATTTATGTGCAAGGAAAAATATACTTGCTTACACGAATTTGGTCCCAGGGTTTACATGTAAACATGATCATCGCTCTGCAATTACGTACTTGAGCACATTCACAACCCCTTTACCAAGCTAAATACACCCTTGAGTGTTTAGGAATGCGTTTCACTTGAATGTTTATTGATATCATTCTCAAAGCATTTAGGTGAATTGCCTTTCATCTGGTTACTTGAGTAGGTTGATCAACCGAATTCAGTCGCTCTTGAGTAACAGCATGCCATTTTGATTACATGGCATAAGCTTAAGGTTAATTACTTAAGTAGATCGGGTTATTAAAATTCGAACGTGGAGGCCAATTTTGTTGTTCATAAAAGCTCAGCTGAGGTGGTAATTACTAATCTACACATATACTTCGGCATATATACAAATTGAGGTCAATGATCATGATATATGTTATACAGCATTTCCGTGTTAACTCATTTGCTATGTATAATGTTATACGACCTGGAAGAACTAGTTTAATTAGGTTACCAACCGCCTGGACCTACCCCCAAACTTAAACTTGACAGCCTGATGATCCGGATATCGATGGACTCTCCGGACAATAAACGTATAAATGTCGAAGGTTCTAGCCCTTACACAAGGAACTAATTAACTTGTCGCCGTAATCAGTTCTAGATCCAATGGCATGTGTTATGTTACTACTACATAGAACGACAAATGGGGTAGGCTATAGGCAAGACCTTCTCCATAATTTAGTCTCGACGGCAACATTATCAACAATCTAGCGCAGAGCAGCTCTAACAGGTACTATTAATTACAGTAACTCCTGAATTCATCTTACTTAAACGTTGTACGAGGTCGGTATGACTAACTGCTCTGGTCCTTGATTATGACACAAACGTGGGTACTAGAAGGCCCGAGTGATACAATATGATGCATAAATTTCTTTTTTTGTTTTTGTTTAATTCATTAATTGCATATATATTTTTCTTGAGATTTTAGAAACTCTACCTGGCCCTTCTTCATAACCACTGTTATTATAATATTTGAGCTGCGACTTTAATCAAGTGAGACTAGTGTGATCCATGAGCCGGCCCGGCTTGAGCCCAGTGAGCCTCACCCTCAAGCGAGCCTGAGCCGGCTTGAGCCGTTTTCTCTAAGGCTCGAGTTTAGGCTCGAGCCTTAGCTCAAGCTCAGTTTGCTCACTCTGAACTAGGCTCTAGGAGCCATAAAGGAAGTAAAAAGGGGATTTCTACCCACTAGAGTGTTCACTTAAATAATTCATTTTTTTCACGGTATTACTCCATGAAATGAAGCTTATATCTGCCATTTTACTACACTTGCTGTACGGATAACCTGTTTTTTATATCGTTGATCACAGGCTCGAGCCAGTTTACGAGCCTGTCACCAAAGCTCGAGCCTTGCGAGCCTCTGCCTCCCACGAGCCGAGCCGGCTCGAGCTTATATGCCGGCTCGACTCAAGCCGGCTCATGGACCACACTAAGCGAGACACCAATTGTTTGTTCTCTGGGCTTGGAAAGTTCCTAGCTAGGTTGATTGATTGATTGATTGATCCACCAAGGAAGGTCCCGAGTTCAAATTACGGGTGGGGAGGAGTAACTAGATTTAATTCCCGGTGACAGTACTTTTTGTTCTTTTTTTAATTTAGTATACACGCCAAAAAAAACGATTGTCAGTAAAAATTGTTCACACAAATTAAGAAATAAAGTATCGTTATAACGTTAAATTATAAAACAGTACTCAGAAAATGCAACCCACCATCAAAGCCCTACTAATTTAGGTACCCAGGCCCTAGAGCATACCCGGCCTCTCTGCATAAACTATTGGTCGTAAAGTGCGTGTACGAGGGCGAGCTATAGAATCAGTTACAATACAAGTAGTACCTCGGAGCTAGCTGCTGAGTTGGTTATCATGAACAGGGTTAGGTGTTCCGTTTCGTCTTGGCACAGATTGTATTATCTATCACTTCCAGGTAATATCAAACGAGGGCGAGTGGTCTACCGGTTAGACTACTCGTCAGGTTAGACACCGAGTGTTTGTGCTCAGGATGACAGAAGGTCCTGGGTTCAAGCCAGGGGTGGGAGTAGTAGCTGGATTTAATCACCGGCTGCAGTACTTTTTGTTCATTTTATATACACCCCCCAAAACAATATATTTATAACAAAACGATTTAAACCAAGGCATACGTATATACGGCAAATTTAAACCATCATCAAAGTCCTACTAATATAGACCTTAGGGTATACCCTATATCTACCCAAATCAACCATTTATAAGAAAGATCAGCTTTTGGCACGACCCCCCGCCCTAGATACGGCCTCTCCACCTCCTCTGGTAAAGCCTGAGTTAGTCGATGGTAACCGTAGCCTTGGGCGAGCTGCAGTGCACGCGGCCGAAGGATGGCCACGTCTTTGGCTCTCTTCTCCTCACGGCCTTGCACTTCTTTCGGGGTTGTATAGCCACTCTTCGTTTTAAGGAGAAACAAAGAGGGGACTTTTCTCCTGTTACTTCGGTAGTGGGTTTTTGGTGGGTGATTCTAGTTGGAGCTCAAGAGATTTACGGAATTGGCCGAGGGGAGTCTTGATCTGGTCATGGCTATGGCCTTTATTCTCAAACGAGGTCCACTATTAGGGCACGATATTAATTTGATTGTATCAAGTGACCATGAAGAGAAAAGAAAGCGCGATGAATCTTATGATTGTATACCTTACCGTCGACACGCATAAAATTTTGAGCCTTATTGGGTAGGCTTATCTAGAACGTAGGCTCACAATAGCTTTATGAATACAATAAGGTTCAGGTAAGTGTTATTTAAGCATGTTTTAAGGATGAAATAAGGCTTAGAAAAGGATTTTTGTTCTGATAAGACTATTGTAAGCCTACGTTCTGGTTAAGCCGACTGAATAAGGCTCAAAATTGTATGCGTGTCGACGGTAAGGTATCTATTATAACAATATCAAATATTTGTTCGAGTGATATTCTATGAATGAGAGTCTTAGTAACCAACATGCCCTTTTACATTGGCTACATACATGTAGTCCCAGCACAGTTTTATGGGTACAGAATCTACATCGTATTTTAAAGGATCCCTACCGTCTTTTAATGGCATTATTGTGAACGCGGAGTGGAAATCCCAGAGGAATTTGGCGACACAAAGAACTATTGTAATATATTAGCGCACAGAGAACGGTATACCCTCTGCTAACCGTTTCATTATTGCAGATGTTCCTTTGTCGGGAAGAGTCTAATTATTAGCACTGTGCGCATGAGGAACGGTACAATGTAGACATGTATCTTTTGACTACAGGACACTGTGGAGGATACTAGTGATGTCACTTTGTGACAGGTAAAGACACATTGTAGGTATGGGAAGATATACGTACCCACTATATAGAAGAATTAGAGTTTCCTCAACAACCAGCCAACAAACTAAACCCAACAATGCTCCCCCAACCTCTTCAAGCGCTTATCATTCTGGTGGGTTAAATATTCTATCTGGAGATTCAAAATAAACCGATACTAAATATTATCACTGAGTGTAGAGACATACCTGTCTTGAGTCATTGTGCATTGTCAGACGACGAAACCCGCGAGTTAAATTCCATCGAACCCGACAATTCGGCGAGCTAGTACTGCAGCAGTACTATTAAGGTCAACGGATAATGTTTATTAGCCTTTTTGGTTCCGTATATACATGTATGCATGACTCTCTATTGGTTTCACTAACGGAGAATTTCATGCGGACTCCTAGACAGTTTGAATTGCTCTATGCAATACGTTCATATAAGACTAGCCAGTTTAAAAGTTACAGGTCTAGCCCTTGCTGTGATTTGTGAGTGGTAATTAACCATACAGCTAATGATCATAACAAAACAACAGGATTATTATCATTGGAGAGAGTTATTCTCGAGGCTTAATTATAAGGCCGATCAGAAGTGCCCTCTAAAATGACATCAACCTTGTGAGCCTCCAAGCATCTGCTAGTACTGTACTAGCTGCACTAATGTTTGCTACGATACGAATTACCATAGAGCGAATGAAGTACTAAAAAAACATTATAGAGGCGAGGCAGTGCGAAAAGTCGTGATTTCGTTATTTGGGTCGAGTCGGTCACGGAATTTTCAGCAGCCTTACTCATAATAAATAAGCACTGCAGAAAAGCAATTCATCTCGGCCCCCACTCTCTTTAGAGCAAGGGCTCTCTGCATGTGGAACCACGCCATGGCGTTCTGCAGCCTATGGTAGATGAATCCTCACTTTTCCCCGTTCGTGTGTATGGTCGTACGACCGTCTCCGGTAGGCAGACATATGTACCCGCAACAGTGCATATATTGATACCGCTCTAACATATAACTGCCTAGGGTTTACCACTCTCTATTAAGTTTTTATTGCGGGGAGCGCTGAGAGACTTATGATACCTTCAATACAAGTAAAATTCCGTCCTCGGAGAGAACATCGATAAATACTGCAAGGAAGACAAACATACAGGAGATTGACTCCCGGTAGAAATATTACACAAATACCTAAGCCTGTAAGTACTGCTGGACAGCCCACTTCTAAATAAAAATTCCGAAGCAGAGATCCCATGCCCGCCAACCAAGCCTTCAACCAACACCTTGGGCTGATCATTACCATGGCAATCAGACCCAAACCCCCAGCCACAAAAGAGAATTAATTAAAAGTCCTCCACGGCGTCCGCGAGAGAAACGATAATAAGTAGGCGCACGTGATCCAAATGCGGCATGACCATTCCGCAGATCTCGTCGTTCTCGCATGTCAAATCTTCAACCCGCATGGCCTTTCCCTACTACATGCTTCCTCACAATTTATGGGCATATGATAAAGACAAAACTATACCTCCATTAGACTACGTACATACATGTAGGTACCGTGAAATTCCTTCGTTCTACGCTCTACTCTACACCACCCACTCTCACCCACTCAACCCCCTAGTGGTGGCTGCCGCCTCCGTAACTGTAACCGCCATCACTGAAATCACTCAAGAAGAAGCAAAGGTCGGAAAGGGTAAAAAAGAGCGGACGCTCTCGCTTTTTTTTTCTCATCTCTCGAAAAAAAAAAAAAGAAATATGACAAAAGGAAAATGCATAAAAAATATGAAAACAAAAAAATACATCCACTCACTCACTCCAATGCATAAAAAGAACATTATCGAGGTGGAAATGGTCATCTCCATCTCATCTGGTTGATAGATACGGACTTAAAGAAATGATTAAAAGAAAGCAAGCAGACCGACAACAAAAACAATATCTAGCACTTCGCCGGAAACCCTTACAGACACACACCACAGTAACCAAAAGACCACGCTGATAGCCGCAAGAAAAGCCAAGTAGAAGAACTAGCAGTAGTAGTAGTAATAGTAGAAGAAGCACTGAGAAATACTAATATATGAAACAAAAAGGTAAGAAGGACAAATGCAAAATCAGAAAAAATACCGACCCCTCCAGCAAATTGCACAAAAAAGCAAAACACCTGTAAGAAAAAAAAGTTCTTTTTTGTTTTATCGTTTTCGCAAAGATAGGGCAACGCCTCGAAAAAGAAGATATGCTCCGAATCGACACTTTCATAAACTCTCCGCCGCCCAGACCCCCTAAGTGTCCATGACAGCCCATCGCCTCTATACCGACCACAAGCATATTTAAATTCCTACTACCCTGCACCTCCCCTCTTCCCCTTTACCTCCCCACATGCTGCTATCATCCAGTTTTGGTCGTAGCATCGTCGAAATGTCCCCTTGGATGAAGGGGCGTAGTGTATCAAGGAAAGTAGAGAAAGGAAACACGCCATGAGGATATAAAAGGGATAATATTAAACAGTTTCTGGAAGAATAAAAACAAGTGTAAGCAATCAAAGACGAATTATTCAACCTATAACAACAAACGTTAGTAATGTATAAACCAAAATAGACATCGCGTAGGCATACCACAGCAAAAAACGGAAGAGAGCTTTTGCATGAAAGTTTTCTTAGTTGGCTCCTGCTGACTGTTTCTCGGTTGAGGCGACTGGCTCACAACCTGGGGCGACTGGTTTCTCGCTGCCGGTTGCAAAGTCGGGTTCGACGCCTGGAACTGGGCTTGCGTGCTCGCTGTTGGCGTTGATGCTTGTTTTGCTGTTAAGCCCCCCGCAGGTCCGCTCGGTCGTTTGGTTGGCGGCACGCCTTGTGCGTTTTGCCTGTCGCCGCGCGTCTGACCCATCGGTTTTCCTGGCGATGGTGGCGGGGGATGCGGGGCGTTTAAACGGCCGGGTGTCAATTGAGCGGGCTGGCGAACCTGAGCAGGAGGAACATGTCGCAGTTCACCAGTTGTTGTGGCATGAGCCTGGTTGTGGGCTTGGTGGTATTGGTGAGAGGAAGGGTGTTTAGAAATAGCTTCCCAGCCCTTACCGTTGTTAAGCTTCATCCAATCGTACTCTCCATCCTCAACTTCTCCCGTATTCTTCAACGCTTGCGTGAATAGCTCACGAAGCAAGTCGTAGTCGGGCGTGTCCTCGAATCCGAGGTTCCTCACGTAGGTCAAGTATTGGTTGAACTCATCTAAACAATACACATTAGCGACACGGGGCGGTCCGGGAGAGACAAGAACATACCTGGGAAACTTTCGCAAAGATCTTTGATTGCGGTCGTCTGTTTCTTTTCGCCAATTTTCTCGTACTTCTGTTTATTGGTCGCAGCCTTCAGCCCCTGCCAAGGCAGTCCGCCTCGCAAAAAGTACATGAAAACATGTCCCAATGCTTCTAAGTCATCTCGTCGCGACTGTTCCCTTCCCAAATGTGTATTGATACTCATGTATCGAGCAGTACCAGAAAGACTCTTACGTTCTCTGTATGGGATATGTTGCTTTGTCTTGGGGTCCCTGTATTGCTTGGCCATACCGAAATCAACTACGTGGATGACGTTTGCCGCTTTCGATCCAGGCCTCCCAATAAGAAAGTTGTCAGGCTTGATATCCCGGTAGATCAAGTTCTTTTCGTGGATTGTTTGCACTCGTGACAACTGTGTGGATGATTAGTAAACCAGAATCCCCGAAATGTGTCGCAAGTTTTGAAGTACCATTTGTTTAGCCACCATTACGACTGTTTTGATTGAGAATCTTCTGTTGCAGTGGTCGAAAAGATCCTCCAAACTGGGGCCCAGCAAATCAATTACGAGTATGTTGTGAAGGCCCTCTTGGCCGAAGTAATAAACATTAGGTATTCCCGCTGCAATCCGGTCAGCACGCATCCTAGCCAATATAGACCGAAGCGATGGAGAAGACTGACGGCAGCCAACAAGTATCTTGTAAGTTCTGTATTCATCCCTAAGCTGGGGAGCATCACTCTTTCTCGGTTCCTACAGACACCAAGAGTTAGAAACAACGCGTATTCAACACGCATCAGAGACCCAGAAGACTTACAAACTTGATCGCAACATGCTGGTTATTTAGCAAGTTTGTTCCCTCAAAGATGACACCGAAAGATCCCTCTCCGATCTTCTTGCCTACGCGGTAGTGCACACCGACAACGTTCGAGGACGAAGAGGCCATTATCTCGAACGTTTCTACTCGTAACAAAGGTTGATTAAGACAGTGTTTGCGTCCGTGAAGCTGTTACTGCTGCAGCTACCAACTCTGGAGCTGATGAAAGCTAATCGACGGCTGGTGATAAAGGAGTGATTTTTTCCCTTTTCGGTTCGTGGCACGAGAGAGCAGTACAGAAGGGGTTTCTACAGAATGCACTTTGATGAGCGACCGCTAGAAGACACTTTTGATGACTGAGGGAAATGGAATGAAGGTTATGGCAAAGTAGTGATGTTTATGGCAGTGTTAACACAACTAGCCAGAGAGAGCGATGTTGCAAAAAAACTCACTACGAGGCACAGGGGGGGGGTGTGGTATGTGTGTGTGTGGGGTGTGTGGAAAGGGGATTACGGAACACGGATGGGCACGTACGTAGATCGATCTGACTGGAGAGTGAGTTCTGTGTAGTAGAGGGACAACAGGAGAGAGGGAGCGAGACGAAACGGAGAGCAGGAGCAGAGCAAGAAAAGAGAAAGAGGGAGAGAGAGGAGAGCTGGCTGATGTAGTTAGGGAATGAGAGAAATATGAAGCCACTGATAGACTACCGTGCTGCACTCCACGCCCTGCAGGCTCCTGTGTACCAAATCGAGGTGGGCGAGTAGAAAGGGGGAGAGAGTAGCAGAAGAAGAGAGGAAGGGAAAGGGGGGAGATGTGAGTAGAATAGAGATATGGGAGAGAGGAGGACAGAAGAGAGAATTCGATCCGGAAAAGCGAAGAGAGGTCAGTCAAGCAGCAGCACCAAAGGGTGAGCGGCGGCAAGTGCTTGCAGTTGAGGCTGGGGTTTGTGTGAGCGTTGAACGCAGCCTAGGCCTCTTCGGCTGGGCAACGCAACCCGCGCCCGGTCCCCGGCCAAGGTGCAATGCCAATTTGGTCGGAGAACAGGCAAGGAAAGAGAAAAAAATTAAAATTTACGGAATGCTCAGAGCAATGGGTGGCGACCTTCTGGAAGAATTAAGCAGCCGCCATCAGAGAAAAGCTGCAGAAACATCTTTGAAGCTTGAACCTTCAGCCCTTACTTCTTCACTTCCTTTTCTTCTCCGTTCCCCCCCCCCCCAGCAGCAGTACCAGAAGCAGCCTCTAAGGAGGGCTAACTTCAAAGCCAACCAACTAGAGGGCAGAATCCGTTTTCGGCTACGCGACCCTGGTTGGCTGGCTCAATTGCACGGTCGAACCAAACCCTAGTGGGTTTCGTTTTGTTCCACTTATGGAGTTGTTCCTGGCGCTGGTACTGATCTGTCTATCGACTTCATGACTACATGTAGCAAGCAGTTAATTGAGCTGGCATATAGGCAAATATCAAAGAGAGAGGGCAGTTCTCGCTCGAATATTCCCATCAATACTATTGATATGGATCTTCACATGTTTCCTTGAATTCCAACCACAGATTCAACCGCAATTAACTTCGTGATAATTAAAAAGGTTGTACATGGACAATGCTTGGGATCCGGATGCGGCGAGGGGGAATCTCGCTAGGACACATTTTCCCGCTACTATGAACAAATGTTGTGGTCCTTCCGCACATGCCGTGTGGCGGTATTTAGATATTTACCGCTTCGTGAATACTGATCCTTGGTCTATGATGATGATAATGATAGTTATGAGCTCCCCTTCCTTCACCTCATCTTCTACTTTGTAGAGACGTGTTGCCAAAGTTTTTAAAAGTTTACAGAAATCTCGTATTCCCTACAATTCATCCGCACGGGCCAGTCAGCGCAAGTAGCCGACGCCAGCCAAGCAAGGCGCTGGCGCTGACCACCCCATCGGCGCCTGAAGTCGGAATAGGTAGGTATGTAAGTGGTTCATACATCAAGTGATCCTGTACGAGTGCATCTACTGGATGGAGGTGTCTTTCGTAAAATATCATTCTGTCAACCGTCCTGCTGTGAGCCGCAAATCGTTTGCTGCGCTTATTATCGAGGAAGTCAGAAGAGAAATTACCAAGGGATCGGCCGCCGTCGTTGCCCGCCACGGGTAGATATCCAGAAATTGTGTCCCAAGGCATAATGTCCCGAGTGCTCGGAGGTAATACCAACGGAATCAGTCGGAGACGCTTGGATATATTGTTCAGAACTTTACGCCGAGGCTATGTGTAGCCTTAATATTAGGTATCACTCTGCCTTTTTCAAATCAGTGGGAGAGTAGTGATTCAGGATCAAAGACACCCACAAGCCTCAACATTTCATCTTATCACTCTGATATTTAGATAAAGTCTCCCATCCGCCTGGCGTTGCTTTATTTCCTTTTCTTTCACATCTCATAACTCTGGGGAATAGTTACCTTCCATTAGCACCATCGACAAGCCTGATTGGTATCCTAACATCCTTGACGGGGAGCTTGCAATGTTGACCGTTGACGATAAAGATGGGATCGATTCGAACCCGCCCCCGCAGTCATGATTTTAACATCTTTCGCGGGTTGTACCTACAGGCTGTGGGGTAGGTGTAGTCGTCCTGCAGGCACCATGTCCTTCAACACAGCCAGCAGTGGGATGAACCGCAAGATACACGGGCGATCCTCTTCTGTGGCTTCCCTCGCTTGTTTAAAGACCGGAGCCTCAATTCAATGTATGAATTGATACATACATGCTCTTCGCAATCAATAAACGACCGCATTCTATCCAGTTATCGAAATAGGAGATGGCTGAGACTTTCACATAGGAAGCCGCAACATCCCAGTCAGCGGGAATTTGATGCAACAGGCTCCGGTATCTTGTCGCGGACTTGCCGTATCACGGGATATGTACAATCGTGGTCGTCTCCGTGTTACTCTACCCCCCCTTTAGATTTGTACCTGCCTCACCTATGCCTCCGATAGTTAGTCGTTTTATTGCTGGCGACTGATGCTTTCCGGGGGGGGAGGGGATGGTCGTTTAAAGGTTCTGCTATAAGAAGACACTTTAACACACACACACCCTTGTCTGCGATTAGAGAAACCCATACGAGTACTTTGCTTACAGGCAGCATCATACAGCATGCGGAATCAAACGCTCAACTAAGAGCGGATAGGACGAAATGACGGACTCGAGCTGTCTTCCTTCTGTCGACACGTCACCGGACAGAGGTTAGGGTTGCTACTCTAATTGCATGAATTTCTTTTCAATTCCGCCGACAGGGGTTTCTTGAATCTTCGGAGCGATCTCTGCTGTAACGGCGTATGAGAGGCCAAACGACGAAGCTCCAAAGAGTTACTCTTGTCCAACAGGGTTCGCCTAAATGTTGTTCCTGCATCTGCAGGCCCCGTCGTCCAAGGAGGCACCTCTGTGGAGTCTGCAGCTTAAATTTGAAATTTGCATTTCTCATGCCGATTTTTTATTTTTTCCCCTCTGTTTTTTCTTTATTTTTTATAAACCTTTCCACAGATAAGTCGAATGATTCTCGATTTGCAGAGAATGTCATTTCCCCAGGTTCTCCTATATTTGTCGAAAGGAAAAAAAAGGCCGTGTCCAGAAAGTGGAGGAGGAGGAGAACTAGCTGAAAACAACTTCCTGTTGCTGCACAATCAACCCACCCCTGGTGCAAATCGCGTAACAGTCCGCTAGGAGGAAGAGAGATGACGGTAAAAGCCAGACACACAAACAGCCGTTCACCATAAAACACCACGATGTTCCTAGCTGCAGTTGTTTCCAAGAGTGGGCTGTAGTTAACCGCATAACGTACCCGCTGCCGGAGCATCCCTGGAAACAGCATCCCAATCCAGGTCTTATCAGACTCCCGGCGCCTCTCCTACGATAGTAAGGAAATTCGCCCGCCAAGCATCCTCATTAAGGAGAGAGCCAAGTTCTTAGAACTGCCAAGCCCGTCAAATTTTGATAGAGCTCTCTTTTGACGTGCTGCGCTAGACTTGACATGTTCAAGACGTTATTGCTAGTGGCATGGGTCACTAGGAGCCCATAGGAATAACGGTCATCGTGAGCCCAAAGAGGCTTATGCTCATCGTTCCTGTGCAGAGAAAATTTTCGAATTATCCGTCGACGGTTGCTGGGGTATATGGTGGCCATAAAGATTTCCATGCCATCTGTCGACGAGGATGAGATCTACATGTAGTTGTCAGGTGTAAGGGGTTGTTTAGTGACGAACATCTCGGTAATCTCAGGAACAGAAGCCAGGCGGGGATACTCAAAGATCTAGCGTAGATGGGCGCGCTACTGGACGGCAGGACACGAGAGCACGTGACAGAAATTGCTAAAGATACAGGCCAATCGATTCATATGCTAACTTGCTAGCGCTTGAATCATGCTTGCTCACTCGACCAAACTTATCAGGTCCTCTAGATGTACTTGAGAAGCAATATCTCAATCAATCGTCCGCAAATGAGTTCCCCTATTACACTAGATGTAGTTATCACACCTGACATATCTAGTAACAGCATATAGGGTGGGTATAAATCCTAGTACTCGTTGTTTCTCGAAGCCAATCCAATTATGAAATTCTGTTACTTCGCTGGAAAATGGTGATTTCCAAACACACACCCTTTCGGAATTATACCACTCCTCGAGTGAAGTACTTTAAGTTCAATATCATACTCGCAATTTCCAATTATTGAACGAGATATTACTATTTTGCATTCTCTAGTAGGCAATCAAACAAAATATCAACGTAATCTCCTCACTCGTCTCGTACAAAACTTGCCCCATTCGTTAAAAAAATGAAAGATAAAAAAAAAAGAGGAACCCATTGGAAAAAATACAGCTATAATGATATCGAGACCCTACATATCACGCACTATCCCTCCATTTCCGTGTCCCCCTCATCATAATTCGCCTCAACATAACTATCCTGGACGTAACTTCCCTCACCGTGAGCACCATCTTCCATATAGATTTCTTCGACGTAGCTTTCCTCAACGTAACTTTCCTCAATCTCGTAGGTGTCCTCTTCCAGGCTGCTCTCTGGATTTCTAACATCTTCCATCGCAGCCCGCTTGGCGCTATCGCACACGCCAAGGAACCATGTACCCAGTTGAGCGTGGTTGACAAACTTCTGGAGTTGTCTGGTCTCTGCGATATATTCGTGGGCAAGGGTTCCGAGCTCTGATTCATCGGCATGAGTGAAGCGGATCTTTAGCTCGTCGAGTGGATTATCAAGATTACAGTATGTTTGTACAGGATCTAGGGGCTGAAAGGGAGATCGCTCGTTGAAAAGACCTGTAGCAGTAGTGTTAGCGCCATTTGGTTGTTTGCGAGATTTTTTGGAAAACAAGGTACCTTTCTCATATCCTAACTTGATGGTAGTAAATAGTGCTGTGTCATAAGTCGCACTTTCAACTTGACTATCGCTCCTCCCTTTTGTGCTTACGATTGTCGCCCAGCTAAAGTTCAGTTAGTACCCTCACTCGTGCATACGTACTAGTGTAGAAGACTTACTCGTCCCTCAAGTAGCACCTCCTCCAGATTGTCCTCTCCGCAAGCTTTCTACGTTCGTGGCTCAAACCACCAACTATAGAGAGAACCTTCAAAGCCCAGTAAAACTCCTCACCGGCGCTCCCTGACCCAACAAGCCCAGAATCACCGCAATCATCCACCAGTGTCAACAGATCACCGATCTCTTCTACACCAATAACCTTGCCCTCAACTGCTCGTCCAAAGGCCCGCTTCCATAATTCTCGGCACCCTGGTCGTTTTTTTGCTAGGTTTGGGGCATATGTTTCTAGTCCGTCCTGAACTGCCCTTTCTGTATCGATCTGATCTTTATGGTGTTTTACACTCTCATATATCTTTTCTTGGATAGCTACGAGCTCCAGATCCGCGTCGATATATCTGATATCATCTGCTGGATTACTACTGTCTACGCCCCCTTGGCTGATAGCAGCAAGTTTGGCCAACTTCCCAATAGAAAGCTCAACCTTCTTGTTCCACAGATCTTCCTCTTGATCCATCGCAACTAACTTTAGGGTATCAGCGGCACGACCAAACTTACCCATTGAGACATCATGGATCCACTCCAGTTTGGCATACTTCCTATCACCCCTGAGGAATTCGGTAAGATAGGTCTCATGCCAAGTCTCGAAGCCGTCCATGAGTGTCTGTAACTGTTCCTTCTCAACAAGGTATCCGTACATCTCCCGCGCAAACGACGAGCCAAACTCCTCAAAATACTTCTCAAGCCTATTGAGAGCCTGCTGCTTACTCCTCTGGAGGTCCAGCAACGCAGCTTTGTTCTCTGCAGTAGAGGCAGGAACCTTTCCAAGCTCCGCCATGGCGGCATCGTTTTCCAGGAGCTCCTCCGAACAGAGCTCCACGAGGGTGCGATAATCCTGCCACTTTTCGGCCAGCTTGTACGCCTTCTCCGGGCGGCCGAAATCTACCAGGGGCTTGATCCATCTCCCTCTGGCGTCGAAGTAGCGCTCCTTGATCGTGTTTCCCTCTTTATGTAATTTTCGGCACCGGCCTGAGTCTGCTGCTCACACCATGCCATGCGTTCCTCGAAACCGCGGCAGCAAACCTCTGCTAGCCCCACCAATTGTCCCGCTAGTCGCTCAATGGTTTCTGGGAACTCCTCATTTACGTTCTGTCTTTCACCCCAGAGTGTCTTTAATATTCCACTCGACACTTCGTACTGTACGCTCAACGCCTGCAGAATATTCGGGTCGCTAGTCCATGGCGGCGTGAGTCCCTTGATCTGTTTCAAGATCCCGTTCACATCGACGAGACCCTCCATACCATATAGTTTTGCAGAGTGCACCCGAAACTTCCACGCGGAAATCAGTGCACCCAGGACGATGTCATTCGCTTCGGAATCTCGCTTCCCGAAACAGAGCTGGTCCATACGGCCCTTCTTACTGTCATCAATGATTATATTCTTCGCATATGTCAGTAGCTGATCGATGCTTCCCACGAAGCGCTGGAACCACGTTCGGGTCGGATCGTGCCCGGTAGTATCGTCAGCATCAGTTTCCATCATATCCGCTAGGACGGCCTCGAGGACGCCTTCACCTGCGTCTGGGTTTTGTCGCAAGCGTGCGTCCCTTACAGCCCAGACTGCGCGCGCGGCTTCACATTTCTCAGCATCGCAGAGGAGACGCCACATAGTCTCGCGGGATAGTGGGGGGAATGTGGCACGGAGGTGCTCAGCGAGGGCACGAAGGTGGGTCGCACGCAGTAAGAGGTGGTTCTCAAGAGAGGGGAGGAGTACAGGAAGGTACTCGGATGTTGAGGAAAGGATCTCGGCGCTGATCTCCAGAGCGGCCACCTCGATCTCTTCGATGGGGTAGCTTACTTCCTTGCGGCCCTGGAAGTTGAGAGGATTCTGTAAATCAAAAGAGTCAGCTTTCGTGTCTGTAATTTTGTGCGCATACAGTCAATGATCAACTTACGTCTTCCTTGACGCCATAGAACACAGCTTGTTCGATCTTGCTTTTGACCTTAACAGGCTCCTTCGAGACCTTCTTGACCGGCTCGAGGTCAAATGTCTCAATACGCACAACGCCGGCGCCCTTGGCAATCAGCATAATACCAGGATTCCGGACTTTCTTCCCCGTGGTAGAGAGTCCGCTCATGCTCAAGAAGCTGTCCTGCATATAGCTCCCATTCATATCCATTCGCGGGATAGCATCATACATGACATCCTCCATGCCACTACCCACTGTCTCGACATTCAAGTTTCCTCTAAAGTCCACTACATCCTCGAATGCCTCTCCCTGGTAATCTGAGCCCTCCTCCTCCATCATGGAATCGTTCTCATTCTGCTGCGCCCTCGGCCTGTAATTGGACACCAGAACCACAGCCCTTGAGAAGACCAAAAATGCGGTTTTACACGGTTTCGGCAAATACAATCTCGGCCGTGCGCGGCCCTCCTCTAGCGGCGTCGTGTACGTCTTCACGACATGGACATGGCCGACCGAGGTCTTTCCTGACGCATGGAATGTGATCGAAACCAGCGCATACAGTGCGCTGGGGATCGTCATGCTCGGCATAAAACTTGCCAGAACAAGCATCTGGATATCCTCGGCACTCGTCTGCAGGGTTGGCTCCTCCAACACCGTCGCGTCAACAACTACGAACTGGTCCCTGCTGCGCCTGGCGAACTCTTGCGCCGTAACATTACTTTGGATTGCGGCAATCATCTCCTCCCGTAGATCTACGTCTGCGATGTTGGCGTAGGTGCCGCTGCGGTTGACCTGCCATCGAGAGAAATTGCCGCGTGCAGTGGCAACTACAATCTCCCGTTCTCCCATCCGGAGGACCTTCCCGGCGCGCACAGCGACGATGTCACGTCTGCTTGAGCCGGCGCGCAACGCCCCGAGGAAACCGCCCATCATTCCGGTGCCGTAGCCCCTCATGATGGTCACTGAGATGCCGGGGCGGCCTGCCAAGTCTCTGAGCGCCAGATGGGCGAGGCGGCCAGAGCTGAGCGACAGAAGAAAACCCGCCGGTTCGGCGTTACAGATAGCTGTTACGCTTTCCCCGGAGACGAGGGAGACCTTTCCTTCGACGCCACGTTTCTTGGTGAAGAGGCCTTCGGCAACAGCGGAGCCGACGCTGTCCCAGTAGGCAATTCGGCCGGACATGGGCATGACAACAACAAGACCGGGCTCAGTACTGTTTGCGGAGGGGGAGACAAGGGCGCCGAGAGGGAAGGGGTTGTGAGGGGAGGGCGACTCATCGCGCGGAAGGGGGAACGAGAGCGTGTGCGGGATTGTGTGGGTCGTAGTGTATTGCCAGACGTAGGCGTCAGTGTGGGAAAGGAGGAGAGCATGGCCGTTGGTCGAGTCGGTGGTGGCTGTTATGGGGGAGTCGTTTACTGTGGGGGGATGTCCGTTAGCGCTGAAGAATGCAAGTGTTTAGAGAGGGATTGGGGGGAGTGGAACCTGTGCATGTTTTTAGGATTGATGGAAGAGCTGGTAGTTTGGAGACACTGTATTTCTCGTTTTTTGTCTAGCGAAGATATCAATAATAATTTCTTTGATAAATCAGTGGAGATTGGGGGGATCATTGTCATTGACTACGTACCCAAATGACAACACCACCGTCCGAATCTTTCCCGCCGCTCTCTCCCCTCATTGCATTCAGCGTCATTGCCTTTCCGAGAGAGGTATCTCCCCGCTGAGATATTATGCTGCTCTCCCTGACACTCCTGTTCATTGACGCGTTGCTGGTAGGTCTTTCATTGTTCTGTGTGTTTCTTGAATCTGGCCTCGAGATTGGCCTCGTCCTCCTTCGCGCCGCAGCAGCCGATTCAGCGGCCGTTGGGTTTGTGGTGAACATCCCAGATGGCGCGTAAATGAGTGTATAGATCTTTGGTGTACAGTTTGGTGGTATATACTATATGTGGCGAGTGGTGGGTAGTAGTATCTGGAGGCGGGATTGTGTTGGCTTTAATTCTCGCTGGCCTTGTGCCCAGGGATGTTGGTTGGGATGTTGGGCTGTGAAGTTGAACTGTCTGCTGCAAACGCGCATCTCAGGCCTCTTGGCAGGCCAGAGCACGTGACGCCCGGGGGGGGGGCATAAAGGTTGTGGGTTGTGGCTTGTGGCTTGTGGCTTGTGGCTTGTTACACCTGCGTAGATATCACACCTAGCCCTGAGGGTTCCCCACTAACCGCAAACAACTCAGAACTGAACTGCAAGTCTGCAACCAACCCGAACCTGCAGGGGTTATGTATTTGGTTTCTTGGCGGGCGAGCATGCCAGAGATGCGGCTCTGGGGAGGGAGGAGCGGAAGTGGAACATCACGGGGTTGGTGGTTGAATCTTGATTGTTACCTTGCTGAATTGGACGAAGCGCCTGTTTTTTCCCCACGGGCTGGTCACGACCCTTCAGACGTACAATCCCGCACTCCCGCACCTCCCTCTCCCTCCCTCCCTCCTCCTCCTTCTCCTCCTCCCTCCTCCTCCTCCGCCCATCGCCCCACCTCAGACGGCCCTGGGCCTATCACCCCCCCCCCCGTTTCGCTTCTTCCCGTCCTGATACAGCAACAGCGCCCTCTCTCTCTCTCTCTCTTGTGTGGCAGCCATTGCGTCTCGTAGCCTTTCCGAGTCCACTCCCACCTCCTCCACACATCTGTTCTCGCTCTTCCCCTCTTGAACTATCGACTCACTCTTCTTCAGAGTGGTCATACTTCCCATACCCCCCCCCCCCCCCTAATATTCTACTCTATTATATACATATCCCCTTCACGTTCGTTATCAATCAGGCCCCACCTCTAGTGCCTCCACTCAACGACATCCCCCCCGTCGACCACTGCTCTCTACAGGCTCTTCATCTTCAATCTACCTACCCACTCTCGTTTCTAACACTTCTCACGGTCCAACGACTGTGAATATATATTTATAAGCAATATGAGTGTCATTATGGGTATGTACACCTCGCAATTACTGCACTGTCTCAGAACTCGGCCCCAAGCAGAAACCAAGATACTGATATATTACTCAACAGCCACCGCCGGTTACGACCACACCATTAGGTACACACCTCCGCGCTCTACTGCCTCGACCTCTGTCAGCTACTAATATTGCTCCCACTGCCTAGGTTTTGGGAAGCCCTCTCCGGTATCTGCTCACGCACAATCCAGCACTCCGACTCGCAGGTCAATCGCCTGTGTATCTCCCCCGATAAGCGTTTCCTCGCGGCCGCCGGCCACACCACCGTCAAACTCTACGATATCAAGTCGACCAACCCCAACCCGGTCCTGCAATTCGAAGGCCACACCAACAATGTCACCGGTGTCGGGTTCCACTGCGAAGGGAAGTGGATGGTAACGTCCTCCGAGGACGGGACTGTAAAGATCTGGGACACCCGTACCGCATCAGTGCAGCGCAACTACACCCACGGATCGCCGGTCAACGATGTTGTTATACACCCGAACCAGGGCGAGCTGATCAGCTGTGACCAGGCGGGAAATGTGCGGATCTGGGACCTGGGAGAGAACAAGTGCACGCATCAGTTGATCCCTGAGGACGACATCCCGGTGCGGAGTGTCACGGTGGCCACGGATGGCAGCATGCTTGTCGCTGGAAACAATGTGGTATGTTTGATATACCCCGCGGGGTTGTCATATATCTAACAGGGCAAACTCCCAGGGAAATTGCTATGTTTGGCGCATGATACAGAACCGGGACGTGACGCAGCTGGTCCCAGTATGCAAGTTCCAGGCGCACACTAAATACATCACCCGTGTGCTTCTCTCGCCCGATGTGCGCCATCTTGCGACCTGCTCTGCGGACCACACTGCAAAGATTTGGAGCGTGGACGAGAAGAAGTTTACGCAGGAGACGGCACTTCACGGACATCAGAGATGGGTCTGGGATTGTGCGTTTAGCGCTGACAGCGCGTATTTGGTCACAGCGTGCAGCGATCACTATGCAAGATTGTGGGAGCTGAGCAGGTATTACCTATTGCTACCTCACAAGACAAACATCTTTAAAAATATACTGACAATTTACAGTCAACAGATCATTCGCCAGTACAATGGACACCACCGCGGGGCGGTATGTGTTGCACTTAACGATTACAGCGAGAGGTGATGGTAGAAGGTTGTTTACATCATCATTTAGCTTTTTAACCCCCCCCTTCCCTAAGGAAAGGAAACCTGGATACCTGGGAAGCGTGGCCCTGAGTCTACTATCGGACAGGAGTATTCGCAAACCCCCTCTAATTTTTTTATATGTACTTTTCTTACTAAGGGCGTGTATCGGGATCTGTTAATGTTTGTTTGTTTTCTCTTCCGTTTCTTTGTTTGTATGTTTGCGCAGGCTGGATTTTCTTTTATGCATACATTCTATCTTTATCTTCCACCTCTTCTTTTTCTTATTTCTTTTGTTACCCTTCTTCAAAGGACGGCTTTTTTTTTGGGGGGGGGGGGGGGGGGTGGAGGAGAGTTTGGTGATGCGGGACTTTTACTTTGAACTTGATGGGAGCTACGTTACTACATAGTTATAGTCGGTATCTATTGGTGTGAAATGGAAATGGAAATGGACTCGAGGAATTGATTTACCGATTACAGTTTGATGCATACCATAGACATTGACTTCGGGAGGCCGGGAGTCGGAAGTGAGGGTTGACGTGCAATTCGATGCTCAAAGGGCAGTAACAGTTACCAGGGTTGGGTGCTTACTGCTTATAACCGGAAGTTATTATGGAAGCACCTCAACCACATGCCAGATCAGGTACATACATGTGCCGGGCCATGATGGATGCTACCCAGAGGGTGGGGCAATCCTGGACTGGATATAGAAAGCTACCCCGCATGTCGTCCCGCAGAGCATGCAGTGGAGGCCCGCGGTCAGCATGAGAAGCAGCAGAGATGCAGCACCCGTCGCCAGTGTCGGCAACTCGGTACAGACGGGCTATCATCTCTCTGTCTGTCCGTACTGAATTATATATATGTAGCCTGCGACCCCATCCATCCATATAGACCTACCTCCACCTACCCACACTGCGCCTACCACAATGTCCATTGCCCTAAAAAACAAAAACATCCTCGTCACCGGCGGCTCGCGCGGCCTCGGCGCCGCCACGGTCGAGCGCTTCGCCGCCGAGGGCTGCAACGTCGCAATAAACTACCTGTCCGCCTCGGCGCGCGCCGAGGCCCTCGCCGAGAAGGTGCGCGCCACCTGGGGCGTCACGGCGGTCGTAATCCAGGGGGATGTGGCGACTGATGCCGGGTGTGTTGCGATTGTCGAGGAGGCCGTGAGGGCGCTGGGGGGGCTGGATGTGGTGGTGTCGAATGCTGTAGGTTTTGCTTTCTCGTGTGGTGGGAAGAGGTGGATGGGTGGAAGGGTGGATGGGTGGTTGATGGGGATTGATGGCTAACTGGTTGGTGGGTGTGAGAGTAGGGCTGGACGAAGATTGGGGCGTTTAGTGATCTGTATGCGCTCGAGGAGGAGGATTGGGATAAGGTGTGTATTTATCCTATCTTTGCAATTTGGCCCCCATCCACAATTTCATACCAAACGATCATTACCCCCCCCCCCCGGTATCTGACATGAGCGCCAATGATCACAGTGCTGGAACGTCAACGTCAAAGCCAACCTGCACCTCCTCCGCGCCGCCGCACCAACCTTCAACGCCAACCCCGACGGCGGCAGCATGCTGATCACCTCTTCAATCGCCGTATGATCCTTCCCCCCCCCCCCCCCCCGGGCCCCACCCGGTCCCCCACACACTCTCTCCAGCGCTTTTATACTGATAAACTTCATGAAAGGCCACAAATGCATCCGGGAGCTCAATCGCATACTCGGTCTCAAAAGCAGCGGGCCTGCACCTGATGCGCTGCCTGGCGGCGAGCCAGGGCCCGAAGATCCGCGTCAATGCCATCCAGCCCGGATTGCTGCTGACCGAGTGGGGCCAGCAGTTTCCTGAGGAGAAGATCAAGGCGATGAAGGAGAAGGCGGCGTTGAAGACTTGTGTGAGTATTTTTTTTTTCTTTCCCATGTGGATAGGGTGGATGAGTGGATGGATGGGATGGGATGGGCTGACGGAGACGACCATCTAGCCGACGGTGGAGGAGTGTGCGGATATGTTTGTGCTTATGGCGAAGAGCACGTCACTTACGGGGAGCTCGGTGAAGATTGGTGAGTTTTCTTGCGTTCTTTTTTTTTTTTTTTTTTCTTTTTTTTTTTTCCCTTTCTGTGAAGTGATGTTGTGATGCTAATGGGGCGGTTTAGATGCTGGGTTATTCGTATAAATCCCGTAGGTTTTAAAAATTTGTATAGGATTTGTTTATTCAATAAAGCGTACTTTTCATGAGCGCGATATATATATCCAAGGTTTTTAGGGTTGCTCGTGTAGGTGACTCCTTAAACCGCGAGATACGACTTTGGTCTGGGCATCAATCAGTCGCTATGCTGGAGTGTCTGTAGACTAAGACACCGAGTGATAAGCTATGAAGTAAATTCATACTAGCCCCAACATCTCAAAAGTTACAAGAAAAAGACCCCCACAGCTCCACAATACATCTTTACGGACTATACATAATTTGATAACAATCCTCAAGCTGCACTTCACTCCTTTCGTCAGCCCTCTGTTCGACTAATCCGCGGATGAACCCTCCAACCTGCATGACAAGGCGTGTCCACCATAAATACATTATGTAATTACACAAAAAACAAAGGCCGTGAAGAAACCTAGAGGGGTTCTACCTACTTCACGGGAAATGTTGAGTTACCAGAATAGTGTTGAAAACCAAAATAGTAGTAAAAAAAAAAAAGAAACCAAACGCGCCCGCTAACAAAAAGAAAGAAACCCATAACTATTCCCATGTCATAATACAGATTCATTATTAACCGAATAAGGAAAATAAAGATAAAAAGCCATGGCCAAATGGTAGTCATGACATAAAACACAACCGGAGAACCAAGGCAGATTATAGAAGTATACAAATTAACTCGTATTCAAGGTAGCGATCACAAAAACCTGGAAATTCTCCAAAAGACACGGATAGGGGATCAAAGCATCATGCTTCGTCTTCTGCTCGAAGTCCCAGTCGCCATTACAGGATGATTATTGTCAAATTCAGTTTCGTCACCCATATTGTTAGTGCTCTTTGCACTCCGAACGCCTTTCGTGGAGTTTCCTAAACTGGTCCTCCGTGAACTTCGCACAACTTCATCACCCGCTAGTTCTACCTGCGAGGATGATGACGCTAGGTTGCTATGGGTACCGCTCCTTCTCCTTGAACTTGCGCTTTCGCGGTTTCGCGATTGACCTTCTTCGCCGCCGTGAGTGCTTTCTGGATCAAATGATACTGTTTTCCGCCTCGATTCAGTCGGCGCTGTAGTTTGCAATCTCCCTGACGTTGCATCATTTTCCAGGTCCATTAAAGTCCCCTGATGAAGATTACTCGCCCTCCTCTTTCTATATGTCATAACAGTTTCCGGTAGCTCCATTTCTCCATTGTCACGTCCCGATCTCTTGTCCAAAAGCCCGCCAATTCCAGTCTCCCTGGGTTTCCTAGGCTCTTCTACCGCGTCAACAGTCAAAGTTGTTGGCTGGGGCAATGACGCTAACCATTGATTGCCAAAGATATCTTCCCCCTCAGCAAACACATCCTTCTTGACCATTAATTCCTCCGAGCTATCTTTATTCTTCAACCGGCCAGCAGTGGACCTTCTCGCAGTCCTTCCTTCACTTTTTCCTGTTTCACCTGGTCTATCTTCTCTCCTCATTTTGTCTCGTAGGTTTGGTAAAGCATAGTTGACATTATTGGCCTTCGATCTCCTCGAAGGTCTTCCTGTACCACCTGTTTCCACATCCGCCGAGGGGGGTTCCGTATTCGAATCGCGATAGGTCCTGATCTTTTGTGGTGGTAGTTCTGTCTTCTCTGGTTTCTCGAGATCTTTCTCTTTTGGAAGGGCAGTTTTGATATGCTTCTGAGGCGAATTGAATGGATCCGAATTCGTGCTTTCTGCAGACACGTTAGAATCGCCTTCACACTTATTGTGCAGAGGAGCAAGAGGAATCTAAACTTACTGGGACCCAGTGCTCTTCGGCCAATGGCGGGAGTGGCGCCTAAAGTCACAGTCTCTCTGATAGGAACAGGATCCCTTTTCTCGATAATATCCATTTTTACGGCTCGCTTCCCGGTCTCAACGATCTTCTCGACCTCGACCATCTCATCAACTTCCTTCATTGGTATGTCATGATCGAGTTCATTAACATGAGACATCGATACAGTTGGTTTTTGGGCCTCCGCTCGAATTTTCGGCACATCCGCAGCTCTTTGTGGGTGTCTCGTGAATTTAAAATCGAGACTCAAAGGAGTCTCAATATCTTGTGCCTGATCTCTATCTTCAAATCTTCTCTTCTTAGGTTTTTCTGATGGTGTGTCTACCATGAGTTGATTTCTGGATGAGGCAGTTGATTTTGTGGCTTCCACCTCGGTTGGACGGGTGCTATCCCTTCTTCGTTTTGAACGGATTTCAAGCATGCTAGATGTGGGTGGTTTAAGATCTTCATCTGACTCTGCATCATCGGCCCGTGGTGGTAATAATGTTATTATTTCCTCGAAGCTATATATTGTTAGCGATTCAAGTCATGGTATAAGGAATAAAGAATGTTGGTATCTACTTAAGACTACTCCTTCTATCTTCACTGCCAAGACTGGTTCGTCGGGGTTCCTCGACGTTAAGACTGCTTCGCCGGGAATCTTCAGAAATTGCAGGAAGATTGTCCTCAGTCCTCATGGCCTCGCTGAAGCTGAAGCTGAGCCCTCTCCTGTATGTCGTTTGATCTGGCGAAACTATATGCGCTTTTTGTTTCGGCTGTGGCTTTACTATAGAAACGAAGATCCCGAATCAATAACTTATACTAGTGTAATGGAGCTTTAGGATAAGAATTTGGAAAATCGTACCTCTCGGTGATACTGTAATAGCCTTCCCTAGACTAGCTAGAAGCTCCTGCATCTCGGCTACCTTCCCCTCTAACTGCCTTTTGGTAGCCTCGACATTCTCGATCACGGCCTTACCCCGTTCACGCCTGTCCAACTGGGCCTGAAGCTTTATGACCTGCTCCCGCAGATCAATGTTTTCGGTGAGTAGCCGGGTCGTTTCGGTTTCGAGGCTACGAATCTTGGTGGATTGTGTGGAGTTAACCCTGTAAACAACCAAACAAGACACCTGGTCAAAAATCTCGAAATACTAAATCGATAGCATAAATAAAAGTGTTTACGAATAACGAACCTGGCGATCTCACGGTTCTGACGAATATATCTTTTCTTTACTATAGGTTTTGGTTAGCGTGTTGTGTCTTCGAGGATATATCTCATGAGCGGTGAGAACAAAGGTTTGAGGGATGAAACAACGTACTTGCTTCGAGAGATTCTTGCCCTGGTTGGGGCGGGTCGTTTAATCTGGCCATGAACACTGCGATGTATAGATCAGATGTAGATGGGTGCTAGTGATGATCCTGTAAATAGAAAAAAAGGAAGAAGCCTAGGTCACGAGGAGGGGATATCGATTGATAGGGATTATGTATGAATGGTGGATGATGAGTGGTGGGTGAGGGAGGAGATCGAGGAAAGGTGCCTGTCTGTTGACATTTAACCGAATTTGGGCAAGTGGGAGCTCTTTTGTGTGTTCAGATCCGCGACGCGTTGAATCCATGGCAACCGCCTGCCCCACCTCTGACTTCTAGCAACGGGAAGTAGGCATTTGAATATTAACCCCCTCACTTACTACGCTCAAACCCCTGCATAAAGACAGAAATACTCTACAAATACAAGGGAGTATCTCTTAAAGAAACAAGAGAGCGTACACCCCCCCATTGATCGATTGTTGGAAGCAATGTCGAACTATCCAAATCGCTACTCCCAGCACTTTCGCCAACCTTCTGCTTCAACCTCCGCCTCGGGGTCACCAGCCCTGATGGCGAGGATAAATGAGAAGAAGCAGGAACTTGAGAGTTTGATGGCGCTGCGAGATCTATCCGCTGGGCTAGCGAAGCAGATGGAAGAATTGGAGGGAAAGCTCGCAACGTTGACTGACGGAACCGAGGGTACCTACCCACCAAGCCTGATATAGACACTGAGGTTATTCAAGGCTGATATATAGATTTATATAGCTGTTGCTGCGGTTTTGTCGAATTGGCATAATGTTCTCAGGGCAATTGCTATGGCTTCTTGTAATATCTTATCTTGGGTTGCGTTACAAGCTTGACACTGACACAGAGCCGCAGCAAAAATTCCCCAACCTAAAGAAGAAGCCGAAGAGGACAACCCATTTGCGCCGAAGCCAAAACAAGAAAAACAGGAAGAACATGACGGACTACGGCGAGACGAGAACGGTGTTCCAATGCCACAGACTTTGGTCAGAATTCCAGTACTTCCGCAAAAGTGATTTGAAGGCGTATAGATTGGTGTAATGAGATGACGAATATCAATCACGAGCATTTTCTTAGAGGAGTTTCATAGGGACGCATTGGGCCTGGAGTATGGAGTATACGGTAAATTTAACGCACTTTCGTGCTGATAGTTAACTTGGATTATACTAAACTTACTTTTGGATGAGATAAACCAAACAGCTATTTTGATATGTAGTTAAAATAAAGGTTCTTGTTTGATATTGGAAAACATTCGTATACATATTTCAGAAATGATGGTCTTTTAATAACCGGAAGCTTATTGGTCAGTATCTCACGAATTAGTCCACTGGTACGGCTGTAGGTACTCAGCTCTACTCTAGAGTATTAGAGAATTGAATCCATAGGAAGCCTCATCTCGTCTTGCATACTTCAGGGCGCGCATCGCTAAGCTCCGGTTCCACGCGGGATGACCTGCATGAAAATAAATAGCTGTGGCTGATGACATCAGACCCTGTACCCCACATTTTGCAGATTCGTTTGATTGAAAACTCTCCACTCAAACCACCCAAATCAGCAGAGATAAAACATTCGAAAACAATATCATGGCTGATCATTCACATTCCCACTCTTGTCATGATGAACACGATCATGATGATCATTCCCATTCCCATGGTCCCGGGGGCCATGATCACTCTGGCAAGCCCAGCCCCTTCTCCCAATTATGCATCGTGAACAGCTAGATATAGCTAGCTAACAAACCAAATTTAATATATACAGATGATTTAACTCCCGCACTCCAATCTTCTCTTTACCAGCACATCGAATTTGACAAAATCACCACCCTCAATGAAACTGTTCCAGGCGCTGGCATGAAAATTGTTAAAAAAACTTGGGATGAGCGTCTCGATAGCAACGTCTTTCTTGAGAGTGATGTTGACGAGCAGCTACTCATGTTTATCCCGTTCGTGAATCTTCGTTCCTTCAAAGAGAACTTTGTATTGACTCAAATAAAACAAAAGTTTTACGGGCACTGTGAAATTACACTCGATCATCGTCCGCTCACCCCCGGGGTCGACTGCTCCCAAGACGGTGAAAATCTTTATTAATCGCGACGACCTCGATTTCTCCTCCGCTGCCGATCTAAAGGCTACACAAACACTCGAGCTGCCTCTAACCGGAGACGTTATTGAGATGCCGGTTAAGAGGGCCTTGTTTCAGAATACTCACTCTTTAACACTATTTTTTGAGAAGAACTTCTCGGAAGAAGCTAGCGACGATGAGGACGAGGGCGGGGAAGTCACAAAGTTGAGCTATCTAGGATTCAAGGGAACATGGACGGAATTGCGAAAGGAGGCGGTGGTAGCGAATTATGAAGCTGCTGCCAATCCAGCAGATCATAAAAATCTTGTCGCTGGAGTCAATTATGGGGCGATGGGAATGGGAGGTCATAATCAAGGATTTTAATTTGGGGAATGTAAACCAATGATTTCACAGGCGTTATTGCATTAAGCACTGGGATATCACTCAAATTCACGAAAAGTTTCAGCTTATAACAATCTACATGTAATTCCCAACAAGAAGCATTAATATTGTTGCTCTGAGATAATATCTTGAAGTGTGTTGCATGCAATGTTTTACGTGTCAATGATTAGGATTCAGCAATAAAAATTCGCTTTGGAGAGGCCGATCGAGTGATAGCCCGTGATAACTAGCGTACAGCGGTCTAGACTAATTGATGTCAAGTACCATACTCAAAGTCAACTGGGATCCGATGAATCTCGAACACCAAATCCACCATACGCCGGGTATTCAGATTTTGCCGTAAAAACTAATAATAAAAAGGAAGGGGTGTTAAATATACAGACCTGTCTCAACCATGACAGGCCACTCACAGTACTCGCTCACACAAACATAATACCTAGCACTATTACTAGAAGTCTAATTTTTCAACCCTCATACATGGTAAGTCCTTCACCATACCACCAAGAAACCATCTCTTCTTCTATGATGCGGTCTCGCCGTTCTTTCTGAAGGTGACCTTTTCTACTCCGACACTCTCATTGCCTTTTTCGTCGGTGCGGAGCTGGTAGACATAGAGGACTAGGACACTGCCTTGAACCTATAAATGAATTTGTAGTTTAGTAACAGCATGAAAAGCTGCGGCAAAACGATTAGAACATACGTCCATCAAGCAGAAACTTGGAATAATAGGCTCCTCTTCAGAGACCCATCCGCCCGATATGGCTCCTGTTGCCGAGCCTATTCATTTTCTATCAGTCACCCGCGCTAGATTCCTATTCCCCCCCGACTTTCTTCCGTGACCCACTTACCTGGGTTGATGAAAAATCTGCCTTCCAGCTCATAGGCTTCGAATCGATGTGTCCCTCCCCAAACTAGTACATCGCAGTCCAGTCTCCTAGCTTCGATCAACAGACTATCACTATCACCCTGTGGGATAATGGTGTGCCCATGCGTGAACCCAATGCGCAGATTACCGTGGGTTACAACTTTCGATAAGGGAAGGTTTGTTGCGTCGACGTCGAAATCACCTTTGACAATTTGAAGGTCAGGCGCAGTTGAACGTAGAAAGTCGTATGTTTCTTTGTCGGTCAAGTTTCCTAGACAGAGGATCTGGCCGATTTTACCGGGAGAGAGAAGTTTACGAAACTAGAGGGGGTGTCAGTTGCTGGTCTTAGATGGCTGGTCTGAGTCGGGGAAGCTTGGGGAGCTTGGGGGTAGGGTAAGACCTTCGCCGGGATATCCTGAACACAAGATTAGAAGCTATTCCACCAACAAGCTTGGAGTGGAGGGAGACTACTGGAGCTCTGTCTGGGATATGGAGGTCTCCGATGCAGAGAACTAGACGAGATGCCATTGATTGGAAATATACGTAGGTTGTGAGTAGAGTGATAGGAAGGAGTTTAGAGTAGTTGCTTCTTTTTTATTAAGTCAGCCATTGTTGACAATTTCTATAAAAGGAGATAGCTCTGCAACTCACTAAACGTACTTAATTCGTCAATTTCTGTCTGTTCCTGAGCTCTTGTCCCTGAGCTCCCGTGTCTGATTGTGGGGTCGCAGTTGGATGGTTACCCGGCACACTTCACCCTAGCTAACTACATGTAGCTGTGTTACAGCTCGTGAGGCTCTTCGGGGTTTTCGGATGTCGTCACCGGAGTCCGGAGTCGGCTTTTAGGGGTGCAAGATCCTCCTCGCCCTCAAACATTACATACATTCACGCACGCACGCACCATCCACACACCCACACGCACCTCTCAACACAAGCATCCATCCACCCGTCCATCCCAGGTACGCGCTTCCCGCCTACCCCGCCAATCCGCCCCTCTCCACACACAAAATCCGCCTATCCACACCACACTCGCACCCCAACACACCCAGATAGCCTCGGTTCATCCCCGTAGCCCCCCTTCTTCTTTGCCCTAAGTATCCCCCACATTGCCTTGCCCGGCTATTACCGCCACACTCATTCAAACTGGCTGCACGATCCTCTCCCCGCCTGTCCCTCATCAACAGGCATCTCTCCTCTGCATCTCCTCCTCCTGATCGTCCTGCGTCCTGTCCTCCCACAACTTGCACAACTACTGCACCACCATTCAGAATGTCTTCTCAAGCTGCCCATCCAACCCTTCTTATTCCTGGTCCCATCGAATTTGATGATGATGTTCTTATGGCGTTGTCTCATCCTAGGTATGTCGCTCTCCAATTCAATCACCGTGACTCACTCGATCTTGGCTTGGTGGCTAATACTCGGTTTTCTTCGTTTGTTTTAGTGAGAGCCATGTCGGTGCTACCTTTGTAAATGTATTCGGCGAGACATTGTCGATGCTAAGGCAACTGTTCTTGAGCACCGATCCCTCAGCGCAGTCATTCGCTGTTTCTGGATCTGGGACATTGGGGTGGGATTTCGTGGCGGCAAACTTGGTAGAGAGGGGAGAAGATGTCTTAGTCCTGCACACAGGTATGTGTTCTCCATTATCAAGCAACCAAAAATGTTGTTCCGGGGTTATCTGATATCGAGCGAGCATGAATAGGATACTTTGGCGATTCATTCTCCACCTGCTTTTCTACCTATGGCGCAAACCCTACCCAATTAAGAGCTCCCATCGGCTCCCGTCCCTCTCTCGCCGAGATTGAAGTCGCCTTGAAAGAAAAGTCTTACAAACTTATCACTATCACTCACACTGACACTTCCACCGGTGTTCTCTCAGATGTCAAAGCTATCGCCGAGCTTGTACATAGGGTTTCACCGGATACACTTGTCATAGTGGATGGTGTATGTTCTGTCGGTTGCGAGGAGATCCGCTTCGATGACTGGGGCATTGATGTTGTTCTCACCGCTTCGCAGAAAGCAATTGGTGTTCCGGCTGGACTGTGTATACTCATGGTCAGCGGGAAAGCAATTGAAAGGTTCAACACTAGATCAACTCCACCAAGCTCATACTTCGCATCTTTCGCAAACTGGCTACCAATAATGCGAAATTACGAGGCTAAGAAACCTTCTTACTTTGCCACTCCCTCTCCTCAGCTCATCCGCGGTCTTCACACATCCCTCAAGCAAATTACCTCCATTCCCATGGAAGAGCGATTTGCGAAACATAAAGAAGTTAGTGGAATAATCAAGAAGGCCATCGGTGAAATGGGATTGAAGCAACTTGCCGAAAGTCCCGAGTGCCAGGCGAATGGTATGACGGCTATATACCTACCTGAGGGTGTAGGTGCGCCAGATCTCCTACCAAAGCTACTGGCAAAGGGTGTTATCTTCGCAGGAGGTCTGCACAAGGAGATTGCGACAAAATATTTCAGATTTGGACACATGGGTGTGAGTGTTATGAATGGGGATTTGGGACATATCAACAAGGCACTGGATGCCTTAAGAGCGAGTTTGACGGAGGCTGGTTATAAATGTTAAATAACTTGCTTATGATCCAAAAAAGTTAACAGTAAATATGAGAAAGTGGGAGCGGGGTGCATGCATCCGGGCCCTTTTGTATTTAGATAATGACCTTAAATTATTTCAATACCTGTATGAAATTGGCATAGGTACCTTATTACGTTTAGTTCCGTGTTTAAGATTAGAATCGGCAGGCATATTTCACATTTTTCACGTGTTGCAAGTTGAGCCGCATGATAAGTGCTTTTTACCCCGCCAAAGTTGAACTTAGGCCAACAGCTTCCACAAACACCATTTTTCTTTGTTTTTTGTTTTTGCGCGGAGAGAATTCAAGATGGTGTATTACTTTACGTCGAATGTGGTTGACCCGGCCGCGTACATTTACATGGGGAAGGATAAGGTTGAGAGTAAGTCCTGCACTGCCGAAGCTTGGAGGAAAGTTGTGTAGGGCTGACCCAGAGTAGATGAAGAGTTGATCAAGTATGGGTGGGACGAAGATCTTTGGTATGTTACTCTCACGATCGTTACTCTTTATCAAGCTCTCATTCAGATGTAGGTTAACGCAGTGCTCAGGGTACGCAATTTCTGCATTCGGCGGTAGATAGGATATATGACTGACGGCCACAGTTCCACGCGGATAAGCTCTCATCGGCGCATATTTACCTACGACTCAAAGAAGGGCAGAGCTGGGAAGATATTAGCCCAGAGCTACTGGTCGATTGCTGCCAGCTCACAAAGGCAAACTCAATTGAGGGTCTGTCTACAAACTAGTCCTCGTCGGTTTCACTCCACTGTTCTACCGCTAAGCAATAATGGTTATTCTACGTACAGGAAATAAAAAAGACAATGTTAATATAGTTTACACTCCGTGGTCCAATCTCAAAAAGGACGGCTCCATGGCTGTCGGCCAGGTCGGGTTCAAGGACCAACGGAAGGTCAAAAAAGTCCTTGTTGAAGCCCGCACGAACGCTATCATCAACCGACTTAATAAAACCAAGACCGAGAAGTTCCCGGATCTTGCGGCGGAGAGGGAGGAGAGAGACAAGACTATTAGAAACAGGGAGAAGAAATTGATGCTAGAAAGGGTAGGGGCTGTTTTTCTTCTTCTTTTCCTTTTAAGGGAGAGAGAACTTTTTGGACTAACAGTAGTATAGAAGAAGGAAGAGGCTAGAGTAATGAAGGAGAGAAGGGAGAAGGCATGGCAGAAGGACCATGCCTATGACGACGTCTTTACAGAGGATGCGTTGGAGGAGAATTCCAATGATAAAAGGGATGCTGACTTTTATGATGACTTCATGTAACCTAGGAAGGGTTTTTACGCATTTTTTACACTCTTTCCACTTTCTCTTTCTATCTTTTATAGGCCAATAGCTGCTTAAATGAATGTACCTACTGCCTTCATATGGATTACCAAACGCCAATGATCATGGCGGGGAAATGACGGGGCTACGGTAAACACCTTCCAAACCGGAAAACTGTAGTAATACGGTCTAGAGATCAACAGGATTCTGATCCGAACCTAAGACCTTACATCAATATAATCCCTTTTGTGGTTGCTTTTGTTCCATCAAGGTTATCTTGACACTTCAGTGCCCTGGCAGTGGATACTTGGGGCGGGGCGCTAAAATAACCCAAGCCCCGGGTCAGGTCTGCGGTTGAAGTGGTGGTGTTAAATAGGTTTTCGGAGAAATACCTGCGTATTTAAAAAGCTTAGTGTAAAAGTACATACAGTAAAGCCATTTGCACCATGATTTCGTCAGACGATGCATTAGTATAGATTCACTGAATTATTGCGAAGTTGCTGACTTAAAGGGCATACGGTACTTTTGCATCATAGATCTAGTTCTTCGTACAGCTTGATATCTATTGTTTTACCAATCGATAGATAGCTCATAAACCAACTAACCCCCCTCCTTCAGATTATCCATAATACTTATCACGAGTTTTCACTGGGGGGCATGTTAAGACTATAGGGGGTTGTTTACACGTAGTTGTATACATGTACATACATGTACTTCATGTACGTTTTAATAGCCTCTAGGCTGCACACAATAAATGAATTGACAAAATATATGTACTTCATAGATGATCACTCGATGGCAACAAACGAAGGGAGAAGAATTGTTAGGCAGTACGTCTTAGTGAAACCATTTATTTACTGTATGAATCTCAGAACTATCGTTATTCCTTCCCGTTATCCCAACCCGCATTCGCTCCAATCCCGAGACCAAAAAAGAAAAAAGAAAATAAAGAAAAGAGATGACCTGCCCAAAGAACCACGAAAATGCAATGAGACCACAAACACGTAAGCTAAGAGATATTAGACAGATAAAAGAGGAGTAGGACAAGAACCAGAGGCTCTCCTGAAATGAGAATAGGTATGTGAGAGAGCAACGCGTGTAGGTACATAGCCTATTACGATGGGTAGAAGGCGCTAAATAAAACATTTTCCCATGGATTGGACATATCCCCACAATAAAGGCACATACAACCTTCGATTTTTAAATAAAAAATGAACCTAGTTGCTTATACTCTTCGGAGTTTCATGCCAATCCCTCCGAACTATCCGCAGTAGCCTGTCACTCGCCATTTTCGGATTCTTCATCATCCTCTTCCTCGTCGCTTCCCTCCTCCTCCCTGGCCCGCTCCTCCTCCTCCATTTGCTTCTTCCGTTCCCAAACTTCTTTCCTGACTTTCTCGTCCCTTGCCATACGTAGCCTTTCTACCTCATCTACGCCGCCGGCCTTCTTTAACTTATTTTCTTCCACAAATTCGCCAAGTTCCTTCTGAAATTCTGGAATTCTCCCTTCAAGATCCTTCTGTCTAAGTTTTTCTGCCCTCTCGATCGCCTCCAATCTGCCCTCGTGATTAGGTTGCAGAGCACGAACTTCGCTGAGAATGGAGTCCTTGGCTTCACTTGGGTCAAGCCTATCATCAGGGTGTACCAACCCAACAGGAAGGCCTCTGCTGGTCGATCTTAATGCGCCTGAGCCGGGGACGGAACCGTTTTTGAACTGCTGCTCAGTGCACTGTTCGACGAGCTGGAACGTCTGTGATGCTTTGTCTAGGTCGTCTTGTAGGTCCTCGATTAGGTTTTCTTGCATATTGAAGAAATCTTGTTCCTGGCAGACAAGCTCAACCTCCTTTTCCCAAACTCTCCTAAACACAGGCTTCTCTCTCTTGATGTAGTCTGCCATCTTCTTGAGTTCTGCCCTGGCCTGCGCGATCTCCTTCTTGACCTGGTTGAGATTGCGTGCTAGAGGACGGACACCGCGCTGTACAACATCTTTCCGTAGATCTTCCACTGTATCTTGAAGGTCGTCAACCCTATTTACTAGTGCATCTGCATCCGTCCCAAGAGTCTTCTTCCCATTTTCAACGTAGGTGCGACCTTCATTCGGACTGAGCTTAGGCTGAGCAGCAACAGTTTTCACGGCGCTGGCTTTAGTTTTGATAGTTGACATGGATGTATTGATATCAGCGACAAAGGTGGAATAGACCTGCCGCAACACTGCCAAATCTTTCCTGAGGTCTCGAAGTTCGATTAACTGAGCAGTGTTATCATGCTTCGTAGTGGCCCCTGGTGTTGATGAACTAGGAAACGAATGTGGTGACAAAGTTATCGGGGTAGAAACAGGAACAGCCACAGAAAGCTCGGCAATCTTTTTGGCGGCCTCCTCCTGGCGTTCTGCTACCCTAGTGATTTGCAAACTTTGTCCTTCCATAGACCCTCGCAATCCGTCTACCAGTTTCTTTAAACCACCTATTCCATCATCGATATGGCGTTTAACCTCATCAAGAACTTCAATATTTAAGCATAAAACCGCCCTGTCCTTTACGTCTCCTAAATCTTCCAGCTCATATCGTACCCCAGAGACAGGGTCTTGGAGGTAGATCTCAGGAAAGTCTTCACCAGAGGGAGGGCTGTAATTAAACTTTGAAATAAAAAGAAGACGTAACGAGGTCAAAGATAACTCATCCGCCCCATCGGCAACAAGGACTTTCTTGATTGACCGACCAAGTTGTAAAAATAAAGTAAGGTCTTTTGTAGGAGGAGGTGGCGAGGAATCCCTTCGAGCAATAGGTTTGGGTGATGATGGAACAACTTCCGCCTCAGGCTCATTTACTGGGGCGCTGAGGGGTACATCTTCTGATACATCGTCTTTTTGCGGAGGTGGTGGAGGGAATGCACCAGTTTCAATTCCGAGAGAGGGCTGGTTTCGAATGGGTTCATCATCTTTAGCAGGAACCGCGGGTCCATTTTTCCTCTCGGACACCTGGGCTATGGGCGAATCAGGTTCAAGCTCACGCTCTTCTGATATCCGGTTTACATTTCTCATGGGTGAGGTTTCATTGCTTCGGGGGATCGATTTGGCCGTGTATGAACGCCTTATTCGAAAAGCATCCAAAGGCTCCTTTGATTCACGACTATTTCGGGGTATGGCAGATAGGTTACTGCTGGTTGGTAGCATGGCTACCCCATTCGGTGATGTCCCAGTGAATTTAGCAATTTGATAATAGGCAGAATGCCGGCGAGATGCTCGTCGCTGCAACGGATCTTCTCGCTGCAAGGCTGCAAGAGCATCTTGGGCAGGAGGTAGGGGCGGGGGCGAGGGGGGAATATATTGAGGTATAGAATTTCTAGTAGGCTCTTGAACCGTGGGAGTAGGCTGAATTTCAGCTGAATTTAAAGGAGGCGAGGCAAGGTTTGATGATATAGACGCGGAATGTTGGTGAGAGTTTCGAGACCCGGTTGTTGAAACCGAGGTTCTCCCCAAGGTAGTGTAAGGTGGTGGAATTGGCGGTGATGAAGCCCGAACTGTTGTATTCCCGCCGGGTAAAGATGATGTGCGTGGAGGATTACCTTCCTCTAAACCATCTCTACTTCTTGCCCTCGTGGCTTGGGCTGGCTGCTGTGAAGGTGGGGATCCTCTATCTATAGATGCAGGCCCGGAAAGCTCTGCAGTATTCCTCCCACTTTTATGTTGCCGTAAGCCTTGTTGTTTTCTCTTGAGTCCATGAAGGAGGTTGATAATGATCTCCCTGATCCTCGGTAAGTAGACTTCCAGACTCTGAGGACTCGCATCTTGACTCAGAGTGCTCTCTAATATCGTTCTTAGCGCATCCGGTACATTTCCCAAATCGGTTGTATCTACTCCGATGGCCGTAAATGCTCGACACGCCAAATTAAATTCGGATCCAAGGCGGACATATACATCTGAGACCTCCGCCTCAGTGGCTTGCTGCCGTGACCAAGCGGTAAGAGTTTCAAGAAGTTGTTTAGTTGCGATGAGAAGTTGAGTAACGGATTTCTCGATTGTAGATAGATGTTGAGACGGCTGTGGCTCGAGTCAGCAAAAATATTTGTGACGAGCATTACTGAAGTTTCAAAAACATCTACTATTTAAAATACTCTAAAGAAAGATTCCTTGTAAAGGGAACGAATCGAATAAGGAAAATGAAGCTCACACTTATTCTAGATCGCTGCTGTCGGGGACTCCTGGCTGAACCCGTTGAGTTCTGGGAGGACATTGAGGTGTTACTAAAAGTAGGTGAATGTGATGGTGATGCCGATGATGATGATGTTGGGGTGAGAGATCTTGTAAGGCCTGAGCGATGGGAGCCGGATTGCATTAGATGTTGGAGGAAAGGGGTTAGATAGCTGGTACCCGGGGAGGGGGAGCCAGAGAGAGTGTGGGGGTTGGTTAGTGGGGGATGGTGGTCGTGGTGGCTGTTGAGGTTTAGTTACTGGGACATGGTGTTGGGTTAGTTTCGTGCTTACCGACTGCACTGGAAGCATCTGCAGGGACCAATGTTTCCCTACCTTGGTGTACTTTACATACCGGTATCTCCAGCACATCTGGCGCTGCGCCCGCAGCTTAGATAGAACGGTAAGATAAGGAAAGAAGATTAGGCAGAGACCTAAGAGCCCGAGGCACTCTTATGGCTTTTGATTTATAGGTGATAGGGTATTTTATATCCTCCGTACTTGTAGCTGGGTCGTATACTATTTACTGAGGCTTCAGCCAGGTACGAGCTTGATATCGATTGTGAACCCGTTGCTTTGGCAGGGCTGAGTATCAGCTTTTATGTGAACTTATTTCAGAAGTTTCTAGTGTGGTCAGGATCGCAAATCTTGGGCCATCACTTCATGCGCTCCTTGGATATCTCATTCACCAGGAGGTTTTTATTGAAGCTCTTTCTATTTGTGGTTGATTAAGATCAGTTGTGGTACTGCAGGCAGACATGATTAACAATGGTTTGGAATATGTAATTAGAATATTTATGCCAATATCTACACACGAAGCGATAGAATGGTCCTTCAGCCCGAAATATTGCCCATATAGCATTCGCACAATCAGATGACCCACACAAACAACCCCCCGACAGCTTGTTTATTTGCCTAGAACGCATGATCCAGCATTATTATGCCTACTCAGCAGCTAATATCGGGTCGTGTGTCGGGTTCGAATTTTGGCGCTCATGAAAACTAGCTAGACAAGGTGTTGAAATGCGTATGCACTGGACTTGACATAAATTTTCGTAAGAACAATAGTCCAGGAAGTGATTTCTCCTGCAGATTATTAGAGATAGGAGGGCTTTCGAAATAGCTTTATTGCTCTTGCTGATAATTTATGCTGGGACGTATCAGATGCTTGGTTAACAGTGGTGTGGCTTGGCAGGAATCGTCTCACCTGGAGGAAGCCCGACTGAGTGGAAAAAATAAATAAAATATCACTGGCAGGTGAGAGAGGTGAAACCAACCTGTTGCTGCTGCTACTGCTGCTGCTTGGTGTTGCTTGGTGTGGTAGAAAGAGCTGCTGCGCTCATCGGCCCCCAGACTACGCTCAAAGCTCTCTTCCTACTAAGGTCCTTTTCACCTTTCCACCCTTCTTTCCTTTTGCCGTTCCTTTTGGATAGCTCGTGGATTTTTTTTTTTTGTTGTTGTTGTCGCCTTTGCACGAGGAACCCATAAACGAGAAGAACAAACTTGTCTCTCGCTCGCACCCTCTGACATCCCTCCATCTAAACCTCCCCCATATTCCCCCCCCCCCCCCCCATCACCTCACCTTCACCCTTCCTCTCTACTATCCTATCTATCTAGCCCCCTCTACACCCCACCATCCACTTCAAAAGCTAGACTCTTCTAGAGGGGAAGAACAACAGCAGAAGTACCTTCAGACTCGCCTCCTTACCGACAACGAATCTGCTGCACTTTCCTTTTCTTCAACCTTTCTTCCTGCAAGCTTGGTTCTCATCACTACTCACCCATTTACGAGCTTCACGAATAGTTACTTACTACCCATTACATCACACATGGCCACTACGGCAACCGCTCCTACAGCGGCCAATGGTCCTGCCTCCGCAGGTGCTTCGTCTGCTGCCTCGGCATCTGCAGCAAGGCCTCAGTTGAAGAGCACAATTTCTGGAACTTCAAACGGCGGAAATACTAACAGGAGGTCAGTTCAATCACCCATTGATGCCCAAAGGTAAGCGGCTATCACTTCTTTCGAGAATTTAACCCTTAAGTTGGGTACTGCTTTGAGCGATTCTGAGATTGAAACATCGTATCCCGTGTAATTATGTTTGGCCGTTGTTCTTGGGAGAATATTCGACCTTGTTGAGGCTCGCCCCACGACCCCACATTGTACCTGTTGCCAATCTCCCGATTTATTTGTGTTCACCAACCTATATGCCAGCATCGCTCTATCTTCCTTGCTTTCTAATTCCCATCTTTGGTTTTTTCTTATCCTAATATCCATCTTATTGTTTTACGACCTACGTCATTTATACGGAGCCTTGAAAACTTTATGTTGAGCTTTATGATATAATTCAGTGCTAATAGATATCTAGACGGAATGCTTCCCGGGGACCTTGGCAAGCGAATACACATCAAAAATATAATGGGGGTTCTACAAACGCAGTTACCTCATCATCGCCTACACCAAGTCAGGCTGCCGCGATGAAGGCGCGGAACCCAACTATACCTCCCGGAGGTGAATCCGATACTCATGATAAGCATATGCATGATAGGACACTTTTTTTACTTGCAAATTTAATTGTAGGTTCTATACCCCAAGATTTTTTTTAATACTTTTTATTTCGACTATGTTCTCTTGGCCCAGAGTACCCCTAAGTAAAACATTCCATGGGAGCTCAGCAGTGCTCTTGTGGGTAGCATCTTAGTAGCATTTGCTGACCCGCATCCACAATTGCAAATAGGGCAAAACAATTACTATAACTCTCAAGACTGGTGCCCGTTACACTGGTATTCTTGTAGGAGCTGACGCAAAGAACCATGATATCGGTGTTGTGATGAAATGGGTCAAGCTTGTTCGAGCTCCTTTGGGCGATAGTGGAGATGGGGTGGAAGAAGGAGATCATGTTGGTGGTGGCCCAGAGAAAACTATGATTTTCGAGCCTAGAGATCTCGTAGATATCTTCGCAGAAAAGATCGCGTTGGGCGAGGCTGAAGGCCACGCGAATCATCAGAATGGTAAATCTGCATTGTAGACGTCTCTGTTTTTTTCTTTCTATTCCTCTAGTTTACTGATATTCATTGATGTCAATCTAGGTACTTTTAGGACCGACGCTGATATCTCTGGAAATCTTACCATGCGGGAACGAGAGCTCCATAGGTGGCAGCCTGATGAAGCTACTAATAACCTCTCTCTCGAGGAGTCCGCCCCTGGTTCTCAGGCTGGTTCCCAGGGTCAAGGATGGAATCAGTTCGAAGTAAATGAACGTCTTTTTGGTCTTAAATCGGATTTTAACGAAGATATTTATACCACAAAGCTAGATCGTGCTCATCCACTTTACCAGCAACGTGAAGCAGCAGCAGCAAGAATTGCTAGAGAAATAGAGGGTCAAACCATCAATGCAAGCATGAATCCTCACGTTGCTGAGGAACGAAATATCGCCCTCGGAGATGATAGCGGAATTGATGAAGAAGACAGGTATGTTGGTTGGCTTCTCAACTGAATCCTAACCCAATAAGTTGACATTTGTTTCTCTCGTTCTTCGAAGATACGGTGCTGTTCAACGCAATCCTGTGGCCGGTGGTGTTGCCCAGGCGCAGGCCACACAGGCCATAAACTCACGATATACGCCGCCAGCTTTGAGGGCGCCTACGGGGCACCCGACTGTTCCTGGCGCTCCTCATGATCCCGCTATAATATCCTCCCAACTGGTTCGTCCAGAAACTTTACAGCAGAAACAGCAGCAGGCGCCGCAGGCACCAAGAGCTGTTCTTCCAACAATTAATCTGCCTCAAGCCACAAAGTCAGAGGATGCTACTAATAAACCAAAAGAGAAGTCGACTCTTCCTGAGATCATCGCACCTAAGAGAATGCTAGGAACGTCTGAGGTCTCTTCAACAAGTCAACCTCCAATACCCGAACTCACACAGGACTTCAAGCAATTTGTTAATAATGAGAAAGAACGCTACATGAGGAGAAAAGCCGATTTACAGCAGAAGGATAGGGCTTCAAAACTAGAGGAGCTTAAGAAATTCTCTGTAAATTTCACTCTTAGAACTGAAATTCCTCAGGACTTGGTACCAATATTGGCAAAAGATAAACAAAAACAAGCTGAAATTGTTGAAAAGGCCAAGGCAAATGTTGCTAAGGTAGTCTCGCCAACGACTTCAACTACTTCACAAACGGCCAAGCTGCCTGGAACAAGAGAGCCGGTTCCAAATAGCTTTGCAGCGAAGAATCCGACTGAACATGAATTGGTGAAACAGCAACTTCTGAACGGATTTCCGCCGCAACGTCAGCCACAGAGGGCCCAGCATCCCGCTCCTCTTCTTAGTGCTCGCTTGAAACAAATCCAAGATGCGAAGAAAGGGGGGCAACAGCTTCCTCATGTACGTTCACCGGTACCTATTCCTGAACACCCCCAGAATATCCCAACCGGTCCTGCCGCAGGAAATATTCCCATTGCCCCTAAGTCCATATCTCCTGCATCTATGAGTATGAGAGCGGGTGCAAAGGCGATGGAGTTCAGACCCAATCCCAGTGCAGCCACCTTCACGCCTACATTTGGGCCATCCACTACTGCTACCCCAAGTCCTACCACATCTGCTCCCGCACATGCCTCACCTCGGGCCACAAGCCCATCCCTATTTTTTGGGAACAAAAAGCCAAAACCAGAACAGGAAAGGAAGTCTATTAAAAGCTCCTTCAATCCAATCAAAAGGATGATGAAGGCGGGACAGAATAATGGACCGGTTCAGACAGATCCGAAGTACTTGAAAGGAAACTCCAATGATTTCATCGACATGCCTTTCCACACCATTCCAACCTGGCCAACAGCCGAAGGTAATGAAGAAAAGAAGTATGTGCAGATGTTTGCGAGAACAGAGCTTTCCGCGTCGAGTACCATGCACTCTCCACAGCCTCCACATATTGCCCCCCATCAACCACATCACCATCCACAGGGTCCTCCCCATATGGCTCATGCCAACCAACCCCCACATGTATCGCACCAACCACACCATTCGCACATGCCTCAACATCATTTGGCGATCCCGCCCCAGCACTACGAGCAAGATCAGCACCTTCGACAGATCCCACCATCTGTTATGCCTTCACCAAACTTACACAACGCAACCCTCGCGCCTTACCAGCAGTCCCCAGTCGCCCATCACTCACAAATGCCTATGTATACTGCCCATCCACAGGGACAATATGTACCAGGTGGCCCGGGTGCCCCATTCGTTGGCCAGTTCTACGGTGGATTTAGAGGTCCTGCTGGTGCTGGACAGATGATGGTACCTGGACCTCAACCTATCCCGTATCCTGGACAATTTATACCCCACCAAATGTATTCACCTCAACAACCTCATGCCTATATGCATAATGGCACTGCTCCCCCGCCACCTCCAAGTTCACAAGGATACCCAAGTCCTGGACGAGGTGCTCCTATGATGATGCACCAAGGGTCATCGCAGGGAACTCCTGCGGGACCTCAAATGATACCATATGCAATGCAGCCTGGACAAGGTGGCCCGATATATGGGCAAGGACAGCAACAAAGTGAGTTATTCCTCCAAGGCCAAAATTGGTTACCCCAGCGTCCACAATCCACTGTCTCTCTGCCTCCTGCCCCCTCTTCGTCTGCGGCCAAATTTAGTGTTAGTCGTGCTGCCTCTCCTGTTGCTGTCCCATCCCCACGTATCCGCAATTCGCATTTGTCTCCTCAACCCTCTGCTGCTTCTCCACTTCTTATGTCTTCGCTTGCCGCATTTTCTCCCGCCCCTTCGGCTCCCGATACGAGCCTATCGTCATATCCACTCCAGCGGAGTCGGACGGGGAATACGCCTACGCACAGTGGGGGAGCTCGCGGCGGGAGGAACGGCGGCGGTGGGATAGGGATCCCAATGATGGTTCCAACCAACTTTGTAATTGGTGCTTATTCTAACGATGGGTCAGTGGGTATGATGCGTGGACAACCTCTTCCACACCAGGGAGGGCCGCCACCCCCGCAACCGTATTATCATGGCCCACAAGGACATTATCCTCCTGGAGGTAGGGGGAACAATTATGGCGGACATCCTCAACAGCAGCACCAGGGTGGGCAACATGCTCCCCCACCACAGCCACAACAGCCACAACAGACTCAGCCGCAACAGACCGCGGCGGATGGTGAGGGTGGGAAATAGGTTATTGCAAATAAAAACTTGGCTGGAACGGGATGGGTAGCGTATGTTTTTGTATCTTTGAACGAGACATGTGTTGGACGAGCTAAATATGATCCAAAGAGGCAAGGCTGTTTTTTTTTTTTTTTTTTGGTACGAATTGAACTATTCTCAGGTCAAATTTTCCTTTACACTTACCGTCAACTGCCAAGAGACTGGCATTTTCTTCGTTCAATTCCGGGTCTTTTTCATGAACTGCTGTGTATATTTATTTGTTTGCCCATCTTCGTCGTCCATTTCTTTAGTCGAGTGTGGGGGGAAATCCGTGCAGGGAATAAAGTTCTTTCGGTGGGGACGGCCATGCGCCGTGCATGTATGAAGAAAGTAACAGCACTAGGCGTTGGGCGTTTTTTCATGTCTGGGATAGGGGGCGCTGTGGTAGGCATGAAAAATGGAGTTTATTGGATTTTCCTGTTATCTTCATTTGTTGTTATATTTGTTCTATCCTTTCATATTCTTTTTGTTCCTTGTTGGTATAGGAAGGCTTTTGCGAAGGGTGTACATGTGGGAATTTGGGTAATTAAGAGAGAACCCGCTAGTAGTCGGCGTGGCGACTTGGGTTGATGGGAAGTGGCGTGCAGGGCTTTCGGGCGTAAGCTTGAGAAGGTGAGACTTGTCCCGTTAAGGCCAGTTAGTCGGCCTTACTGACAGTAGCTATCCAGGGACGGTAGATGCATGTATCCAGAGGAGATTGGCCGCTATCTTGAAAATAGGACAAAGGCCTAGACAGTATCCGAATACAAGCTACCCAATTAATTTAGGATCAAGAACAATGCGGCTCGGCTCCGAGACTGGGGGAGTGGGATGGAGTTGATCTTGCATGCTTTCCCTTCTTACTGGGGCCGAATAAGGTATCCGCGGGACTCCGAGTTCGCGGAAAGGCTTCGTTGCTGGGTAAGATGACAGGATATGTGGGGAGGGGTTAGTGACGGGGGGTAGTCTTTTGCTTGATGGTCTGAATTGCTGGTCAAATGCACGAATTGCAATGAAGGATATAGGCTAGAGAATTCAACACGGTCACTATTCGGTTTGGGATCCTATGGCATCCAGGCGTTGCTGTGTCAGACGTGATGAACGTATAAGGAGCTAATCACAAATTATCACTCGGTGTATATCAGCCCCTTGGTAGCCAGCGAAGGACTCTGCGATTTTATTAAAGTTCTGGCCCCTTTATGCTTATTCTTGCCAACTTTGGACGGGAATTTAAATGGCACTCTATATCCCGTGATCACCCTGTAATACCTTCCTCGTTGACACGTGCCAGATTATATGCATACACTTTACAACCCAGCAGGCGTGACAGCGTCATCCAACATTCATCTACTTCCACGAGCTCTTTACAATGTCATGTATGTACCTATGGGTGGAGCAAATTACACGCACATATAATGTGGCTGTGGCACTATATGCAAAGGACAGGTATGTACATATATACATGTACATAGCGTCAAACCGCCGAACGAACTCATGGTCATGACTCTACTACATGTATGTACCTACTCTATGTACATTTACTTACTGAGATCACACACTGGTAGCTTGTAGGGAGTACTAAGTTCCTACACTTGTGTTTGTTTCAACATACTGCTTGTTCTTGTTAAAATGAAACTAACCAGGCCTGTTGCTTGAAACCTAGACCCAAATCCCTATTTTTCGGGTAGGGCGATCGCTTCGACCCCCCTTGAACCTTACTAACCGCATGTAGAACTGGCTGTAATAATACTCTAACGTTGGTTCCCGACTAGCGCTACTGAGCCGCAATCTAAGTGTAACCTCCACTGAGCAGGGGTAGTTAGTAATAGAGTGCCTACTACACTTGGGTCCGTAACGTAGCAGTCAACATCACCATAGCTTCTTGGACATTCCAGAAGGATTGAAATTAGAAAGAATAAGATGCAGTTATGAGAAATAAGAAGTGGATGATATATGTTATGGAAAGACCGGTATTGACTCCCGAGATCTTCACGTCCTGCGAAGTTCATTCACACCAAACCTCTCAGATAGAAAGCCTGGCCACCAATCTAACGCAATATATATGCACATGTACATACAATAAACCTGGTTTCCACTCGATCGATGGAAGCCATATACAACTCCGATATTACACCAGGGGCGTGTAAAAAGTTTCGCAAGGACAAGCGCCCTAAGAGTTACGGCGGAACGGGACAAACAATTTTCCCTCCTTATTGCCGCCCGGCGGACGGGCTTTTGCTGGGGAGGGGCTCATATCTGCGAAACAATAATGAGTGGGGTTAGTGTTTTCTACTAAATGGACGAATAGGAAAAGGGCGATTGATCAACTTTTTATCACCGATTTGGTAGGGTAGCTACTAATTACTACAGATTTATTAGCTAGTACTCTACAGAACCCAATTCTCGGGGCAGGCAGTACGTATACACTATGCACATACCAAGCACCAAGAATTAAGTTGAACATGGGACGGAGGGTACTTGGTAAATAACAAGTGCTATCAGAAGAAGCGATCAGAGCTCAACTCTGTATATATATAAACACTTCGTTCTTCTCAATGATTCCAGTCCTTCATCTCAAAGCTTGACGCTTAACTGGGCTTTTGGTTTTTGAAAAACGACTTTCTTTATACACCTTTGATTCAGGTGGACATTCTTTTTTTTACATTCTTTTTTATTTTATTTTTTATTTTTATATCTATTCATTCCCTTTAAAACACAAAATGCTTTTCAAAAACGCTCTTTCCGTTCTTTCTGTGCTGAGTGCTTCTGGTAAGTTGATACACAGGCTCACTTTTGAGAATTGGGTTCTGATATGAGTTTTTTCTATATGAGCAGCACTAGGATTGGTTTCAGCTCAATCATCCACAGCCTACACTGACACAGAGACTGGTATCTCGTTTCAGCGATTTCTCACCACATCCTATTCCGGATTTTCCTTTTCTATCGCATTTCCAACTGATCCGACTACTGAGTTCATTGGACAAATCGTTAGTAACACAGTTTCCCTTTTATAAACCCCGTTGGTGAGATTTCTAACAGGATAAATAGGTTGGACCAATCAATACTGATGGAGGCTGGTCTGGTGTAAGTTTGGGGGGTGGAATGACAAGCAATCTTTTGCTTGTTGCCTGGCCCAATGGTGAAGAGATCGTGCACTCATTCCGTTATGTCACGTTAGTAACAATCTCTAATTACCGACATTTTGAGCTACGTCTTCTAACATTGCCTTGTGTAGTGGTTATGAGGCACCTTCGGTATATGATGGCGATGCTACAGCCACCACAATGTACACAAACATCAACTCTACACATTGGTCATGGACTTTCCGATGCGAGAACTGCGTCTCATGGACCGATGGTGGATTTGACGTGACAGCTTCTTATGCCATCATGGGATGGGCTCAGAGTACGGCCGCAGTTAGTGATGTAACTGATGCATCCTGCACTCTTCAATACCACGACAATGGATTTGGACAATACGGTATGCTCATCGGTTCAGCATTGTCTGACCAGTATTCAACTTGGCTTTCGGGTGCTGGGCTTTCTGCTGGCACTCCGTCAGGCAACTCTTCCACATCAGCCGTGCCAACAGCCACCGCAAGTGCCACCGCTACAGCAAGCAGCTCTGCTACTGCTACATCTGCAATCCCGGCTGCCACTGAGACTTTGGGTGAATATGACTACATCGTTGTCGGAGGAGGTGCCGGTGGTCTTATTAGTGAGTTATTTCCCTTCTCAAACTTAATAGCAGAAAACTAATAGGAGTCAGCTGCCGATCGTCTTTCGGAGACTGGTGCTAAGGTCCTCTTGATTGAGAGAGGCCCGCCATCAACATATGCCTCAGGTGGAACCGTTGGTCCTGCTTGGCTCAACGGAGAGAACCTCACTCGCTTTGATGTTCCCGGTCTTTGCAACGAGATCTGGGTCGATTCTACTGGCATCGCATGCAACGATATTGATCAGATGGCTGGATGTCTCCTTGGAGGTGGAACTGCTGTTAACGCAGGTCTTTTCTTTAGGCCTCAAGACCGTGATTGGGACTACAACTTCCCCGCTGGTTGGAAGGCTACCGACATGGTTTCTGCAACTGATAAACTTTTCGCGAGAATTCCTTCCACCGATACTCCTTCCATGGATGGTAAGCGCTACTTGCAGGAACCATATGAAGTTTTGGCCGCCGCTTTGCCTCAGTCTGGATGGGAGGCTATTACTGCGAATGAAAGCCCCAACTCGAAGAACAAGACTTTCTCTCACACCCCCTTCATGGTAAGAAATCATTACATTATTTCTTGAGATTATATATCGTTAGCTAACTCTATAAAGTACTCAAATGGTGAGCGTGGTGGACCTTTGGCTACCTACCTCCAGACTGCTATGGCTCGTGACAACTTTGATCTTGTTGTCAACACTACCGTCCGCCGTGTAGTCCGTAGTGGCTCTTCAATCACTGGTGTCGAGGTCCTTGCCAGCGACGTTAGCGGAAAGACTGGTATCTACACTGTCACAGCTAATACCGGAAAAGTCATCCTCTCAGCAGGAACTTTCGGAACTGCAAAGATCTTGATGCGCTCTGGAATCGGTCCCGAGGACTCCCTTGAAGCTGTTCAGGCATCTTCTATTGATGGAGCTTCCATGATTGCCAAGGAAGAGTGGATTCTCTTGCCTGTTGGATACAATGTTATGGACCATGCCAACACCGATATGGTTGCAAGCCACCCCAACGTCACCGCCTACGACTTCTACGGTGCCTACGATGATCCGATCGAAGCCGATAAGGAGTTGTACCTCGACAACCGTGCTGGAATCTTTGCCACTGCTGCTCCCGGCCCCAACACAATGCTTTGGCAATCGTTCGTTGCCTCCGATGGAATTACCAGACAGCTTCAGTGGACCGTGAGAGCTGAAGGATCACTTGGGGAGGAAGGTGATACCCTCATTACCATCAGTCAATACCTTGGTACCGGTATGACCTCCAGGGGAAGAATCTCCATCAAGTCGAATCTCAACATGGCAACCACCGTCAGCCCTTACCTGAACAATGAATATGATATCGAGACTGTTATTGCAGGTGTCAAGTCGATCATGAGCTCCATTGCCAATGTCAGTGGTATCAGCCTTGTGCAACCTGCCGCTGGTGTTGACGCCGAGAGCTTTGTAAACAACTACATCGAAAGCCGTCGCAGCAATCATTGGCTCGGAAGTGCCAAGATGGGAACTGATGATGGAAGGAACGGAAACGGAACTACCGGATCAGTTGTTGATACTGACACCAAGGTCTACGGAACTGACAACCTGGTAAGCATACATCCCCATTAATATATAAACCACTTCTAACAAGAGATATCTGTAGTTCGTCGTTGATGCCTCCGTCTTCCCTGGTCACGTGGCCACCAACCCCTCAGCTCCTATCATGATTCTCGCCGAGAGGGCCGTTGAGAGGATCCTTGCTTTGGGTACTAGCGCTAGCCCCTCAGCGGTTACCTCTAGTACCGTAGCTGTCCATACTTCAACCCCTTCTAGCGCAGCAGTAGTAGCACCTGTCTCGTCAACAATTGCAGTGGCACCTACTTCAGCCGCTATTGAAACCTCATCTGTTAAGACCTCTTCTATCGGAACTTCCTCCACTAAAGTAGTTGTTCCTACCTCTTCGGCTGCAGTAGTTGCTCCTACCACTTCGACCTCCGCTGCGGTAGTCGCTCCTACTACATCCGCAGCCGTAGCAACATCAGCTGCAACAACAAGCACAGCAGCCACCCCAACTGGTGGTGCAGCCGCCGCCGGCCACTACTACCAGTGTGGCGGAAAGGGCTGGACCGGTGCTACGACTTGTGTGAGTCCATACACATGTACAGTACAGAACGACTACTACTCCCAAGTATGCTCAATCCCCTCTACAAGCCCGAATTGAATTCAAATGCTAACCTAGAATCAGTGTTTGTAAGCCATCAACGTTCCCATAATAAGTTGTTTTACGGAGCATGAATATGGGGGATCATGTAAATTTCATAGACCTTTCTTCATTGTCATTAAAGGGATTTGTATATAGTTAGAAAGGCCGGGCGTCGATCATTTGCATTAGGGGACTGGGTTTTTTCCTTGCAAGAGAGAACAGTGGCCGGTACAGAGTTCTTCAATTATATCTTTAGTTTATCTTCTTCAAAAATTTCCCGCGGTAGAGCACTGAGTGATTTCCCATGACACACCAAAGAGAATTCTATCATGTGCCTATGAAGGTGCAAGGGAGGCACACCTTTAGACTCCAACTTAGTTTATAGGGCTTTCGGTTTTTGTAGGTTGGGGGCTTATTTCTGCGCTCGATGATTACAGTTGAATAGTTGGAGAGGAAACATGGTCATTGGCCTCGCTCGATACATGTTCAATGTTCACCTATATCTTACGTATACGACGCAATTATCGCCTAGTATATTGTTCGAAATACAGTCTTTTAATCACCAGGGAAATTCATAATTGTTTTTTTCGATACTGTATTTACACTCTATTATGGCGTAGCTGGTTCGAGTTCTCGTTTTTCAAATACTTCTTTAAACATTTCCATTCGAATTTCTATTCTAGCGATTATCACTTCAACTTAGGTACATGTACTTGATGTATTTATATTTTAATCGAGCACCAGAGTGCAATAGTAGATGGCGTATATGCACGTAGCTACATGTATGATACACGTATTCTTCCTAGGCCCATGCGTGCCAAGAATTATAATCAGGCATTCTTTTGGCCACGTTCAACTACGTAGATCCAACAGCTGCAACCAACCCCAGCATCATTCTTTGCATAGCTTCTATCCCACTTCAACGCACTTACCACTCCCACAGAAAACCCATCAACCATTATCAGCATTCAATAACCATGGCGACATCTACTCGGGTCGCCGAGTTATCTCCTGCAAATGCTACTATTCTTGCTGCCCATTTTGCGGCTTCCGGAGATTTAAAGGCTCTACGGTCGGTATGCTTGTTGCATTCTTCGACACTCCGCGGCCATACGCTTCTGCGTGTGCTATTATGTCTCCCGGAGACTACTCAACCGAATCTGTACATCCCGCTTATCAGAACTGTTCTATCAAATGAAGACATTACGCCACTGGAAGATGAGGGAATGGTGGAAGATATGGAATCATCGTTACCAATCACTAAAATATCCGATAAAAGCGCGCAAAAGAAAATAGAAAAGCTTCCAACTCTGCCGCTAGGGAATGATGACGATGGGAAGGGGCTAGTAACTTCCTACTTGCTACAGCGATCGCGCAATATCGATTCAGAAACCGGCGCACTATCGATCATCAGGGAGCTTCTAACTCCCTTCCGGGACGATTTACCGACGATTAGAAATTACCTAGATGGTTCCGTAGAGGTCTTATCAAAACTTGTCTACGAATATGCCCAGGAAAACGAAGATGATATTGGGGGTACGGCAGTTTTTGAGACAATGGAAGTGGATGCGGGCACGAAAATACTATTGAACCGCTGCGGAAGGGGAGGAAATGTCGTACAAGATTTGAAGCAGCTTGTGGTCCCATACTTGAATTATAGAGGGAGCTATGGAAATGGTTGGGGTGTGATATGGAAATGGTTGGAGCAAAAGGTTGAATCGGGGGATTGGGCCGGGTTTGTTGAGGTTATCGCAAGATGGGATGGGCCCGAGAACCAAGCTTTGCGGGAACAGTACGCAAGACTTGCCTTAGCGGGATGTTATATTTGTGGTGAGACGGAGAGTTGGGCTTTGGATGGAATGCGGGTCGTTGAGAAAAGGGTGCGGGGCTTTGTAGATGCTGGTGTAGGTGCCAGGAATATATACAAGGCGCCAACCAAACTAGGCGGCTTGTTAGATAAAGAGAATCCGCTCACTGCGCCGAATACAGAATCGCTCAAGATACTTGATCTCTTGATTACCTCCGCCGGGATCTTGTCTATTCCGCTGGCGGCAGCGGCAAAAGTAAAGTTTGAGGGTTCACACGACGATCAGAAAGGAGTACTTGCACGATACGTGAGGAACGGGCCGAATTGGACCAAGAGATCTAATGAAGAGTGGAAGAAGCTGAGGAATGGTCTAAGGTGGATGCGATCCGAGTCGGGAGTCTTGGAGAAATTATCTGTAGAGGAGGTTGAGAAGGTGCTACTCTCGGGAATGTTAGCAGCTACGAAGTTTCCGTTGGTAAAGGAAGTCTATGTTACCGGACGCGACGGAGGGTTGGGGAAGGAAGAGGTCGAAAGAAGCGTATTAGATGCCTTTCAGGAGTTTTACGACAATGCGAGTAATGGAAACAAGACTAGGGGTGGAGTAAAGAATGCGTTAAACACGTTAGTCTTTTCCCCTTCATTTTCAGAAATTTGTTCTAATATCATTTCTTTTCCAGTCTCCAGATACTCTATCCTCAATACTCGAATTCTACAGCTCTCGAACGTGCTTTCCGTCTGGTCAATGCCACCCACGCACTTTCCCACTACTCCCTAACAATCACTCCTGGTGTCCCACTCCGCCCAGTTCATGTCAGGATTCATGCAGATCCATTGTCTCTCCTTGCCCGTCTTCTTGATTCCAACCCAAAGTCCTATACACAAGCCGACAATCTAACCAACATTGCCAAGGACCTCTGCTTTGGTACCACTGGCTATGACGGGGGTAGAAAAACCAACGCCAGAGTCCTCGGGATGTGCATAGACGCAGCACTTTCAGAATCCGATTTTGACACTGCGTACTCATTCAGCATGAACCGACTTGTCTCTATGGCCACAGATGATGAAGACACTGAAGAGGTTAAGGACGTAATCTGGCGTACTTGCTTCCAGGCAGGACGGTACCGTTCCCCATATGCTGCCCTTATAGGCGAAACATCTGCATATGGCGGCAAAGCATTGCGAACAGTCGAAATGCGAATGGAACTTCTCGGCCAAGCTCTTCGGGTATGCCCTCCGCCCGCATTGGCAGAAGTCCTAGCCGCCTGGCGACGCTGCGAGGAAGAAATGCAAGCCGGGCTCAAGGAAGAGGAGGAAGAGGAAGAGCGTCATGCTGCACTCTGGAAGACCGGGGATGCAAGAACCGGCTCAGGCAGAAGAAAAGAAGACGAGGCTCCTATGGGGCTATTTGCCGTCGCGAGAGAGGCCGCACAAGCGCTCAGAGGGTCTAAATTTCCACTTGCTGCTGGGCGAGGAATGGACGGTACTGGTAGTGAGCATGGAAGTGAGGGGTCTGTGGCGACAGAGGAGAGGATCAGGAAGAGAGATATGGTTTCCGGCGTTGTTACGCGTGGGCTTGCGGGTGGGATTGGGTGGGTACTTGGTGCCCAACCCGCTGTCCCACCACGTTAGAAGCACCTGGATACAGGGTGTGTAGAATGGGTGGGTGCATTGAGATTATAATTACTACATATTTTTCTTATGTCAAGCGATGGCGTTAGTTGGTTTGACTTTTTCTTTTCTTATTGGCATTACTACAAGTATCTGTGTGCTAAGCTTATTTATGCATTACGTTTGATGTGCGATACGTAAGTGGAGATTTCCGATTAATTCAACCTTTTCCACCTATCTTACAGTCAATTGCGAAAGTCTTATATGGAGATGCAAAAAAGAACGCTTTTATTCCCAAGATCCAACTACATGTAATTATATAAACACATCTAAATTCTAACTACAACAAATTTAAAGAAAATCTACGAAAGAGAAAAGAAACTCTTAACTCACCATATATCACTCGAGCCGTAGCTTCACCGGCCCCCGTCCCCCCAAAAATGGAAACGGGGAAACCGGTTGAAGAGCCATGTTCCTAATTCAAAATGAACTAGGAGATCAGAGGACTCAGAGAGGAAGGTCATGCTGCTGAGGGGGTAGTTCCGGTTGGCAACTAGCCCAGAAGCAGCACTATGGAGTTTAAAAGAGGTGTGAGGAAAACTGCTTCGTCTGCCGAAAAATGCTGCCCACCCTAAAGTTGCTGGATGCCAAGAGAGTGTGGCATTTGCTCACAGATCTCTTTATCTTTCTTATCAATTGATTGATTTTTCATGAAGAGATAGCAAGTAGGACCTGTCAAGCGGGATTTTGGCCGCTCCCCGCGCGATAAGCCAGTATTAAATTTCCTGTTTGATACTTTGATTTCGAAATTCTGCGAGGAGGATTAAAACAGCTCTGGGTAAGTCTCAAGACTTTCGCAGTTGATGTAATATGTTTCTCTATCATAAAATAAGCATTTACAGGTTCAAAGATTGCTCATGATCACAATTTCCTTGAAAACATCATTGTGCCCTTATAATTGAGAATGCGTGGTAACTTCGAAATCAACAAAGAACAGCCGGCCCCCGGTAATCAACTCGGGAACAAACCAGTACCTCCCCGATCCCCTCACACGAGCCAGAATGACGATGGGCAATATTGACTTTCCGGAATTTCTTTCAGTACAGAACCAGAACCAGAACCTGGAAGTTGGTCGGAAATTGATTGGGGTCGAAATAACGGTGTACAAGCCATCTTAGAAGCACTCGAGTAGCCATGACAAACGTCGAATCTTGCTTCAAGAAATTAAAATATGACGATAATATCTCTCCTAATGACTGATCTTTATTTTACTGCCACTTCGGAAGGGGGTTGAGGATATGATGATGGGGGATTTTCTGGGGTTAGGCGAGGAAATGATCGAAATGCACTAAATCCAATGCCAAGCCAGGTCGAAACTTTACATTCATCGTTAACATCGAGTTTTAGCGTCATAGTATGTCACTCGTGGCCTAGAACAACATCTTGAAACGTTGAACCAGCCCACACAATACTTTCAAGTTTACAGCTATAATCATTACTCACATACAATCAACCCTTATAAACTAAGCATTCCCCAATATGTTCTCTTGTTCCTATAACCAAACCCTTACTGTCACTACAATCAATACACATACTACCCAATAATACCGAAAACATATACGTAAACCAAAGGCCTATCGTCGGACCCACCAAAATTTATATAACCATGTCCGAGCGCCAATCTATGCCCGCAAGTCGTGTCCAGTCCGTAATAGGCCGCGGCCAATTCCTTCCCCTACGCCTCTCCCGCTCCACCCTCTTCACAGACCTCGAGATCACGCGGATACTCCACGAAGGCAACCTCCTACAACCCCCACCTCGATGTCGCTCCCATTCCTTAGCTGCGGCTGTAGAGACTCCAAGTGCGGGAGTGAGTATGGTCAGGAACGTCTATGATACCCGGATCCTTGTGCCGCCGGGGGCGAGTGTCATGTATTTCCACCCCGGGATGAATGAATATCTAGTCTTCAACCCCGCTACCGTCGATCGAACAGAGAATATAACGACTACAAGGGGGGACCGGAGGGATATGAACGTCCTAGAGAAAGGGATGGAAATTATGGCTAGTATTTGGCGGAGGATGCGAGAGTTCGGGAAGAGACTGGGGCATCAGGATGAGATTGCTATCGTGGAAATGCAGAATAATGATAGTTTTACCACGGTAGCGGTGTCTATCACATCGACGTCTTTGGTTTGTGTTCTGACCCCCGGAGGTTTGTTTTTGCTTCGTTGGGAGAAGGCTAATATAGTAGTTGGTGTATAGAATCCATTGAAGTTTGCGTTCACAAAGTTTTTTAATCGGTGGTTTCCAGAAAGTTGGTGGGGATCGAGAACGGATAGCATGTTGCTGCGGTTTTCGATGATTGTGTTGGCGAAATCGTGAAGATATTCGATTTGTATATAGGAACAAGACCCCAGGTTGTGATTTATTAGATACTATCAACACCACCTCCGTGAGAAAATGTATCTGAACTATCCTCCCGCAAACCTCGCCTAGAAAATGCTCTTGGAGATTTATTAGCCAGGGTCCCAGAGGAAAAGTATCTCTGTGGATGTAAAGATTTTCGGTAGGAGATTCCGTGACAGCAGGCTCAATCTCTCCACCGCCAACAGCAGGCTTAGAGGTCTTTGTTAAAGAAACGGAGCTTTCTCACGAATCCTAACTACACTTTAGTTAGACCTGAATTTTCTTCCCCCTCTCTCTTCCCCTCTACTTACTTCTTTGTTCGCCCAGGTCGTCAGTTTCTGTTCCTCTTCATCAACGATCTATCTTCAACATTGTTGAAAGTCTTGATGCCCAATGCCAAGCCTCGAGCTAGATAGTTAAACACTCTAGAAAGGAAACATGGCGCACGAATAGACCGCTTCGTCACGACTTTCCATACATAGAAATTGCCTTTCTAGCAAGACCTTCTCGATGAAATGGTTAAACGTTACAGGTACACCTCTCACTGTCAGCCCGTCCTGCCCTGGATCCCACGGCGAATTAACCGTAGTCATAGGCGGTTCGTGACTAGATGAGACAGGTTCGCCGCAGAGCTATAGCTAGGGATGACTACATACTTACAGAGCTAGAGTACCCAATCCCTAAACAGAATGTACACCGTATTATTCACCGCTGTCCTTGTTAGTGATCCATGAGCCGGTATGAGATATTCCAGGCTCGAGTCCTAGGCTCTCCCAGAGCTAGTTAGCTAGCTTTACTATTCAACGAGTAAGCTCGAACTCATGGTCAGGCTTGATTCTGAAGGTATTCGCTCTTGATTGTAATACAGTGAGTTGTGGTGCCTATGGGGTGGAAGGCTTTGCAATTGGACCATATGCACAATCCAACAAACCCTGAAACGCAGTAGGTGCAGTGGTAGGGTTAGGTGTTCCAAGGAGTTACCATTGCAGTGACGAGTCACAGCTTACCTCACCCAGTTTAGGTTTTGAGCATAAAACAGAGGCCAATTTACAACTGTACCATTTCCCATGGATATGTACATACAACTACCCCTGATTGACGGGTGATACAGGATCGTTCTCGGAAAAGAGGTTCGAATCCCTGTGTCTATCTATCCGCCCCCCGGGAGACTCAAGGTCAACAACTACTCTACTCGGTTTCTGCCGTGGTCGTACGGGACCCAGTTCTCAAATCCTTCTTTGAGGATTCTCAGGACATAGTGCCTTGCCTGCCTTTTCGCCAAATCTACCACGTGGGGGGATATGCCGGTAAGTTCATGGATCATCACTCGGCGTCGACCGGATGCATCTGTTGGTCGTGCAGATAGCTGTATAAAATGGAGGCAAGCATTCCAAAGGTCTCAGGACGATTACACGGTAAGCCCAAGATCTAGAAGCCATAGAAAACGATCTTGGCTCGTATTGATGCATGCATGTCATTTCAAATCCCTTGTCTCAAGAACTGGCCCAATGGCGTCAACTTTAAAGTTCATTGCAACTGGAGCTGTGTTACGTGTCGGACGCGATGCAGCGGCAGAGGTTCTGGGCTCAACGGAGGGTAGTCTGAGTTCTTTTACTTCATGCATCCCGCCTTCGAAGTGGGGGTACAGGTAGGAGGGCTGGGAACGAGCCTGGTGGTTCATGTATGTAATCCTCATCAGGATTCCCCTCATTGCATGTACAGCGACGACTAAGCTTCGTGTCACTATCCGTTGCTACTAGAGAAAATATAATTTTTTTTCAGTGGTTGGAGTTCTATAGGTGTACTTCATACCTGTATACATCATGTAGGTTCTGATACCGGTGTCTTTTTCAGCTGATAATCCGCATACACGTATTGATGGTAACCTTCAAATCTCACAGATAAGACCCAAGGCTGAAGAGGACTGGTCGCACGTGTTTTTCGATTACGGTACACCGGTCCTTTCTATATTTCTATTTCGATATAATCTAGAAGAGATCGAGGTAACTACCCGTGGAATCACCCACACACATCACCACCGAGCATGAGCCCGTAACCTGCGTGTAGATAATCTTTCAAGGTGGTTCACGGACGAGGACGCACACGTTGTTTTCATCTGTTTATTGTTCGGGCTTCAAATGAGTTAATCCGGACAAGAATCACATCATCATCGTAGCCCGTCAATAGATTGCACAAAACGGTCAAGAAACGCAGCTGATCGAGTTCATCTCTGAAAGTTGTTTTAAACGTTTAATCAGCGGTAGCCAATCAAGATGTTACCCCACAAGTACATACGTTCAAACGGGAGTGGGGGGTTGACACTTAACGCGTGGTTTTTATGTGTACGACGGTGGCCATACAATATGTTTCCAGGTTACCAAAATGTTTCAGTGAGGGTGTGATCATGGATTCTGACTCGGCAGTGTGGGCGTGGGCGCGAAAGATCGACCCTACCGGGTGAAAGAACATTGGCATTTCACAAGTCATTGATCGTTACCTACAGTGATTGGCAGCGCGGTACGTTACTTGGAGTACGATTCGATTCGATCCGATTTCAGCAGCGGTTGATAATGGTCCAATCAGGTCGTGTGTGGGCCATTTGAAAAAACTTATGATTATTTATCAGTTGGGGAAACAAATAATAATCAGCGTGGTTGATCGACTGAATAGATTAATCCGGCTCATCTCCACTCCACCACCATAACGGCTTTTTGGGGAAAATTGCAAAAAATTCACCATCGGCTAAAAGTCATTATTCTTATTCCTATGAAAAAATTTTGTGTTTCGCCACGAGAAATATATATACCACGATCAGCTGTCTATCAAGACCGATTAACTACGATTTCGATTCAGCGGTTCCAAAGAGATTTGAATGGATCTATGGAATTAATGCTGCATACATGATACATACTAGGTTAATCATTAAAACGTCGCAACCCTTTCAGGATAATTATTTGGTGTAGCCCCTAAACAATTATTATTTCATGATGTCCTGAAACCACATTTTATTCTGTCCCGTTTGGGCTTTGCTCTCCCCCTTCTGCAGCTGGGGGATAGACCAAAAGGACAAGACCCCTCCTAGCTGCTATCAAACACACCCAATTAACATGCAACATCACCAACGTGCAACACCAACACCACCAACACCACTACCATGTACCACTCAGTGTGCTCACGCTCCATTCTTTCCTTAACTAGCGTTAATTAATTGGGTAATAGTTTTCTCTCCACTTTACAGATCTCTCGATCATACACCACCAAATAAAGAAAATTAAATACCGAGAGAAGGGGATGGACATTACGAGGATCCAGAGAGGGGTATCAACCTATCACCGGTGATATCATTCCACAGGAGTATGTAGCCTTGGACCTGAGCCGCAGCAGGTCAATTCCCAACCGCCTTGGAACCTCCGTGGTGGAAATACCGACTCATGTTGGGTGATGTCGCAGCGATTGGAGGGGGGAAGTAGGCACGTACTCCTCACTCACTAATCAGGTAGTCGTATTTGATACTGTACCCAGCTAGTCCCCGCTCAAAGATTTTTTTCGTTTATTATAATTAGGAAGGAGGTTTCGGTAAATGCTAGTACTTGAAGATCAGCGGGCGGTGGGTAGATGTTCTAAATAAACCCCTCCAATAACCGCCCGTTTTTGAGGACGAGATGTCACATCTCCTTTTATGGTCCAAACCCTCGAACCTCAATGTGTGATGAACCGTTTCACTCGGGGGTGATGGTTAATACTGTGTTGGTAAAGCAGAAAGAGGTAATAATCCACGACGTCGGTATGCTTTTTCTTACTACCATGTTGCATAGCGCATAGTTTGGTACTTATATACCAAACCTGGATAGAATATAGCTTTGATGCAGGGCCGCTGCATATGTCTGCAGTAATATTTACTCTGGATTGCGAGTACTAACTTGTAACGTCAGCTTCTGGCAATAAGCACTAATTGCATGTACTTTTGTAATCATTGTAATACCCGGCTCACATTGGTCGCTGCAGATATACGGTCAATGCCATCATTGACCGCGCAGGCATGTAGTAATCATTGACCCATAGTATGCCAAGCGTGATATCGATAATGAAGTTCAAACGGAAGAGATTGACTAAGCTGCTAGTAATACCTGAATTCAGACGATGGCAAGCTAACCAGTATTTACAAACACGCGAGTATAGAACAAATACCCAGTACCAGTTTAAAGAAACATTTGAAGCCCGTTCTTCTTCGGGTCCTTCATACTCCTCGCCCATTCACCCCCATCAACCAATTTTTTCCCTTCGAGCTTGATGCCCCCGACCCTGACCCACCCACCTCCGACCTTGCACTTTATCGCCAATAGCTCTTCTCCATGCCTATCATCATCCTCGCCTTCACCTTCCATTCTGAGATACTGAAATGTTCCCGGTGGAACCTCGACACCATCGATATTCTCCTCCGGCACATCCAACCTGTGGATATCTGACAATATCGCCCTTTTCCTCCTCAACATCTGTGGCTCCTCTGGCGACCCAAACTTGCACCACAAACTCTTCAGTGCCCCCGCCTTCCTCTCAACCTCCTCCGCGCTAGCTGCGGAGAACTTGACCCTTGAGTCGGCCTCCGGATTGACTTTTGGCGCGAAGCTGGGCTTGTAATCGTTGGTGATGGGCTTGATGGGCGGGATAAAAAGACCCTTGACACATGTCTCCACCAGTAATTCTGCGCCGTGGACTGCGAGTGCGTCGTGGAGGTCCTGGTAGCTGGTCCTTGGGGGAACACTAAGTGGGGGGTCCGTCTGTATGAGGATTTCGCCCGCATCGATCTTTTTGGGGTGGAGGGTCTGGACGGTGACGCCGGTTATGGGCGTGGCGTTGAGGAGAGTGTGGTATATTGGGGCTGCTCCACGGTACCTGGATGTATTTCAGGTTAGGAATTGCAATATGCCGGAGATCCGGGATTCATACATTGGTAGCAGAGATGGGTGGACGTTTACGCCGCCATATTTGACTGCTTTGATGATGCGTTCGGGTATCAGGAGGCCGAAGGAGGCGGCGACTAGCAGGTTTATATCTCCACTGGAGGAAGCTTCTGGGAGCTCTTGAACGGTGAGTTTATGGGGGGGGGGCAATTGTATGGATAACGGGCGCTATATATATACCTCCCAGTCCTTAAACCTGTCGACTTCATGGATGCGGAGTCTGAGCGAACTTGCCACTTCTTTGATGGGGGCTGCATAGAGATTATTGTAAGACCATCGACTTCTTTATTTGTATATGTACAGATAGAATAGCGAATGGCATACCCTCTTTCAACGTTCTCCGTCCACGGCCAGATAGTTTATCCTCCCTGCAGAGAACATCAATTGAAGCAATGATGTCTCGCCGCCTTTCATGTAACGCATAGAGGGCCTTGAGAGAGGTTGCGCTGAAGTGATCGGAGCCGCAGAAGAGAATCTTGAGGGGAGGGCGTGGAACATCCGGGGTGGCTTCCAGCGAAAATAATCGGCGGGGGACCCTGCATAACGGGGCAATTGACCTGTGGGGGCACAGCGACGGCCTCGCAAGCAAAGCGAGAGCGGATTGGCGTAAAAGCGACATTGAATCTCTCTCCTGACTGACCCTCACTCAATCACTCGCTCGCTCACTGCTCAGGCGCTGGTGAAGATGTCTGTATCTCGGTGGTGGTGGTGGTGGTGGTGGTGGTGTTGATCTCGAGATCTGATCCTACTGCAAACCCCCCGGTCGATAACAATACGTGCGCCAAGCAATATGCGCTCTATCATCATCGATTCTCTCGATATCAAAATACCTATCTGCTGTCCATCAACAACAACAACTCTCCTCCCCCCCCCTCTTTCTCTCCTCCGTCCCTCCATAGCCTCTTCACCCCTTCAGATGTACTCCCATGAGCTCCTCTTCCTCCGCCGCCGCCCAAGCATCTGCTTCTAATGCTACTGCCCATGCCCCCCCTCACCTCCCTCCCCCGTCCTCCCTCGTCACGACCATCACCCCCGCCGCGCTCTCCTCGCTCGCAATATACAACCCGTCACTCGGCCCGACAGAGAAGTCCGTCCATGACCAGATCGTCTTCTACACCTCCCGCAAGGGACCCGTGAGCTCCGACACAAAGCTCAGAGAGATCGGCCTCGCCCAGGGTATTGTCGAGTTTGCCCGGTGAGCTTTCTCGACCCCCACCCCCCCCCCCCCCCCCGGGGCCCGTACTAGAAGCTCCCCTCTAAGACACCCTAGCTAATATGGAATGGGGGAGCTAGCGGATTCTCGAAAACCGAAAACTTGAGTTCAATAGAGACCCAGAAGTCGCGGATCGTCACGCTGGAGATTGAGGAGCCTGGATGGTGGGTTCTAGCTGTTTGTCTAACTACATTCTCTCTCTCTGGATAAAATAGCTTGTTGGGATATAAAAAAAGATAGCTAATATAAAGCTCCCGCAGCAAATCGACTTGACATATATACACAACCCGTCCACCTACCCGCCCACGATCGAGTACTCCTCCCGAGAAGTTGCTCCCCCGCTAGTCCTCCTTGCACAGATCCGGCAGGCCTACAACCAGTTTCGCTTCCACTACGGGAGCTTTGCGCAGAACCATGCCAAGCTCGGCCGCACCGCGTTCTGCCGACGGCTCGAAAAGTACTGGCTGCGCTGGGCATGGGGCAGGTGGGAGGTGATGCTCCATGGGTCGCCGGGGACAGTGGCGTTCGGCGATGGCGGGATCAAGATGGTGGGCGGCAGGCCCGGGAAGGAGATTGCGGAGGAGGAGAGGAAGTTCCTCAAGACGTGGGCGGAGAAGGAGAAGACAAAGGGAATGGTGGACATGGTGGTGTTTAGGTTCGGCGACTTTATCGAGGAGGAGGAGGACAAGGACAAGGACAAGAGCGCGCAGAGCGGGTATTGGTTCTGGGGGAATACTACGAAGGCTGTTGCTGCAGCAATGTCGACGACTTCCACACTACCAAAGGGAAAGTCTTCAAAGGGCCCGGGAATCATTATGCCACAGGATGGCTGTGTTTTCCCTGGCACTGGCTCGCTGGAGGCCCGCTCGGTGAGAGATATCGCAACATATATCAGCGAGCTGTACCAGTTCGGCGACGATATATCACGGCGGTCTGCGAGTAGCAAGCAGAAAAAGAACCGTAAGAGACCAAAGGGACTGTTTAACAAAGCACCCAGCTCAGGATACTCTGCAGATAACAGCTCTGTAGAGAGCTCGCCGAGAAGGAGTCTCTCGGCAGTTAGGGATGAAGCTAGATCTACCCCACCACCTCCTGCTGCCGGATCAAATCTGAAGCCTTCGGCCGACGAAGCTTCTGATGGGAGCAGAGGAAGAGTGGGACAGGCGACAGCAGAGGAGTCTAGCAAGAGCAAAATCACTATCAATGCCAATGCCAAAATCTTTAATCTACTCACATTTGGATGGAGCGGTGGTTCTACCAAGAGCGCGGCCAATGATAGTAATACTGGTACTAATGTGCCCACTGTGGCTAGTAGTGCTACTCCTACGAGTACTACAACTGCTGATGCTACTATTACTTCCTCATCTGAGCCCGAGCCCACACCTCCACCAATGACAAACGTAGACCCAATGGAGCATGTTGAGAGGGCCCCCCCAAGAGCACTTGGCGGAAATGATGGAAACAGCAGCAAGAGTAAAAGAGCACGTTTCATGATTGGATTCTTGGGGGATGTGTATGCGGAGGACCTTGACGACGATCTCCAGGATGCGCAATCCACGGGACGAATAACGAGCAGGACCGTCTGGGCAGAACGAAAGAAGCCTTCACCATCACCACCATCACCAGAACAAGACAATGCTTCCAGAAGTACGGAAGTAGCAGTCGCAGACGCATCTGGAAAGGGCAAGAGAAAGGACAGCACCAGCCAAGGACAAACAACTCAGCAGGCTAGCATAAACCTAGAAGAGTTCAGGATTGTCGTGTACACGGTAAGGATCCCATCCCCATCCCATCCCATGCATACCGCATACATCGCATCACTTATCAGATGATACTGCATATTGGCGGGAGAGAGCAATTTGACTAAAACAATCTGATATCCCAGAACCACCCGTTCATCTTCGCCTTCATCTTCGAGTCCACCTCCGCGCAACTAACCTCCCCGGCCTTCTACCGCACGCTGCACCACCAGCTAGCCCCCCTGCACGGACCGCTGCTAAAATCCTCGAACCTCCCACCAACCGCGGAGCCGGCCAAAAATACCTCTAGCAGCAAGCTGCTGCTGCAGCACCCTGCCCCGCCAAAACCGCCCTACGACCTCCTCTACAACCCGACCACGCTCATGATCCACTCCACGGTCCCGCCCATCCCCGAGCCCGGGCCCGAGTCGTCGCAGCAGCAGCACAGCGGCTGGACCCGCGCCGAGGCCTTCCACGTGCACACGCTCATCCTAGGCATCCTGGGCGAGACCATGCGCGACCGCGCCGAGCAGGAGCGCAGCGCGCGGAGCACCCGCGGCTGGTGGATCAACTGGATGCGGCTCGAGGGCGGCGAGGAGGGCATCGTGGTGAGGCGCGCGGGGGAGAAGAAGTCGGATTTGGCGGCGGGGCTGGGTGGGGGCGGCGCTGGCGGCGGAGATATCAGGAGGTATTTTGAGGGCTTGGTGAGGGGCGTGCGTTAGGGTGGAGATGGAGATGCCAATGATTGACATTGTTGTCATTGACAGCAACGTGCCCCCTCCCCGCTATTCTAATCATTTCCGCTTATTGTATCTAAAGCCCTACATACAACTATTATTACTACATACTGCTATTATCATATCACTACTCTACTTACCCCCCCCCCGGGGGGCCATTGTTACTCACTCACTACTTCCAAGCTTTGTATCAGACCCGTGGAAGGCTCTCGCTGGTGTAGGAGGATAAGAAGCGAGTTTCATGTATCTGCAACCTTTCCTTCATGTCTGTGTTGTCGACCCATACATATCCCGTCCAGCCCAGTTCAGTGGTCTTTTTTACGAAAAAAAAAAAAAAAAAAAATTTAAACGGCTCCACCCCCAAGTCTTCAAATTACCTGTCCTGCACTCCCGACTGCATTCGTTTGCCGGTGGGCTCTTCTCCTTTCCGGATGGCATTGGGCCGTTTATTCACCCATCCCCGTGTCGAGTAGGGCAGGCATGGTGCCCGGGCAGGGTAGGGTACGGGGAGACCACGTTTTACGTGCGTTTTACTCTATCAACAATTGATTCCCTCGGTTTCTCTGCTTGCTCAGCTCAGACTCAGGCACCATATTTATTGATCCACTTAATGCAATGAGCCAATTATGCAACCCAATCTATGTTTTCCGTCTCACTCCAGAGCAGAGTATGCTAGCTTAGCTGCCTGTGCTGTTAATCCATCAGGAAAGGGGAAAGCCCCAGGACCGGTTATTTATATGCAGCCCGATCGCAAATCGATCTACTTTACCTGCCATGCCATGCCCTCCCCCTGCCCTGTGCTTGTGCTTGTGCTTGTGCTTGTGCTTGTGCTTGGTGCTGTCGGTGGGCTTCGTTACTGGATGGCATGGATGGATGGGTATAGATCTCGGTGTGCTAAAAATGGGGATGCTTATCCGGTGGCGGGGAGTGTTAAAGTGTTAAGGTGTTTTTACTCTAGAGTAGGTATCGTACAGTAGATGGCCGTGGGGCCGCGGTGGTGGGGATGTTTTTCTACCGGTTATGTATGCAGCTGTAGATAAAGTGCCTACCCAGAGTACAATACCGGTATGCTATGCTGTAAGAGCCCCCCCCCCCCCCCACGGAGCTGGGTTTAAACGTTTGGAGAAACGGTTTTTTTTTTATTTTGGTTTTTTTGGTTTACTGTGCGGGAGATCTGGGTGTGGAGAGGGACTTTTGATACTTTTGATATTACCGGGGCCTGGCCTTGCCTGGCCGGGGGCTAATTGTTGGTTGGCTGGCTGGCTGGGGGTGTTGAGGGAAGGGAAGGGAGTGAGTGAGTGAGTGATTTCATATAAGGTGGTTGAGATGGAAATAGCTGCTGTCTCGCTGATGTAGCAGGTAGAAGAGAAGCTAGGAGGGCAGATTACATAGCACGATAGAGAAAAAAGACGTGATAGTTGCAATTGTGGCCTCTTCTTTAATTTTGGAATGAATTGCATATATGCGGTGATTGTAGTTGCGGGTTGTGCAATGCCGATTGCAATTGGGAGGTGCGGTTACGTGATCTGGATCTCGCACTCTCACTCGCACTCTGCCTGAGTAATAATAGCTAGCAGTACTGGAGGAGGTGCGGTTTTGTTTCGTTGGGCCCAATTACTACACGCCGTTACGTGATCCCATCAAATCCATCCATCCATCCATCCATCCATCCATCCATCCTCAATCCGTCCCAGTACTCTATCTCTCTACTAGATACTTCTACTATGACTATCTATGCTATCACAGGCAAAAAGAAAGAAAAAAAATTGGTCAGTCGCAATCGTAATAATCCGCTTCATGCAGGAACTGGGTGCGTCGCCAATTCTTGGCACGTTGCATGTCTTGGAAATTTTTTCTTTCTAAAAATTTGGTTTCATCCCCTCCCCCCTCCCCCCCCATGTGTTGTGTAGAGTATTGGAATTGCTGGTAGGTATGGATAAAACAGCAGTGCAGCAGTTGCAGAAACCATGGCCAGTCCAGTTCATCATCACCTCAATTGAAACCCCAATTCAACGTTGGCAGGGCATGTGCTGCATTATCATTCACCCTCACCACCACACTCACTCACTCACTCTCGGTAACTAAACCTAAGATAACTCTGTGCCCACTGTCGACGACGACGACGACGACGACCGCCCATCACCTTCCCGCCCCACTCATCCCTCCCATCTCTGAGTAAGATAGAGTAGAACGTGAAGTGAAGGACAGCATACCTACTCTATCCAGATGCGCGCTTTTCTGCCTGCCTGCTGCTGCGTGGAGCGAGATATGTACAGAGCAGGGAAGGGGTGGAGGAGGGGCAGGGGAGGGAGATAGAGTAGGGAGACGGAACGAGAGATCGTAATTCAGATTCTCGATTTCGATTGCGACTGCGGCTATCTTTTGGGGGGGGGGGGGGGGGGTGGGACGGTGGTACATACGGTGAGTGTGTATGAGAGCATCTAGGCCTGGAATAGATGGGTTGATGGTGGTGGTTGTGGTTGTGGTGGTGGGCAGAGAGATGGCAAATCTCAAATCTCTTGGCTGTGTAGCTCTATCTATGTACTCTATCTGCATCTGCATCTATCTGTGTCTGTATCTGCCATCGTGAGTCTGAACATCTGTTTCTGTGCGACGGCAACTATCGTCGCCGGCCATGTACGCGACCAGAATACAGCAATCTACAGCCCACACTGTCTCGTCTAAATATACTCACCACGCCTCCTCTCGCAATTAATCAATTGTGGGGATCTCTCGGTCCACCGACCGACCTACCGACCGACCGACCGACCGACTGTCCGACAACAGATCTAATCTATCCACAGCTTCCATCCCGGGCTATCAAGCCCTCAATTTGCAGATTTCAATTTCATATCCATCCACATCCACCATCCGATCCGTCCCTCCCCTTCCCTTCCCTTCCCTTCCCGTGGCCCGCCCATTCTCAATCCATCTACCGCGGCCGGGAAGTGTAGGTACTCTACCTGAGCGTGAGCGCTCCAGGCCCTGGTTGTACGTAGGGGACGTGAGAATCGGCGATGAGATTAACTCTGGAGATAGGGGATGGGATTACTTCGGGAACACTTCTTTCTTCTTCCTCTTCCTTCTCGTCTTGGGTTGGCCAAGCATTGTGTTCCGTACTGTGCCAGGGGGGAAAAGAGAGAAGAAGAAGAAGAAGAAAAAAACAGTTATTTTTTTCTTTCGGATATGGACAGCTTTTTTTTGTTTTTCTTCTCTACCCGCCCGATGGCAGCTGGTGAATTGATGACGAGATTTTTCTCTCGAGTAAGATCGATAACCCGATTCCCCACTCCGAAACATCCCTCACTCCCCCTCTATGTAGGCATATCTCGGTAGAGTTTTCCTTGATGATGGTGATATTGCAACTTTCTTTTTTGTCGCTTTCTTTTCTTCTTTGCCTTGGTCAATCAATCAACCAGTTCAGCTCAGCTACGTAGGTAGACTTGCGCATGGCAAGTTCGTATCGTAGATCACCGCACCGTCCCGCTGCTGGCTGCAATTCCTTTTTCTTTCTCTCTTTCTTTGCTTTGCGAGGAACAGACGACGGATGGCGACGGAGGTGGGCCAGTTCAAGACTTGTAGGCTTCTAGATGGGCGCGATTGAGATTCAAGATTCAGATCAGATGCGATTAGATCCCACACCTGACACCCGCACACCTAACCCGGACACCCGCTGCAACTGCAACCACAACCACAACCACAACCACAGCCCTAACCCACCCCATCCCCATCGCGCATCGGAAACAAAAAAACCCTCACCTCACTGCACATCACCACCCCACAATGCCGCCCCGCGCAAAACCGACTGCGCCCACAACACGCAGCACCCGCTCGACGCGGCCCGCAGCAGCGAAGCCACAGACGGCAGTAGTGCAGCCAAAGACAAAGACAAAGACGGCAGCACCCAGCACGAAGAGTAAGAAACGCACCCGCGACGACACCGAAGACGGCGATGGAGAGGGGGGTGGAGAGAGCGGGGGGGATAGCGTGGCTGCGTTCTACGGACACGGGCATGGGCATGGGCACGGGGGGGCTAAGAAGAAGAGGCGTGGACATGATGGGCGTATGTTACTCTACTGCGTCTGCTTTAGAGAGATATCTCAATACAAGCAAAGCTACACACATATCTAACATACATACAAAAAGCAGCAGCAGCAGCAGTAGCAAAACCGGTGCCGCGGTCATTACCCCCACCAAGCACCGAACCCACGACCACGGCCACGCCGCCGCCCCAATCCACGGCAGCAGAGACACAGGCAGAGGCAGAGGCGTCGCCGTCCAAGCGCCTCAAGTTCGACCCCGACGTGCACGGCAAGGAGCTGCAGGAGCGCTTCCTCCAGCTGCAGGAAGACCACTTCGAGAAGCTCGTCTCGCCGCGGAAAGGGTCAGCGAGCGTCGAGGTATGTCTTTCTGTCCAATAGCGAGGATGAGGGGGTAATGATAGCTAACCCACAAACCAACCTACAGCCCATCACCCACCCCAACCCCAACCCCAAGCTCAAGTCGAAACCCAACCCCAAATCCAAACTCAAGTCCAAACCAAAGCCCAAACCAAAGCCCAGAGTCCCGCCCACGACCCGCCCCACCCCCGCGCAGACACTAACACTCACGGAGCGTCTCCAGCGCCTCACCAACCCCGGTGCCAACCCCGCCACTACCACCACCACGACCACGACCACGACCAGCATCCTCCCCGTGCGCCCCGCCGCCGTAAAGTCCTCCAAGCCACTCACAAAGCCGTCGTTCGAGCTGCCGGGCGACGCACACATGAAGAAGCGCGCCGCCGAGCGCGAGGAGCGGCGCAAGCGCATGGAGGACGCAGCAGCGGAGCGGGAGGCCGCGAAGCGCGCCGGGAGGGTAGTTGTAGCAGGCAAAGCGGGGGGGTCCCGCGCCGGTAGTGCCAGTGCCCCGGGGAAGAGCAGTGGTAGTGCTGCGACGACGACGACGACGACGACGGCGGCCCCAGTACAGCAGCCAGCACGAGTACCAACACCCCCACCAGCACCAGCGCCAGCGCCAACACCAGCGCCAGCACCAATGTCGATTTCGTCGCTGTCGCCCGTGAAGCTAACGTCGTCATTGATACCCTCGTTCGTGTCGCGCGGCATCACGGCGGTCACGGGACTGGGCGGCGCGCGCTCCCCCGCGCCCAAGGCAGCGTCCCCCCCACCAGCAGCAGCACCAGCAGCAGTGCCAGCAGAATCCGCGCCATCACCGCCACCAGCGTCCCCAGAGCCCTCGCCAGCGTGCGAGCCGACCGCCGACGCCGACGCCCAGCTCAGCAGCGAGCAGCGCGAAGAGGAGGAAGCGCTGGTGCTGCGGCTGCGCGCCGAGGCCGCCGAGAAGGGGAGGGAGTCGGCGAGGGCGTGGGCGGAGCAGATGAGGGTGAAGGCGGAGCTGGAGCGCGGGGGTGGAGCGTCGTGATCGGTGTGGTCATGGGTTTGTGTTGGGTTGGGGTTGGGGGGGTGTCAATGATTGCGTGACTGGGATCGCCAGGGCAGCTGGGCTGGGCTGGGCGGACTGGGGGGCGAGGGGCTAGGGGCTGGGGGCTGGGACGTCATATGCTACTACGAGGGGAGAAGGGGAGGGGAGGGAAAAGTTGGAGTTTTTTTTTTAGCTTTTAGCTTTTAGCTTTGTGGTTTTGTGGTTTTGTATTTTAGGATATTGTTTTGTGGTTTTTGTTTTTTTGTTTTTTTTGTTTTTTTGAACTGCTCGCTCGGTTATCTGGCCTACATGAATCTGGCTGAGCTGCTCTCTCCGCGTCCGTCGGTATGCAGTCAGTCAGTCGTGTTTCTAATCATCACTGGGCGTTTTTCTATTTATTTATTTAGTTATCATTGCTATTATTCTGTGTTAACGGCGGTAACAAATATTATCCTTATCCTCCCCTAAGCCACCACCATGGCCAGGGCACAGGTATCAGCCAGTCAGCCAGTCAGCCAGTACGGTCAGTCATAGGCAGCATGTCTGATCTGGTGCCACTGCACAGTAGTACTGCTATGAGTGTAGTGCTAGAGTTTTCTACCCCTTTGGTGGGGCGTGAAATGTTTTTTTAAGCGAGTTTTGCATGCAATTGTGGGAAATCTTTATTTGCTTTTTTCTCTCTTTCTTTCTTTCGTCCTTAGAGGGGAGGAGTTGGGAGGCGAATGACGCCTTTTGCAATGGGGGCGTTTCGTCTAGCTAGCTGGGAGTCTGATCTAGGCAGTCTACCTAGTCTGGATGTGGATGTATTTCTTATCCTGGCCATCATCTGATGTTTGAGGAACTCGAGGAGGACTTTTTTGCCCAAAAAAATTGTTTTTGGCTCTACTCTAAATGCACAATGTTTAATATAACCTGGGCTGAGCCTCCTGGTGTCGTCGCGCGTTCCGGACGTAGCCATGTCGCAGGGCTGCATGAGTAGAGTAGGTACATAGGCGAGCTACAGAGCTAGCGAGGTCTGGAAAATAGAATATATAGATTAATTGATGAGTAGGAGGTACAAATGGAGAATGAAGATGGGGGATGATCATGGTGGTACTCTGCTGGAGGTACTCTAGGGTATGTGATGTGATGTGATGTGATGTGACTATGGTGAAGGATTAGGTGGAGGGCACGTACCTGCTTTGGTCGCCAGTGCTTATTTGCAGCGGTTCTCGCGTTTCGAGAGCTTGATAATGGTGGTAATAGTAATCATCAACCCTCTGCTCAGCTACCTACAGTAGAGTAGAGCACGAGTCCCTGGCTGGCTACATTACATGGCTAGCTTCTAGAGCTGTCAGTCAGTCATCGACAGCATGGAAGAAAGTTCCGTCTGATGTCCATGTAATCACCGTACGCCTGGAGGTCGGTTCCGTCCCGAGGATTAATTGGATCGCGACTCGAGTCCCCCGCATCATGTCGGCCAGCCAGGTACGAGGTGCTGTGTGCTCACAATTTGGAATCATGATGTGCAAGCAAGTGAGTGTGTGCCTGGCTAGCTAGCTGTGCCGGCGCCGGTGGTACGTACCAGCTACTACACCTACTACTACACCTGCTACACCATTTACCTAAGAGCAAGCCGTTTGTTCTAGAGATCACGGTTTTTCCTCACCACAGCTCAGCTCAGCTCAGCTCGACAATTTACTGGGAAAGAATAGACGAAGGGCAGCAGGGTCTCACACACACCACTTCAGGTCATTTGAGCCGATCACGAACCAACCCTCTCTACTCTGGAAGGAGGGTATGTAGTATTCCCCAAAGAAAAAAAGCGCCATTGTGCTCTGCAGGTCAGGATGACGAACGAACGAGCCTTTGTTTCTGTCGGGAAAGGAGGGAGGGATGAGTGATGGGATGAGGCATGGGGATGGGGCAACAGTCTGGCCGTCGCCGGATATGATGTCTCAGTTCTATCTACATCCAGACAGACATACATACATCTTGGGGAAATACCTATTCATCTCTGAGTGAGTAAGTGCTAGTGAGTGACCAACATACAGAACAGATAGGGCAATTAAACATTCTTTTTGTTTCCCTGGATCTCAGTCGCGGGTGTCTGCCAAACTGAGATATCATCTCCTTAGACATTAGGTACAATTAACTGCCCAACTACCCCGCCGGTACCGCAGTTAGATGGAACAGTGTGGTACACGTGCTGAAAGCCTTAACTTCCCGGGAAACACCCTACTAACATGTCTATTAAATCCGGATACTCTTGCCTTGCCCTTACTTCCTGTCCTGTCCTGCCTTAATTGCCTTAACTGACTGACTGACTTGACTGATATTGTCTTGACTGACTAGCTGACTGAACAAAACCAAGCGTTCCCGAGACCCGCAATTCAGAACATGTTGGAATTTTCCAATACCTACTCCAAGACCTGGAGAACAAAGACAAACCACGCGGCCGGCCCGGCAAGGCAAAGCAAGGCAAGGTAATGTAGTGAAGTGAATTGACCATGAATTGATGAAACAGACCCGCGCTACCCGCAGTGCAGCCATTCCAACATTACCAATGATCCAGTGATCTCTATGTATGGCGGACGCCGGTACCATCCATAATTCCCGGGATCCAAGCCTGTGGGCTGTTGGTACTCTATTGTTGGGTGTTTTTGCTTTCGATTGGCTTACGTTGGCAAAAAAAAAGAGATTTGTAGCACGTTTATTTGTGTTGTTTAATTCCGGTATTGGGGATTTCGGGAATATGGGTGTTGGGGTTTTGGGTTTGGGGTTTCTGGGGTTTCTGGTTTTGGTTTAGAGTAGGATAGGATTTGGGAAGTAGGGGGATAAGCACTAGAAAGCTAGAAGGAAGCTCCGGTGGGCTGTGAGTGGACGGATACATAGGATACAAGGGGAAGGAAATAGAAGCCTCTGTAGGGTAGGGTAGGGTAGGGAAAAACAAGCCAAGCTCCCCCCTGTTGCGGCTGTTTCGTCTTTTGGGGGTCTTTTTTATTTTTATGTTTTTGTGTGGTTTTTTTTGATAGTGCTTGTTTTTGATATTGATCTTCAGAGCTACGTACCCAGCTAGAAACACGGAATGGGGATACATGTAGCCTACTACCTATCCTACTCTACCTTACTAGCTTACGATAACCTCCAAACTCCTCCCCCTCAGCCCTGTGCCATCACTCCCTCGATCCTCCTGCTCACTCCCAACCCAAACACGGAAGCACCCATAACCAGCGCCAGAGCCAGAGCCAGAGCCAGACCTTCTGAAAACCCCACTACTCTCGGCTCCCAGCGGAAACCCATGCTACCACTAAAGCCGAACCACTCAACACCGGCCAACACCTGAACACACGGGAGGATCTCCACTAGCTCTGTAAAAAAAGTAGGCAGGTATATTGTCGTCATGTAAGTTTTGTTCGGAGTTTATCATTAGTAGTGCGGTTACCTGGTTGGCTGTGCATATTGGCAAGGCATGGCAGGGCATGGCAGGGCATAGTCATGCATGGAGCACAAAACCCAACCCAGGGAACCGACCAGCAAAAAAGCAAAAAGAAAGGTCGATCTTGCTCGTCTCGTGACTTGCACCGGCGGACGAACAGGAGAGAAGAGCACCGAACGTCCAAGGCCGGAGTAGAAAAAAAGAAAGCAAGTGACAAAAAAAAACGTTGCGTGAGGAAGTGGGAAAGAGGAGTAAAAGAGTAACGTGCACCAATGGACACACCTAGAGTATGATGGACTAGCAAAAAAGCAAAAGAAGTGCGGAGCTTTTCCCTCCAATTGTTTTCTCTGGCTCTCTGGCTGTCTGGAGGTAGAGTGGAAATCCAAAGTAACCGGCGAGAGCCGAGTGGTGATCTGTGTGCACAGTGCAGTGGTGTCGTAGAATAGATACTCTAGGTGTATTCGCTCCACCTATCGATGAGACGAGTTGCGAGTGATAGCAGGAGGAGGCGAAGAAGCTTTTGGTTGGTTGCTAGGGAAGGCTAGGGAGGGTTAACCTTAAACTTCCTAGTCCAACTAACTTGTCAACGGACGACACTTGCTTGCATCATATGAACGACAACGACAAATGTCGCGGTGGTACATGGTACATGATACATAGAGTTCCGGGATAGCGATTCGACCGCAACCCGAGGAGGCGGTTGGAGAGGAGTATGAATAGTATCTACTAGTAGAGGTACTTTACTCCTCACTCTAGAGTGCTAATGTAGCTCTAGCTTAGCTAGCTAGATAGCTTGGCCAGCAGGTAGAGTACCTACTCTGAGTTACTTACTAGATTATTACCTGTCAATCATAATTCGGACCGCCTCAACTCAAGAGGGGTCGGTTAGTAAGCGGTACAGTGACTTTCAAATACGGTTCTCCATCCCAGTCGAGTCCCCATGATAACGAACGTTAAACCAGTACAGTTACAAATTCTGCTCACTATCCCAGCCGTACTGACTGCCGAACGTCGTCGGTAGAGTAGAGCAGATTAGAGAGAGAAAGGGTTCTATGCAACGGATACCTGCATCAACAGTCCCCTTCCAAATCCAAAACGTTCTATTTTGAACTCTCTCTGCCCGGGAGGGGCAGATAGGTAAATAAAAACCCTACCTCCTCCCCGTCCCCCGCCTTACCCGGATTGGTGGTTTTGTTTTTTTGTAGTGAGTGAAGTGAGTGAGGGACGAAAAACGTGGTTTTAGTGATCCGGGGGGGTAGAGATAAAAACGTTGGAGTGCATGTTCCATGTGTTTGTTGAATAATCTCTCTTCTCTCTCTCTACGGCTGTTGCGGACTCGCAGATAAAAAGAATCAAGACCCCTACCTGCCATACCACCACACATAACCTTGAATATTTGGAAGAGGCAGTGAGTCGAGCAAGAGTAGAGTAAGGTAGAGATAACCAATAATTAATGATCATTCAAAGAACGTTAGCCCAGCTCTACAGTCGCGACACCACAGATAGCGTTGAATCGTGGTTGGCGATGGGGATCGTGCATTCCCCCGGGCCTGGCACCCCATCCATGGCCCATCCACTCCCC